AACTTTTACTTGTTTTCCCATCTGGAGTTTCCCTAAATGTTTTGAAAACCCCTGTTTTTTGTTTTTTTCCAAATTCCAGAGTGATTTAAATTTGCTCCAATGGCAAGATGGCGGACTCTCACTGCAACGCACGAACAAGGTAAGGAGCCGGAGGGGGGGGCTACCGGGCAACCGCGCTACCGGGCAACCGGGCTACCGGGGCCGGAGGGGGGGCTACCGGGCTACTGCGTCCTAGGGCTCCCGCGATACCGGGGTTCGGTGCGGGTCTACTCTGACAGTGATATCGAACCGGGGTCGGGGAGCTACCGGGACACCGGGCTACCGGTGCCGGGGTCCGGTAGGGGGCTACCGGTAGGGCATGCCGAGTGCCAACGTACGTAATAATCTGAGAAAAATGTTTCTTTCCCAAGGTTTTCAACTTGCACAGCCACAGAGACTGCAATTATATAGCTGTGTATATATATTTATGGGACGTGTGGTCATCCTCACAAGACAAAACATACGATGACATATTATTATTTGTCCGCCGATCTTTATGTATGACTAATTGCGATCTTTTTAATTGTCAAAATCGCTGAAATTGCACATTTCCTGTTGAAATACGGGGTGAAACGTGATGTGCGGCAGCTGAACCTATGATTGCGCAATCCATCCCAAACTGGGCTGTTGGTGTCTGTCGGCGTATCGCTGAAATACGTTTCTATAGTCTGATTTTGGAGTCTGGCTAATGTCTTCAAGAATGTCTGTCTGTCTGTCTGTCTGTCTGTCTGTCTGTCTGTCTGTCTGTCTATTTATTTCCCGGATATATTAGTGTGTGGTTGAAAGGGTGAATAAGGTATATTAACCCTTTATAGGGCACTCAATGAAATACTTTAAAATTAAAAAATTCAACCTTAGAGTCTCATTGGACAACATAATAAGACTTTATTCCAATTGTGACATTTTTGAATTTTTTTTATTTTCATGTTGAAAATCGAGTTCAATGAAGTTACCATATTTGGTAACTTGCCCTTTAGTGGTAAAAATGTCAAGGCCAATGAAGTGATCAAATTTGGTCACTTGCCTTTAAGTGGGAAAACAAATTCCAATAAGTATACATAGATAAAAATACATATAATGCAGGTACTGCACTAGCGCCGGGCTGGTGAAAATGCTATCAGCATAGATGGCTGTGGTGGTGGGGAAGGACATGGTACTGGCAAGGACAGATACAATCTGGCTGGTGGCACCTAAGCCTTCTTGTTCAGGTTTCAGGGGAACATCATGGGCCTCCAGGGTAGTCCTGCCCTGGTTTAGCACAATGTCATGGATGAAGCCATCCTCAGATGCCCTGGCAAACAACTTTAAACCCCACTTGTCTGGCTTGCTTTTGATATATTGCCTCAGGTTGTCAAGTGGCAAAAATCACTCATAATTACTATTCATAAACTAAAAACACAGTGTTGAAATTGAGCAGAATCACTGTATAGTGATATAAAAAACTTTTGCGACCTTAAAACATAATATGCTAAGTTGTATTGCTTTATTTGTAAAGAAAATGCATAGTATGTTTTGTTAGATGCATTGGGCATATGTCCAAAAACAGACATTCCAAGTAAAATCTAGTTTTTAGTGAAAAGGGCATATGATCAAATATGGTGCCTGCATTTTTCATGCCGTATTTTCAATAATTTTAATAATTCCTCAGCAAACAACTTGTATGTCAACACTAAACACAACTATTCAACAATAAAATGTATGAGTTTCATCAAGTTCACATGGTTAGTTTTGATGTTTCTTGGCTCTTCCTGTCCAATTGCGCCCCCTGGTGCCTGCACTGCGCAGCCGCAGCGCTGTTCACTCCCAGGAATCACTCCCACACTCCGCTGCCTTTCAGCCGATGTGGGATTTAGGCCGACAGCGACTTCTTTTTCCTTTTTTTTTTTTGCAAGCTGAATAAGCAGCCCCGGTATGTCTGTAAACGGAGACATATGAAAACTTTAGAGTCAATGGGACGTCATCTGTGACCAAGACAGTCCAATCTGAGAGTTACAGCCCAACTTTGGATGGAGTTTATGTTTTATCCGGCGTCGTCCAAACACAGCACCGAGGCTCTGACGGGGATCGGAATTTAACAAGTCTGACAGGGGGAAAAGGGAAAAGTGGACACATTCGCTGGCATCACAAAAGAGAAAGACGAAATTCAAAAGCGCTTTCTTCGATGAGAAGGATCTCAGATTAAAGAGGCAGCCCCCCGTCCTATTTCTGCTTAAAGAGCAGCTTCAGTCATGGCGAAAAAGTATGATTTCCTTTTTAAACTGTTGCTCATCGGCGACAGCGGTGTGGGGAAAACGTGTCTGATCATTCGTTTTGCTGAGGACAATTTCAACTCCACATACATTTCCACCATCGGTAGGTAGTTCCAGTTGCATGTGTAAATTGTACCCTGCGGCATTTGTGCGCCAGCCTGGCCTCTGAAACTCTGTGTATGATCCAGACCAGTGTTTGCTGACATTTCGAGATCGGTTCTCTATTTGATGGCCGACCCTGTGCAAACTGGTTTCTCAGGCAGCTCTCATGTCTCGACTAGTCTGTACTCTCTCATTTAGCTTCTTCTTTAAAAAAAGAACAACAACAACGTTTTTTTCCCCCTACTTGTTGAATGTGCTGTCTCTTCCCTGACCCTCTTTCCCCATCTCTCTCTCAGATCTCATTCCTCTCACTTTGCTATCTGAAGGTCCACCCACCCTCATTCCTATCGCTTTTACCATCTCTACGTTCCCAGAAGAATGGCTGGTTTTCTGGTATGCGTTTTTTCTGCACTGGACAGCCCCCTTCTCTGCCTCTCCCTGTCTATCAGCTTGCCCATCCATTAGGAAAAAAACTCTAAAGATAATCAGCAATGCAGGCATGTCTGTCTTTTATGTCTGTTTGTGAATGGGGACGCACATACAATGGATATGACAATGACCAACCTGACCTATATATCCCATGCAGTGTGTTTGTTTTTATTTCTTATCAGAGGTATTTCATTACTTGTCCCTTCTCTCCCTTTTATCTGTCCTCTTTCTATCCATCAGGCATTGACTTTAAAGTAAAAACCATTGAAGTGGATGGAAAGAAAGTGAAACTTCAAGTGTGGTAAGATGGCATTTTTGAATTTCATGAAACGTTTTCTTTGTGATTTATCGCAACGGATAGCATTCAGTTTCACGCTCCGTGCCTTGTTTGCAAAACAAGGATTTACCGTCCCAGTATCCCAGTATCTGATCTGGCCGCCACCACGTGTAAAGTTCTGGTACTGTTAGAGCTATGTCAGAGTCAGAGTGAGATACCTCGGAGAACAGCGAACAGTGCGAGCATGAAGGCTTCCTCGTGACTCCCAATATTTGTGTACTATAGGGACACAGCAGGACAGGAGAGGTTCAAGACCATAACCACAGCCTACTACAGGGGAGCCATGGTGAGCATGCAACGCCTGCAGGACGAGCAGACCCAACCCTTGGGCCGATATCCCCACCTGTTTGTGCTCGCTGTGCATTTGACTGGTTAAAGTGTCCCTCTGTGCAACAGGGCATCATCCTGGTGTACGACATCACCGACGACAAGTCCTTCGAGAACATCCAGAACTGGATGAAGAGCATCAAAGAAGTGAGTGTTATTTTTATTTTCAAAACCACCTCATGGATAATGGTTAATCATGAGGCGTCACCCACTGGATTACAAATCGTTATAGAGAGCCTGTTCTCCCTCCCTAATCAATGTTTTTCAGTTGGATGACTTTTAGTTGATAAAGACCCAAGTGTCAAAATAATGAACAAAGACTGCGTCTGGGCTCTGAAAAAACATACGCTAGACACCAGGCATGAGCAGAGGTCCAAAGCTGAAAAGGGGTAAACAAAGGTTTTGAAAAGCATTATCTACACCCCCCTTTTACTTCTTTTTTTTCCCTGTTTTGGAGCAAGAGCAAAGTTTGGTATCAATTTCACTTTTGTGGCAGTGTTAGATGGAGAAAATGAGAAAGACATCTTGAATTTAAGTTATCAGAAAACGTTTTTTTCTTTTCTTTATTTTTCAGTCTGTACAAGACATTGAAACTTTAAGTGAACAACAGCTCTCCCACGTTGTTTAACACACTGCAGAGTCTTTGTCCGTGAGACCTGACTTTCATGGTTTACAAACTGACTTACAGCATCTGGGTCTGTATTAGACTTTATTTATTCTTACCTCTGTGGTTGATAATGACTGATGTTGGACTCCGCTATAGAGCCAAAGGTTAAACCTGTCTGGTAAATGTTTTGAGAAATGATGCTGCCTGTTTGGAATCTATTTACCTGATAATGGCATGCTTTGACAAAAACATGGATGTTATAGAATGCTGTAACTCCATATGGTTGGTAGTTGGGCAACAAAACATTTTCACAAAAGACTCAGCAAGTGAAACCTTGTTAGAGAGCTTTGTGTTTCAAGCGTTATGATATGTACACAGACTCCACCTCCGTTGTTCAAACAACCGGCAGCCTGGCCTCCTCTAAACAGCTGCCCGTCACAGGGAAACTTAAGATAGCCGATGTGCGGATAACAAGACACCAGAAGAAAAAAGAAAAGTGCTCACATCTTGCTGTTTTCTAGGTTTGTAATGTGTCAAAAAAGCCTTTCCTGAGAAGTACTCAGTTAGTTGTGTTAGAGTCCAAATGAAAGCCCAGCCTTCCTGTGTCCTCACTGCAAAGTTCACTGTCATTTTTTCTTTTTTACAAATGAGCACCTGAACAAACCCCATGATGTTTGCAAACGAATGGTAACGTATGAGGTGAAAATACTGCTGATGCAGTATTTATGTTCCGGGGTTGAAGGGTCCATCCATCCATTGTCTATACCGCTTATTCCTAGTTGGGTCATGGAGGGGCTGGAGCCTATCCCAGCTGATATCGGGTAACAGACAGGATACACCTGGGACAGTTCAGGTTGAAGGATGTCAAATGAAATGTCCTAACTTTTAGCACAGGGCTGGGTTGACCACGGTGGGGGAATGTGTTGCAGTCATTGGCACATGAACATTTCCCCGCAGTTTGATGAATGGATTCACACACATGCCAATAAATTCTTGAGGCAAACATCCCCCTATTTGCCTGATAGCTAAAGATGTCAAAAAGAGCAGCATCCACAACAAGATGAAGAATCTGTCTTAAGCATGAAATCCTTGAGCAGGACATGAAAGACTGAAAGTTGCTGTTGAAGGGCTCCCAAAAGGCATAACATCTGAAAATATTAATTAAATGTGTCAATTTGTACATTAAACCTTTTGAAAATTTGGACACTCCCCAGTTACTAATTTATTCACACTGATATGTGTCAAATACTTTCTTCATGTTTTATTAACCTGGAGCTGAACGTTTTTCAGTGATATTCAAATGTCCAAGTAGAGTTAAAGGAAGCAAAAGACTTTGGTTTTTGGACTGAGAGTGGTTGTTGATTTCTATTGAATCCATAGATTAGTCAAACCTTTTTTTAATATGTTTCCTGTTTTGATATCAATGAAACTGAGGATCTGTTGTTGTTATAAATACAGTGGGCTTGATGACATAAATTAGCTTTTAAATGCCTTTTAATCTTATATAACATTCAGATGTATCACTCAATAAGAACAGTGTAAGATATTATTAACTGAACCAAATCAATGATCATGTTCGAATACATTGCCTAACTACAGCTGAACTATTAAAATCAATTAATTTCTCCTCCTCTCTCCCAGAATGCATCAGCTGGGGTCAGTCGGATGCTGCTCGGTAACAAGTGTGACATTGAGGCAAAGCGAAAGGTTTCCAAGGAGACAGGAGAGAAGGTGAGATGATTCGAGTGAATGCTAGTCGTAGCCTGCAGATGTAAGTGCACTCTTTCTGGAGACATGATCCTGGAAATTCCTGAATTCAAAAGAAGTCGGAAGAATTTCTGAAGTAAAGAAGAAGTTATTGAAAGAGGTATTACGTCTTGAAAAAAATTTGAAGAATTTATTTTCGGTAAAAACTAAGAAAGGATTCATACATTTATCTTGACCTAGCGTAATCACCTTTTTGTCTGCTGTTGGCAGTTGGCGAAAGATCATGGCATCAGATTCTTTGAGACAAGTGCAAAGTCCAACATTAACGTGGAGGAGGTGAGGCGTAATGAAGCCACGGCTACTTCATAACTCACTGTGGTGTCAGCTCGTTTTATTACGCTTGGTGTGCTATGTGCTAATACGCTAGAAAGATGGCAAACATTAACTCTTGCCTCCTGCTGCTTGAATTTGTTCCGCAGTCTTTTCTGGCTCTGGCAAGAGACATCCTTCAAAAATCCAGCAAGAAGCCGGTAAAAGAGCAGGTGCACCACATTGTGACGAGGTAAAGTTGGTCTTTCAGTCACCAGTAGAATTTGAATCCGTTTGTCCTTTCTTTTCTTTGTTGTACAGGGCCCGACAGGCCGGGAGGTGAAAATCACCAGCAGCACAGAGAAAAAGTCCTCCAAGTGTGTTCTTCTCTAGATAAGATATCTGCTAAGATACTGCACTAAAGTGGAAGAACACGCCAGTGTAATTAGGGGAAATGCAGCAAGTTTTCTGTCTCCATCTGGTGGGCCACAACTACAATAACACAATAACAAACAGCCATTGAGAGTGTGTTTATAAATCCAAACTTTAAAGCTTTAAAGCCTTAAAGCTTGGCCAGATCTTCCACCGTATATATATAGATTGCTTTATTCATCCCCTAAGGGAAATAACACATTTTATGCAACAAAAGTGTTTGGTAGCACTTAAAGAGACCAGGTCCCACCAGTTTTTACATATCTGTTTCCACACTGAATTTGTATGTTTGATTCCACGTTATAATTCCGGCACCCCAATCTCTTTAAAGAACCACGTCTGTGTTTTTTTCACATTCATTTTATTCTGTTCTTCGATGTGAGCACACACGGCAGCGGCTCGTAAGCGCTCAGTGACAGAGGGAAAGCTAAAGCGAAAATGTAGGATGTTAGTTAAGTAGTTAGATTCACATACACAGAAGGCACTGGTGAGCCCCAATTGACCCAATTATTTTTTTATTTGTCAGCCTAATCTCACAAAAAAAATAAAAAATAAACATTTAATAGTAATATTTTTCCACATGTCCAGATAGTATCGTCAGGATCCGTAGCTGTAAACTGAAAAACCAACATATCCCGAAGCTGGTATGATGAAAACAAAGTTGTTCGAAACGAGCAGTTCCTTTCTTAAAAGTGTCTGGAGTGCCCCACAGAATTAGGGATTCGTCCTTTCTCCTTCCCTCTCCCTCATAGAGATTTGTGCTCAAATGAATGCTTGGCTTGTGCATGGCATCAGAGAACACCACACAGCAACAGGTAAAGACAAGAATGTTGACATGCTGACCAATCAAAGCTGCATCATGTAGGGCACAGAAAGAGTTAAAAACCCACAAACTGTCTTGTTTTTAGTGTGTTCACTGTCGTATTGCAATGTGTTGAGCTATAGACCAATGGAGTTCTTTTACACAGTGTTTTAAAATCCAGGGTTTACGTCAAAGATCATATGATGTTGTTCAAGTGCCATTGGGAAATAGTAAAGGTGTCCTTATGTGCTGTAAGAGACTGCATCATTACAGGGTCCGTAATTCAAGTATTATAGTCCGCGACAGGGGAGAAGATAGAAGATACCAATCAGGCGTACAAGACACTTTATGTTTCCATCTCCAGTGTTGTGTAAATATGCCTTATGCCATCGATATTTGTCATGTTAATTGCCTAAGAACACATTTGTTATTCTAGCCGTTTCTGTTCAATTCAACAGAATCTTCAGGAACAGAAGCCATTACATGTTAGATTTAATTGGTTTCTGGCATGTAGATGTCCTGGTCTCAATAAGAAGGACAAACAAAAGAAAGCGTGCTTTTTTTATTGAATATAGAATGGCCTTCAATGGAATCCAAAACAATCTTTCTGGTGAGCAAGCTTGGTTATACTTGATTAATGGATTGAGAATGTCGATGATGGAAAATAGAAAAAAGTGCAATACGAGAGTTGGAGTGGAGACATGATAGAAGGATGAGTAACGCAAGTGAATGGACAGGATGTGAGAGCCCACCAGGCAGCAGTGCACACATGCCCTTCAGTCTGAATTGATTTACTGGCTCGCGGCTTTCATCCGAAGTGCCTAAACACTACCACACTTTAGCTACATCTGACATGACAGTCTTCCTGCTCAGGCAATTTTCAGATCATTCAAAAGGACTGTGATTGTAGGTGTTCATCTGATCCTGACAGCTCCTTTTTCCGCACACAGGCACACTGAGTTTTCCCTTTTTCTTCCTCTGTGTTTTCTGTCACATTTATTTCTTCCCCTGCCCAAAAAACGTTTGTATGTAGTTTACAGGCTTGGTGAATAAAACCGAAATGGTGTAAGCGGTGTTTGTGTTGTAAATTTGAATATGATTTGGTTTCATATACAATATGTATAACTATATTAGAATTAGAAACTATATTATTTACAGAATTATACATTTTCTTCAAATAATTTTGAAATGCATAACCATTTACAAATCCTTGCATCCAAACAATCAAATAAACAATAATCTAAATAATCGATAAAGAAACTTACATGGACAAAATAGGGAAACTTTTAGTTTAGTATGAATATAAAATGGAAAAAATAGTCATACATTGTGCAATCCTCATAAAAAATTATATCTAAGGGATCCAATCATTTATATGCGACACCTTGGAACTTTAAACAGTTTATTTACTGTCCCAAAACATCTAGGAAAAAATGCATACAGTAAAACTTTCAATTTTGCATTTAAAATCTATAGAGTTGTAATGTCTTTATGTATACCTTTGATTAAATGAGATGTGACTTTAAAGACTTAATGATCATGTCCTTGAGCTGCACACGTGGCCCATTGTAAATCTTTTCCTGGCTTTCATGTAGACCGACAATGGGACAATTCCTCTCACAACCAGGAACCCGTGCTGCCTGCTTTTAAAGTGCTGCTGATACCGTTTTGCTGCTGCAGCGGGAGCTGGAGCTGGAGCGTGTTGCCAGGCAACACACCCTCCTTCCCAGCATCAGCATCAGGACCGTGTGCGCGCGATCTGCCGCATCTCCAAGTGGCCTCCACGTTCTGCGTGCCTTGTCATCACGCAGGCCAGGTTGTGGTTTGCAAACAGAGTCCTCTCGCAGTGTCAGAGCTCTGCCGAGGAGCTGTGGGAACGGGCACGAAGGCGCTGGAGGGAGGGGCGCGTGCTAAATAATCAAAGATGAATTTGGATAGATTTAAATGCGTTCATCTAAATATGTAGGCCTGGATGTGCAATAAGCTTCGCCGTCAGATCACGTGAAGCCTGGTGGGAGGTGGTGAAGGTAAATGTACGGAATACACACACACACACACACACACACACACACACACGCAAACACACGGGCTGAACGGGGTACCCGCGTGACTGCAGGGAGGAGAGAAGACGAGGAGGAGGGGGTCTAGGTGCTCCTGGACCACCGCAAAAGCCCCGCGGAGTAGTTGTGTAATGTTACATTTAAAAATAAGGGGGGACTTCAACCACGGAATGTATTTTAGATGCAGATCTATAATCGATTGAATATTTGATTTCCTCCTAACGTCCTCGCCACGCGAACCAACCGAAGTGATCTCTGCGAGCCCTGATCCGCTGTGTTTTGTGTTCGCGGCAGGATGAGGACCGAACTTGAGGTCGCAGGAGGGGGGTCCCACACGCTTGGGCGTTATTCCCACTGACCTGAAGCATGGACTGATCGCCGCATGTCACTTCTGCCGGGAGCGAGCACGACTAGTGACCATCATCTTGATTTTTCTTTGGCGGATGCTTTAGATTTTGCGGCCTGCTCGGGTCTCCGGTTACCGCAATGCCACACGGACAAGAGGAAGGAGATGTGGATGGAAGCAAATGGAGAGAGGGAAACTGCAAAAAGCAAGCGAGTTTAGCAATAATGTGAATATACAGAGGAGTGAAAACGTGCTTGTGTTTCAGAAGAACTTAGTGGGAGAATGGCACAGTCTGTACCTCATGAGCTACAGTGGACGGTGAGCTGCAGGGGGTGAGAGAGGCACTGCACTGACTAAAGCTGTCTCGGTATCATGGCTGAAATGTCAAATGAGGTTAGTACGTTGGCTGTGTAGTGGCTGCTCATTCCTCAGCTTTTTTGCTGACAAAGTTCTTGGACTCACTGAGTGACCCGTAGCACGCAGCATGGGGCATTGCGCAGGAACCATTGCACCCGCCCGTGGAGGATTTGGCAAATAATTTGGACAGAAGTGGAGCTCCGATGCCAGCATGTATAACTCTTGCTAAGCTTCTCTGCTGTGCTTATACCCACTCAACTTGTTTTATGTACTCAGCGTGAGTGTAAGCCTCTCCCAGCCTCCTCCTCCTCCTCCTCCTCCTCCTCCACAAACAGAAACACACAGACAAGCCAAGCATGCCTTCACCTTCAGACTCCAGCAGCGTGGCCTCGGCCTCCGGCTCTCGCGGCTGGTCCGACAGCCGCAGGGGCATGTCGGGCAGGGGGCCCGGAGGGGCTCGGCTGCTGCTGTACCTGGGCTTGTGCCACCTGGGTCTTGGAGCCATGGTGCTGGCCTTCTCTTTCACCAGCATGGCCTTCACCTCCTCAGCCCGCGTGAGGCAGTCCTGTCCATTCTGGGCCGGCTTCTTTGTAAGTACGACTCTGACAGAAGCAACACAGCTTTAATCAAGCATGAGACGTTATGCCTATGTGCTGTGTGGTTTCCAGGTGGTGGCATCGGGGATAGTTGGAATTATTTCATGGAGGAGACCCCTGACATTGGTGGTATGTGTATTGCTGCATTTAAGGACTTTAATTCATGTACTATACTATATATAGGACTGTCTCAGAAAATTAGAATATTGTGATAAAGTTCTTTATATTTTGAGATAGGATTTTTGAGTTTTCTTCAGCTGTACGCCATAATCAGCTATATTAAAACAATAAAAGGCTTGCGATATTTCAGTTGATTTGTAATGAATCCAGAATGTATGACATTTCATGTTTTTTAATTGCATTACAGAAAATAAAGAACTTTATCACAATATTCTAATTTTCTGAGACATTCCTTTATATGTGCATGTTTCCTTCCTTGTTCCTCTCAAAATTAAATCTTGGAGTTTTAATTATCCTTGTTTTCTGGTGATCAAACGATAAAGATATCTTTTGCAGTGTTACTTGGTTCCAAACAGCTCTGGCACTCACCTCTAAACCAAATGTTATCCCCACATCCCTCCACAGGTCTCACTGTTCATGCTGCTGTCTGCAGTGTGTGTGATCCTCAGCCTGGCCGGCTCAATGCTGTCCTGCCAAAATGCCCAGATGGTCAAGTCTATGCTGGCCTGCCAGGTACACCAGCATTGTCTTTTGCATTGTGATAAGATGCCTTTCTAGCCACATGCATACAGAACACGCCAAGAATAGTTCGGAATATGTTTGAATATGCAGATTTATGCCTCAAAGCAATTCACAGTGTATTGTGATTTTTCAGGTGGAGAACGGTCTGTGTTTGTGCTGTGAACACGCTCAAACCTGCTCCATGGAGGAGGAGGATACCCTGGTTCTATACTGGTATGATGACTGCCACTCAGCCCGACATCAGCTGAAGGTATTTTGGAAATCCAGTTTGAATGTTATTATTTAAAAAATGTGGAAATGGGACTGGCAGCTTAATGTTCTATTTCTCCACAGGACCTTTTGTTCAGTGCTTGTGGCCTCAGTATACTATCTACTATCATTTGTACGCTGTCTACTGTGACTTGCAGTATCCACATATTCTCCCTGGACCTCGTTCACCTGGTGAGCTCAGACACAGCACCATACAGTCCAGTGGCTGACTTTTGTAGATCAGCCTCTATCTTGCCGCGATTGATTGTACATTTTAAGACTTCACATCAACTCACCTTTTTTGCTTTATGATCTAGTTGGCCCCACATCGCTCTAGGTCTGTCAACCCAGAATGCACCACACCCCAGGACGCCTTCCTGACCAACATCATGGACTTTGAAGAGTTTGTTCCACCTATCCCTCCACCCCCGTATTATCCTCCAGAATACACCTGTAGCTCTGAGACAGATGCTCAAAGGTAAGGGACGGAATGTTCAGATCTGTAGTTAGTGTGTAGTAGGCATGCACACATATTTGAAGAATACAGATAGTTTAAACATAGACTGATACATATGTGTTTAAATCTAGCATCACTTATAACGGCTCAATGGAGAGTCCTGTTCCTCTGTACCCCACTGACTGCCCCCCTCCGTATGAAGCTGTGATGGGACAAAGAGCCGTCAGCCAAGTGAGTGTGCGTACAGTGGCATGTAAACACCCCTTTTGGGCCCTTTGATTAGGGGCCGCTGATGGACTGGCGACCTGTCCTGGGTGTACCCCGCCTCTCGCCCAATATTGGCTGGGACAGGCTCCAGCACCCCCACAAAGGGTTTATTTCTTTAATTTATTACAATCTGAGGTCGTCTGAGGTTAACTGAAAAAGTTTTGTTATCTTCATGTAGCCTTGATTGTCAAGTGGTTGCTTTAAGAGCTAGGGTGATTTTTGAGAGATGCCTTGAGGATTTTCAGTAATCATTAAGCTTTGAAATTTGCCTCACTCAGCCTTTCATAATGATGATTAAGAACAAGTCGGAGGCTCACAATTATCATTATGGATATCATATTAGCATTAATGCATGCTTAAAGTCACCGGCTGACCAGATCTCTGCATCTCTGGGTCCACTTCTCCATTTTGATTTAATTTTTGGCACAAAAGAGAAAAAAAGCATGAAACTCTCTTAAAATAATGACAAAGAAGCATCTCATGTTGAACTTGACTGTGTGTGTAAAATGTGATGTATTTGTTAACCAATATTTTTCTTATCTGGTGTGTCAAGGCGACAGTATTTGACTCTCATGGCAATGAATTATCTGGAGACAGAGGAACCTCTACAGCTTTCAGTGGGGAAGGTGAAAAAACTATTCTGCTCTATTTATGATGTTTTCAAATCAATACTAGAAGCATGAATTGGACAATAAAAGTTTCCCTGTCATAATTAAAGAACACATGTCTCTGTCAGTGTCCATGGACAGTGGGTCTCTGTTAATGTCAGAGATTGTGGACATCCCTGATGATTCATCCCCCTCTGAGGACTCCTGTCTGATGGAGGTTGGGCTGAGGAATCAGGGGGAGAGGGGCAACAGGACCTATAGTGAAGGGGGAGATGCAGGGGAGTACATCAGCTTCCGGGGTCCACAGTCTCTAACCCCGGAGAGTCCCCTGGCAGGAGGACCAAGAGCCAAAAGATTCATCAGAGGAGAGAGGTCTAACTCCTGCTCCTCACCGAGCACAGCCACCACCACATTCAGGTGAGAGCAAACAGTACTGGGTTCATTATATTTACTCAGCCTTTTTATGCCTAACTTACCATTTGTACCACAAGTTATTGTGCCGCTGTTGGCAGAAACGTTATTTTCCGTTGTCCTGCTCTTTTGTCTAGGTCTCCAGTACTGCGTCGCCAGGCTGTGTTAGCCAGTAGCTGTTCCCAATTGGAAGCGATAGGGAGTCCTGATAATCAACAGCAATCCTCCAGCCCGGAGATTCGGGCTCGCCCTTCCACTCCTTCAAATCAAGGAGCTCTCCCGCTTTCATCTGCTCTCCCCACTTTGTCCTTCTTACCTGTGAGTGAGCCCGGCAATGGAGCAGCTCTTCCGCACCAGCCGCTCTACCTTAGACGAAGGGCTGGGAGAGGGGAAAAAGATGGAGGCAATTTAAAAAGGCACAGTGAAAGTTTTCTACGCCTTGTGAGGTCACACAGTGAGCCGGGCCTCAGCTCATCGACGGACACAGGTGAGGCTGACACCGACTTGGATATGCTTCTGTTTTACAGTTTTACAATCACCATAACCGGCTCTTTTATATGTAATCCCATAGTTGACTTTGGCTCTCGGGACAGCAAAGCATCTATAGACACAGGTAAGAGCGTACAGATGTAACCTGTAACTACTAGTCTGGACGTGATCTGTAACTACCTAAGGAAAGCATAATCTTCATTTTAATTAAACCCAAAAAAATTCAAGTGGGTTTGTTATCACCTGTTCCTTCTTTATTTCTCTTTTTCCATGATTTTTATGATTAATTGCAATCCCCAAATAAAACTCTGTGCTGAATACGATTTAGCTATGGAATTGATAGCATCTCTCCTTTTGAACCGTCTGAACAGTGATATAACCTCATAACTGCTGCTTTGTCTTCTGACTGAAAGGTCCGTCGTCTGAGGCGTGCCTGTTGCCCCGCATTTCTTTGCCTCCTGCAGCCACTCTCCTTCCCAGTAAAGGCGGCGTGAAGCCAGCAGCCACAGGGGTGCAGGTCCCTTCCAAACCTTTACCCACATCACCACTGCGTTTACCTAAAGACTGCCACCGTTCCCTTGGAGATCTCAAAGTAAGTGGTGTCTGTTGAAAATGGATGTTTACATGTTAATAAAAGAGGGTTAATAGTTTTTAGATTGATTAAAGAACATGTGAATATCAGAGAATGTTCAAAAACATTTAAGATAGCTTTTCTATGTTGTTGTGCTAGAAGGTTTCCGCAAGATCTGATTGTGCAGTACTCCAAAAAATCCCCAAGAGTTACATGGCAGACTCTACGGTCCTCAGTTAGCATATGAGGAAGTACAATTCCCAAAATACTGAACATGTATGACTCCTTTTGGTTGCAGGAGAGAGCTTCTGCTCTCTAAAAGAACGTGAAGGCATGGTTTAAGTTTGCAACGGAATAACCTTCTTTGGATAAATGAGACCAAAGAGGAGATGTTTGGTCATAATGTATAAGTCTGTGTTGGAGTAAAACCAGACGCAGCATTTCAGTAAAACCATCCGTGAAGCATAGTGCAGCAGGACGGATGATTTGCCACATGACCTGGGCGTCTTTCAGTTCTTGAGTTAGTCATGAACTTCTCTGTATATCTGTCTCTGAATGCGAGGTCATCTGTCAGACAGCCGAAGCTGAATTGAAACTGGGAACTGTGGAACTTGGTAATCCTGTCGAGCTTTTCTCATGCTGCTTCTGCATTTTGGCTTACTATTTGACATGTTTGATAAATAACAGTGACTTTAAGTCATATATGGTGTGTTTTTTTTCATCTGCCATTTGATGACTTTACTTTGAGAGCTGTAAATGTTTTTTACTTTGTCATGATGCATAGATCCCACATGTAGCATACTTCTTTTCAGGTTACTCGAGGTCTGGTCGCTCGCTTCCTCCAGCGATCCAAACGTAATCTGGCACCCTCCTCCGAGCATGCTGGCAGCACAGGGCAGGGGTCTAAAAGAAGAAGTGGGGCCGAAGGAGCTCCCACCAACCTGCCCTTGGAACAAGTATGACCACGAACTTTGACTCATCTCTGTGCCTGCAGTTCACTACATACAGAATAATTCTCTTAGTCTAATCTGTGGGCTTTCCGAAATGATCTTTAGGTGCTCCGGAGCTCTTGGAGCACCAGCCGTGGGCACCCCGCCCATCACTCCCATCGTCCCCATCACCGCGGACATCACCATTCCCACAGCGACAGCCGGCACAACCGGCACCACGGTAACCGGGCGCCCGAGGGGATCCACCTGCGCAGCTGTGGGGATTTGAGCTTCTCCTCCTCTGCGTCATTACGCCGATTAGTGACGCCTCACCCAGCACACGGGTCGTCGGGGGCCCTGTACTCAGAGTCAGCGCTGTGAGAAGACCAGGCGGGCGGAGGACCGACAGGTAGAGAGATGAGGAGGCGCACAAGATGGAGGAGTTGAGGTGAAAACACAAACGGACACGTCCCGTGCTGAGATTTTCAAAAGTCTTCCCCACTTTTTGTTTTCCGCCTCTGTATCCTGAAACCAGCTGTGCAAATGGCCTTATTTAGTGGTGCTCATCACAAACTGAACCCTAGTCTAGAGCTCCAACTCATTCCACCAATAGGCAGTGAAATGGCCACGATGTGCGTATTTCAGCCAAGCATGGTCTCACCAATCAGGACGCAAGCTTTTTTTGTTCTTGACCTCCCCCTTCACACTGATCATTGGGATGAATCTCAAGACTGGAGACAGAACTCTGCTGGCATTTACTGGACAACCAATCACACGATCATACGGTTATGGATTGCAGCGGTCTTTGTGCACTGATCTCTCAGATCGCTCAGGTTATGCCAAACATAGAAACCCTTATTTTGTCTTCCATTTAAAAGATAAATCCATTCATCAGTGGACATATTTTCAGCTGAGTACATTGTAAAATAAACTGCTGAGGATGCACATGCTGTCGCATGAGGAGCCCTTGATAGGTTGCATTTTTCTTTTTCTATGCAGAGTCCATTTTTATTTTCCCCCGACACAACAGCCTGCACAGAGCAAGGCATTCGCAGCATTTCAAACACAACACTGACACAAGCCACAAACGGCACTGTTAAGCTTTTGAAATATGTTCTCTGTGGGTGGCCCATGGACACGAGGGTTTCTTTTGCCTGTGTGCATGTTTCGCTACAGCTGTGTTACAGCAGGAACCTTGTGCATCCGATCCTATCTGTGTAACTAAGTAACAAGTGATCAGAATGTCTTTATCTGCATGTTTGCTTCTTTCTGTTTTTTTTCTCCTGCATCCAAGATGATAGTAGCCACTTGAATTGTATTTGATTTAATAGATAGCTGAAAGCCAAGGTCAAAGTCTCCTCGTTTGTTAAGGGATTTGTGAGGTTTTGCCTCGAACAGCCTGATCCTTGTGTGAAGTTTAAACCGTTCGGCGACCCTCAGAAGGTTTTGGCAGTAAATGTATACACATTTATACTGTAGATTTCTAATGTAGGCTTCATACCGTTTGTAAGCAGAGGTCCGTTTGGACTCTCAGTGATTGTTTAAGGATAGTGAAATGAAAAAAAAAAGGCCTCCAGAGGTTCTGGTGACAATAAATACACGATTGGCCTGACAGCTCTGGGTTTAAAGTGTACAGACAAATCTGTATCAGGTTCAATTTCAATTTTATTTGATTTATTTTCGTTCTGTTTTTTACTTTCTGGTGTACTCACTAACTGGTAATACTGACTCAAAATGAGTTAAGGTACCTTTTGGGTAAAGACACAAGTGTGTAAATAATTTGAAGGATTTTGGTGCATAATTACACACGTACACTACAGGCACACTTATGCACTCCCTTACTAAAGGCACCAAGCTTTCTACCTCCTGTCTTGCATTAAGCTTTATTTATTTGAAGAAATTATATGTGTATTGCAAGATTAACTGGCTAGAGCCTTGAAACCTGATTAATAAATGTATTAATATGACACTTATTCCAGATATATAAATAAATGATGGGCATAAAAAATCTACCAATGTTCCTGTCGTGCAAATGTTGTTAGGGTCAATAATGTGCTATTCTGAAATGTAATACAATTGTAATTTTCTCTGTACTTTTTCCATCCAAATCCACACCTCCTCTCAAATCCCATTGGATGAATTTTTGCGATGATCCTGGGGGCCAATCATTCAAAGTCTAATATGCAAGTTTCAAGGATATTTAAGACAGTGTCTTTTTAATCAAACAGCTTCAGGACTGGATGCTGCTTTTCAGAAACATCCACAGAAGTTTGGCAACAAGACAAAGAAACAGAAGCGGTTATAGGACAGAGTCATTATGGTATGTAAAGATGTGCACACTACAAAAATAGAGTATTTTTATTCATTGAGCTATAGTTATCTTAGTTAACAGACTGGATGGTGTAAATACTGAGTTAAAATGCACATTTACAGTAAATATAAGGGCAAATGTATCAAATGATAAAAGATTTATCTGCAACTCTGTCTGTTCAGAAAGCAGCAAACTACTTGATCGCAATTGTTTTTTGAACATATCATCTAAAATGTAATCTAGTGTAAATAGTATTTCTTTATGGCCAAAAGTTAAACTTGGTAAAGCAATGCATGAGAAAAGTAAGTCACTGATGCACTATCTCAATTTTCTTTCACATTTTATTTCCCTCCTATGGAGTCTAAGGCATGCCACTTTAAGCAGTATTAAGGAAATAAACAATTATGAAATAAACACAATACTGAAATGAACAAATAGTCCTGTGCTATAAATACTACAATAAATAATTGAAAACATTATAGCACAACTGGTTAAAATTCTTTCTTAGGTATGTTAAATTTGATCTCACCGATATCTTTTTCAGATAGCTGGAAAATAAATGTGACTTCAGAAAATGGGAGTGCAACAAAACAGATCAAAGTTGTTCTCTGACCATGCTTTTTCATCTTACTTTACTGTACACGTTCTAAGTATCCATATATTTAAATTAATGCATTCTTTTCAATTAAGTATTTATTTTTATGGGCATATTCATCTATTTTACTGACATCTATTTGTTACCATGTTTATTTTCATTGATATTGATTGAAATGGCATTTCATAAATCTCTCAGGGGTGGATCAGTTGGAAAGATGTTTTACTGTGCTGTGATTGGTTATTTCATCTGGGTGTGCTGCTATCAAGTTCACAAACACTTTTATCGTCCTTGTGTATCCTAATGGTGCATTCAATAACTGGGAACTTTAATTTTCTTGCTTTCTTAGCATGAAACCTTACTGAGTAAAATGTTAAAATGTTATTTACAGTTTTCTTTCTTCATTTTCTGTGTATATAACTTTTTCTGGCACCTTGCACTGTCAGACTAATGTAATTTTTTTCTAAATTCTTTTCATTGTTGCATATTTGTTATTAAATGAAGGGTGAGAGGGCGGTGAAGGTGGGATCCCTTTGATCAACCAGAAATCCTGAGACAGGAACCGACTTATGAACTCTTTATTCCCACTTTGGTTAATTTGTTACTCGTTAAATTACCCACACACATAACTGTTCACCATCTATTATGGAGCACATTGATATTCTGTTTACAGTTATAAGACTGCTGATAGCTACTCAGGTCAGTTAGTTAATCCTACTGGATTTTTTGATACTGGGTATCAAAATCTACTTGGATGTTCCATGATTTCCAATGTGAATCCTGACTTCAGACACAGGCTGAGCAATCTTATTTAGACTTTCCAGGTTCAACCATTCCTATGCTTTTACAACTGATAATGCAAGAATTTCTGAGAAATTCAGAGTTTAAGTTGAAACCAAAACACGTACGAAACCCCAAAATCTGCTCCATACTGTATGTCTTTGTCTTCATTAAACATTCATGACATATTGCATAATTGTTCTGTCCCTAGACAAACCTGTGTGTGTTTTTTTTCTTCTTTTCTTCCAGTGTGCCATGTCCTTCAGCAGACTCAGCAATTATAATGCTTTTCAGCAGAAAAATAGCAGGGCTGAATTTGAAAAAATGTAGTGGCTCCACTTGAACCTTTAGGGGGAAAAAAAGTTATTATCTACAACAAATGTCTCCCGCAAGAATAAAGTAATTTAATATTCTAAGCTTATAATAAATAATGTTAAAACTAAAATCAGGAGTGGTTTTACTGAGGAAGCTGCTGTTATACTTTGAGATGGGTCAGTACAAAATTATGTCAGTAAGTTGCTGTGACCACTCCTCAGCCGGCTTCTTAGAACTGGTCACAACTTCACTTGTGTTTCATCTGGTCTTCTGCTGTGTTGCAATGTTGCTCAAAAGGCACTGCAGTCAGACCAACATCTGTTTGAGGCCATGTTTGAGGAGCTGGTGACAGAGCTGACGAGGAGAGACCTCACAGATCCTGTCCTGGCCGACGCCATGAGCAGATTAAGGGAGGTGTGTCTGTTTGTTGTCAGGTCTCCAATTCACAAAAGACACGCTGACAAATGCAAACACTGAACATTATTCAATATCTGTCTCGTACCTCAGATTATGGAATACAATGTTGCGAAAGGTAAGAGGAACCGGGGACTGTCAGTGATAGGCTCTCTGAGGGAGCTCCTCCACCCCTCCCAGCTCTCACAGGACACGGTGCGGCAGGCTCTGCTGGTCGGCTGGTGCATAGAGATGGTGAGGATGTCTTATATCGTGCTTAACACTTAGTCTTTCTAGATTTGAAATTCTTTTTTTTTCAATGACATGTCCAAAAACAGTGCTGTTTGTGCGTTTGTGTCTATCAGGGACAGGTTTGGACACTTTTTCTCATTCTGAATGTTTGGAATGGTCTGTCCAAACTTCAGATTTTTTTCTAAACATGTGTTTACAATTCTATTAGATTGGAAGTTGGGTAGAAAAAGGAAGGTTTTGCTGTTTAAAAAATACAGTTTTAAATCATGCAGCTATTTTTCCTGCCTATGTTCTGTAAAGCTTGTTTCTCTTTTGGACCAAATGGGCTAGATTCCAGCTGTCCGTCAGTGGTCATTAGGGCAGAGAATATTGAAACAGAGATGGTAATGTTTCGTCTCTTTTGTTCAGGGACTGCTTTAAAAAAAACTCATCCAGTCTGACTCTTGACGCAGTTTGAAACACTTATTCTTTCTTCTCTGCACACGACAGCCTGATATATGCTCATCTGTTCCAGCCAAGTCTAAAAGCTTTCTGACTTACAGTCTCCTTCTTTAAGATAGGTTTTAGGACAAAATTAGCCCAGAGATAAACAGCAGACTCAAAAGAAATTGACTCTCAAGCTGATAGGGAAAGTGCAGCTTGAGAGTCTGGGTCTGATTTCCTAAAATGGACAAACATGGCTGAGATGTTATGCTTCACCAGAGACTCAGTTGTACTGTAGATATGATACTTGTCAAAAGTGGTGTTGCTTCTGTGCTTTACAGGTTCAGGGATTTTTCCTGGTGGCTGATGACATCATGGACGGCTCTGTGACTCGGCGAGGACAGCCCTGCTGGTACAAGAAGGTAGAACACCGGATATGTGACTAAGGAAGAGCTTTTTTGAGTTGATGTCATTTTTCTAATTCTGTTGATGATATGTTCAGGCTCCTGTTTAAGTTACCGTGTTCTTTCGTTGTTTGTTATTTGAAGGATGGAATCGGTCTGGATGCCATCAATGATACACTTCTCTTAGAAGCATCAATCTACAGACTACTCTGCCGACACTGCAGGGAGCAGCCTTACTACGTCCACCTACTGGAGCTTTTCAATGAGGCTGGTTTCGATTACTAAATTCTTAATGGCAAACACTAATCTGCTATCATCTGATAAATGATTTTGTCCATTAAGTTTCTGGTTCATCTGTCTCCCACCCTTAAGTGCCACTGGGAGGCTCCAGAGTGTTATTTCCTTCTTAGCTAATGATGAAGTTCTTCCTCGCCACCACATGATAGGGTTGTTGAGAGTCTCAGAGCAACCCTTCAGAGTAAATTTGAAAAGTACAGGATGCGATTTACCTTTATATGTTTTTGTGTCTCAGACCATTTATCAGACAGAGCTCGGTCAGACTCTGGACCTCCTGACAGCTCCACCTGGTCAGGTTGACCTTAGCAGATTCACCATGGAAAGGTACGAAGTGTTGCTGAAAATGAACAATAACCAGGATGAAAAATCTGAAGTTTATATAAATAAACATGTTTTCTTACTATCACCCAGGTACAATGCCATTGTAAAATACAAGACGTCCTTTTATTCGTTTTACTTACCAGTGGGAGCTGCTTTGTACATGGCAAGTATTTCTATATATCTTATACATGGTAGGGATGGTGGGAATGGTCATCAAAAAGTGAGAATAACAACATGAGCTAAATACTATATTAGTCTCTTTAACACCTGATTTAACTGCCCCTTTGCAGGCAGGACTCAACAGCAAAGAGGAACACAACAATGCCAAACACATTTTACTTGAGATGGGAGAATTCTTCCAGATACAGGTGTTTTTGCTTATTTCAATGTCAAGTTGTTCCCAGATTACCCACATTTCATGCTCTGTGAATAACCCTGGGATGCGTCTCGTGTGCAGGATGACTACTTGGACTGTTACGGAGACCCCGCTGTGACTGGAAAGATTGGCACAGACATCCAGGATAACAAGTGCAGCTGGCTGGTCGTGAAAGCTCTGGAAGTCATGACTCCTAAGCAGAGATCAGAGTTACAGGTCAGACTCCCATTCTGTTGGAGTATTTCAGATATGAGTATACAGAAGGCCCCTTGTTGCAAAGGGGTTTAACTGTGTTCCCTTTTCATTCCACATTTTGAAAACCTACATGTTCATATATTTATCATGTCCTCCTCAGGCTTGCTATGGTCACAGTGATGAAGCTAGTGTGGAAAAGGTCATGGCTCTGTACAACACCCTGCAAATGCCAACGTTGTATCACAGATACGAGGAGGAGAGCTACCAGCGGCTGCAGAAGCTCATCGCTGCTCACGCTGGGACTCTTCCTCATTCAGTCTTCCTCAATTTCGCAAAAAAAATCTACAAGAGAAACAAGTAAAAAAAATCAGGGTGGTTGCAACACAATAAAAAAGAACTTAAATCAAGACTTAGAAAAGCATTGCATTTCAAAAGAGGGTAAAGTTTCTCACTACAAGAGCTGCATCTGGATTTGATTTTATGGAATATCAGGTTGTGGATTAGATCAAACAGCCTTTTTAGCTGACAATTATCTTTCTATGATGTATTTAAGGCTTAATGGTTTTGAATAGTTGGATAAAAACTTAAAAATAAGAAATGGTGCATTACAATAATCTGGTAACGTAGGCCGAGAGAATTTTTAAAAATAAAATATCGCCAAGAGACTACTTTCTCCTTTATATGAGCAGTTAATTGATTATTGTTCTTTGCATCAAATTTGTCATGACACATTTGCAACATGTCAGAGTTTGCCTAATTAAATCGTTCTTAGAAATGTACATGCCTGCTATCTTATGGAATATTGTCTGATCAAAATGAAAGAAACAACCCTGAAATCAGGTCTCAAATCAACGATCTCAACAAATGTAATTTGGTATCACAATGTATCACAAATAAACTATCTCAGAATACAATTTACTAAAAGTGTATACATCTGGCCTTTTTTGTACAGAAACTGAAACGGTATGTCACTCAAACAGAGTAATCATAGAAAACATTCATGTCTTTCACTGATTTAAAAAAAGTACAAACTTTGACAGACACTGACATCAGTCCCAGCGACAGGTAAGCGGGATCAGTCTTTATTTAGTTGTTCCTTCTTTTGGATATGGATTGTTTTGACAGCTGTAGTAGACTTTTTTGCATTCACAACTGAATAAATGTAACTTATTATTAAGTCATTCAAATATTTTTTACATGTTTGGTTTTTCTTTCTCTCTTTTTGTTTTGCACTAAAGATTCATGAACAGTCTTTTGGAATAGATCTATAAACTAGATTTCTAAACTAAAATAGCATTATTTTCTTATTTATTGTATAGTTTTTTTAAGAAAACGCATTTTAGTCTGGTCCTACTAAAACACCATCCAACTGGACACTTACTGTGACAGGCTTTTGCCAAATGTGCTAAATGAATTTATCATTACAAAATAAATGTATTTAAATTATTTGACTAAATTGGGATAAAAGCAACTGAGACTACATTACTGGCTATAAAATGTCTGATGTTAGATCGTATGAGTCCTAAGAGAAGTATAACTGTTATTTGACTGGTTGGCAGATGCATACAACACATCGTCTGTTGTAGTTTCTTGATTTTTTTTCTTTAAGGTCAATCCCACCGCTCCACTTCAACTCCGCCTACTCCCTCATTTTATTGGTCAACAGAAATAAAAACCCAGCCTGGTTCGATTTAAGCAACCAGTAAAAAGTCTTGATGTCAAATGGGTTCTTCAGTAACCCCGCCTACTCGCACGGTATCCTGGGACATCTAGTCCAAGCGGTCACATTTATAAACGGGAAGAGCTGGTTTGTGAACTACAGCGTGCACATCCTGGTTTTAAGAAACGTTCAAAGACGTCAGTTTGACAATAAGAAGAAAAAAGGGAAAACTCCACATCTTTCACAATTACTTCGTGCTGTTTGGAATTACAAGAAATTGTTATTATGGTATGTAAAGACATGTGAATGGACATAAAATAGTTTGATTTGTTGCGTCACAGGCATCTTCTAAACAGCCTAAATACAGGATAACCAAATAAGCTAATGTCAGCTAACGTTTCTTTTCGTGGCAAGGGAGCTTCTAAGAGTATTTTCTCTTATAATCCTTGCACTGAGCTAAGTGGGCAATGTGGCTGCTAATTCAGCAAACTTGGTGGTTTTCTTAAACCGGAACAAGAAACTAACGCTATGTTGCCTCGTTTCTGCTGCTAGTCACAGACAAGTTTGACTCCCACTCCTTTCGCCTTTAGCCAACGGATTTGAATCAGTGGTCGGGAATGAGGCGCGTGCTGAGCTGGGTTTTTAATGCCCCGAAACAACTCCACCCCAAGTGGCTGGCAGCGCACCCGCTTAGAACCAAAAGCCCCTCTTTTATGACGTGTACCTCGTCTTTCCAGGGAGACGGGGTTCGCAATGGGACGCAAAGCAAAAAGTCGCTGCTCTCGGACCCTCAGCTGTTCGACGCGCAGTTCGACGAGCTGCTGACCGAGCTGACCGACAGAGACTTCCAGGATCCGGGGCTGACCGACGCACTCAGCAGGCTGAGACAGGCACGCGCTTGCTTTGATTGGCTCTTGCACGGTTTGTTGTTTTTTGCCACAGATTGCATTATTGACCGTAGCTCACGTGTTCGGCCTGTGCTTTTCAGATTATGGTGTACAACGTCCCCGGAGGGAAGAGGAACCGGGGGCTGTCGGTGATCGGCACCCTGCGGGAGCTTCTCCCCCCAGCGGAGGTCACTCAGGACGCGGTGCAGAGAGCTCTGCTGGTGGGCTGGTGCATAGAGATGGTGAGGACCTGATCCTACTCCACACACCCCACCTCCACCTTTATCTCCATAAAAGTGAAACACTGTTATGTTCAAGCAAACTACAAAACTATCCTTGTATTGTTATGTCTCCATTGAGATGGAGAGAAGAAACAAAAAACATCTTGAAAGTTTGTTTGTTTGTTTTTCAAACAGGAGTAAGGATAAAGCGATGTGAGGAAAAATACATTTTGTCATCTATGAATTCATGTTATCTTCCTCTTGATCATATCTTAACTGCTAAAAATTACTTCCAAGAGGTTAATTTAGTATGTTTGAGGGGAGGAAGGTACCCGTTCAGTGTGGCACCATGTTCAGACTCACACCTACTGGTGTAATTACATTTTCCAAGCGTGTAATTCTGGATGATTTCAGTGTTGCCTCTCTCTGTATTTCCTTCAGCTTCAGGCATTTTTCCTCATGGCAGATGACATCATGGATGGATCTCAGACTCGGAGAGGACAGCCCTGCTGGTACAAAAAGGTGAGACTTGATGTGTTCCAGTAAAGAAGAGAGAGATGATTTGTAAGTGTGTCTTCAATGTATGCTTGCTCATCTCTTTTAAAGGAAGAAATAGGTCTGGATGCCATTAATGATTCCCTTCTGGTGGAGGGCTCCATCTACAGAATACTGCGGCGACACTGCAGGGACCAGCCTTACTATGTCCACCTGCTGGAGCTGTTTAATGAAGTAAGTCTTGGTCCGTGTAAAGCAGCTAATGGAAGGTTAACTGAGTGTGTCATGATTTTGGAAGTGTGTCATATCCAGCTGTGGAGTCCGAGCCTGACCATGTGTAAAAATGTTTCTTTCTTTTCACACCAATAGCTGAATAAGAACCATTATTCACCCTTCCCATTTCTTTCTTTATTCAATTTTTTATTAAACACAGTGAAAGGTGACATTTCCTGTGTATCAGTGAGATATTATTTCAGGCCCACCAAAGAAAGACTTGAAACACAAAAGACAATCAGATTCTAAAAAAGGCTATCTGACACCGATGTGAACTGAGAGTTTTGATCTGTGCTTCTGTGTCTCAGACCACTTTTCAGACAGAGCTCGGTCAGACTCTGGACCTCATGACGGCCCCCCCTGGTCAGATTGACCTCAGCAGATTCACCATGGAAAGGTGAAAAGAAGAGGCCCGTTTGAAAAAATTCAAGCATAAATAATCACAGTATGTTTTTTTTAATCAATTGTTTTTCTTTCTTTCAGGTATAAAACTATAGTGAAATACAAGACAGCCTTTTACTCGTTCTACCTCCCAGTGGCATCTGCAATGTACATGGTGAGTCAGACTGAAGCCTAAATTCTTCAGGATGGCGATTATGGAGAAGGATGGCATGGTGAAAAGATCAGATAAAGCTATGAATGACCGCTAACAGTCACAATGAGCTCATACCTGCTGTGCCTTCCTGATTTGCAGGCGGGAATCAAAAGTGAGGAGGAACACAACAATGCCAAACACATTTTACTTGAGATGGGGGAGTTCTTTCAGATCCAGGTGAATGTTACCAGAGTTATGATGATGTACCAGAGTTTCTCACATCGTGACTAATGTTCTGTGGAGTGTGCTCTGTTAATAACCCTGTGATGCGTCTCATGTGCAGGATGACTACTTGGACTGTTACGGAGACCCTGCTGTTACTGGAAAGATTGGCACAGACATCCAGGATAACAAGTGCAGCTGGCTGGTGGTGAAAGCTCTGGAAGTCATGACTCCTAAGCAGAGATCAGAACTGGAGGTGAGAGCGTGAAACTGGCTCTACTCAACAAGCACTGCCATTAGTCAGTACTGAAATTAAAGTCATCTTTAAGGTGGATATCTGGTTCTTGACTTTGACATGTAGAATATTCCACCTAATTACTCTCAAATGCATGCATTTGGCCGAATATGGAATGCACATCACCATCACTTCATTAAACACATCATTTCATTTGCAGGTATATCAGTGTCCAGATCTGTAGAAATCTAACAGTATTCTGGTGCTCTCCCCTGATGGGCTTCTTATCAAAAGCTTTCTATGATATGTAACAACAGCAGAGGGAAACTCTTTTCTGTACAGGTTGCCTTTGCTTCCAGGTGTCCACATTTAGCAAACCGTGTCTCTTATGCTGCTGGCCACTGCTAAAAGCTGATGTCATTTTTCCTGTTGTCCACAGGCTTGTTATGGGCGCAGTGATGAAGCCAGCGTGGCAAAGGTGAAAGCTCTTTTCAACACCCTGCAAATGCAATCTCTTTATCACAAATATGAAGAGGAGAGCTACCAGCGGCTGCAGAAGCTCATCGCTGCTCACGCTCAGAACCTCCCGCACTCAATCTTCCTCAACTTTGCTAAGAAAATATATAAGAGGAACAAATGAAGATATTAAAGGGAGTTATTAAAATGTGTATGATTAGCAGTACAGTGTATTAAGAGACTTTTTCGGAACATCAGCCTGGTTACCTTTTTTACTTTTGATATGATGGCCAAATCAAGTTCACCATTAAAGTTAATACCACGGTTGTATTTTTTTTGTTTTAGTTTTCCTCTTCATTTAATTTTGTGCACAACAAGCTCTTGCTTGAACAGAACTGTGATGCGGCCATTTTCAAATGGGCAATGTGTGTTAGTCTGTGTTTGCTATTTATTAAATCAGCTGTATACTGCTGTATGTCCTTTGGAATGAATCAAACATGACTTTATTTTTGCCACATTGTCGGCCTCATATGAACCATTTTCTGTCTGTGCGAACACTTGTAAAAACAAATGTTTATGTTTTGATTGTAAAAAAAAAAGGGCAAAAAGTAAAGGTAGCCTTACCAATTTTGTCTTTATACCAGATGTTTTTATACTGGTGTCACAGTAAATCATATCCAGGTTGTAATTACTTCTTAATAAATTATTTATGATCAATATTTTTTGTGTTATTTATGTGTGATCAGGCAGAAGACTGATAAAGCAGTTGATGTAAAAAGCACAGCTTTGTCACGTATGACAGTCAATCTTAATAACAGCCTCTGAGAGGGAAACATTTATAGATTGATAATTGATTGTAATCATAACATTTCACTGTCCCCAGAATGATCAGGACTGATAAAAATCCCAGGCACTTAATTGATGAGGAATAAATTCATGACACTGCAAGCTGCAAGAATTAAAGACGAGAAAGACAATTTCACTTTTCACCTCGAAAAAGGATTTCAAATAGTTGGTTTTCATAAGGCAAACAAGGGGTGTGGTTTAGCACAAACCAGTGGGGGGAGGGTTACTGGAACCTCGCGAGAAGACAGATGCTGAGGCTGTTAACGTCGAGAACATCCACATCCTCACGGACTGGGATGTGAGAGCCCGAGGAGATGGAGACCTTCATCCATCTTTACCTGAATCTGCCCGTGAGTCTGTTTGATTAGCTTAGGGATGTGCATTTGTGTGTATTACGTGTTTACAAGCGAACCTGCATGAACGAGTCGGGGAAGAAAAATACTGTGATTGCACACGGAGGTTGCGTAGATTTGAAAATCATGAGATTTGTCTTTTAGCCAAAAGATGATGCCGTGGGACATGTACACCTAGACACTCGGTGTTATTCATGCCTGTTCTAATCAGAATCGGGGGCAACATGCAGCGTTTTATTTGTGTTATAAATGGGGCGTGTGGGCCTGGATATCATAGCGATGCGGTTGGAGGAACCCCCCTCCTCCTCCTCTCCTCCACCCATCCAGCTCTGTCTCCATCGGCTCTGTGAGATCAATACAAACAAGGTTCATCACTGTGCTCAGGACGGGTTAAATACATATGAATATATATATGTCTTGATCTTATTTCTTTTTTGTTGATTTCTTGGCATTCCGGCAGAGGGCCCAGCTGGAGTCCTTTATATTCCAGTACTGTGAAGGGCACAGTGGGGGGAATATATGAGCTATAGCTCTAGGTTTTCTATAGCTATAGGTTTTCTATAGACGGTCTCGCTGTTGTTCTCTGCTGATTATGTGTGTCTTATATTCCGGCATCGCTCAAGGTATGAGGGGTCCGTTTTCTTTCTTTTGGTTCAGATCTCAGCCTTTTGAGAGCTTGTAACAATGGTGGACTGACACAGATGGACACAGAGTGATTACTGTTAACTCAATGAATATCAGTGGCGCTTAGTGCAGAAAAAATAGACTGACGAGTTGCAGAGGAATCTTGCAGAGATTCGTAGGCTCATATCGTAAAAGAAAACAACTATTTGTACCCTGTGTAGGGAAAAAAACTTTAACCTTTGCAATAAACCTCAGGCGATAAGTTCAGACACTTTCAGATGCTCGTATCTAACACAGACATATACCATTCACATCGGTGATTCAGTTAGTGTGTGAATGGCATATTCTAAGCTTAAAGTTTAAAAAAAAAAAAGGTAATTTCTGATTAACTGTCTAACACTTTATCAAATAGCAAATGGTGTTTCCGGTGTAAGTTGTTCTCTCAGGAACTGGGGTGTGATGATTATGAAACAAAAACATTTCTAAAGATCTGATTTTCATTAAATAATCAAGAAGATGGTTACATTTGGTTATTTTACATGAAACCATGAACCCTAACATGCTGATCAATGATAAGCAGGGTTTGCTCGTAGTCATTATTCACTGTGTTTCCTTTGATGTTGCAGGATCTTGGGAGTACTGCCAAGATGTGACTGTCACAGTGCGTCATAGTTTGGATGTGTCCAGCCTTTACAACACTTGTTTCTATAGTAACAGAAATAGCACATAATCTTCGTGAGTCCCATTCCCACAATGCAGTCCTCCTCTCAGCCTCCAAAGCCGCGGCGCTTCGACGTCAACAGGCGGGCCGGTACCGTGGCGGGACCAAAGCCTCATGGTGCCGGAGTTCAGAGGGAGGATAAAAATATGAACACGGTCACCTCATCCTCTCCACGGCGGACTAAAGGCCCGACTGCTGCTTCCAGAAACAGGGTGGGTGTGCAGCCTCGAGCTCCAGTAATCCAGTCCAGGATGAGCTCACAAAAACAAGCTCCCCTCATCTCCAGGTCAGCTAAACCTAAGCCTAAGATTACTCGTGCGTTGGCGGCATCCAAGAGTGCCTCCGCTGCCTCTCCCCCTCCTCCGCTCCCCTCTGTTCTCCCCCTTGACCCGAACTGCAACGAGCCGAGCCTCCCGTGTCTGTGCTGCGATGGACGCTCGCCACAGGACAACAACAGCATGTTCAACCACAACCACAACAACAACAATACCATCTCCATCAGACAGCAGCTACAGCTACCGCCTCCTCCGGCCCCTCTGCCCCAGAAGCACGATGGAGCCGGGTCCAAGGAACAGCCTCCGTCGCAAGCTCAGGTCCAGATGGAGCCCCCTGCTCATGCTGCTGCCAATCTGGGAAAAGAAGAGAGGAATGCAGATGAACAGGCTGAACTAGACAACAAGAAAAGGATAGAGGAGGAAGATGACGATGAAGAGAGCAGCGGAGATATTGAAATTGACGATGTGGAGGCCGACAATGATGATGATGATGATGATGATGATACCTTGGTGCCATCATGCTGTGATTGCCCCCCCTCACTCTTGGAGTTCTCGCTCACTTCCTCTACCTCTTCTTCCTCCACTTCAATCAGCTCCTGCTCTGATCTGGAGTCTGACTTCGCAGATCAACCCATCTCCATCTGCTCCTCCCACGAACCGGACGATCTCTCTCCTGCTCTGGCCCCCAAAGACCCTCTTATGCAAGTCCCCGCACATTCACCTCCAGCCCTTCCCCTCTGCCGAAATCCCTTTACCTTATCGTCCTTTTCCCCAAGTCCTCCTTGCTCCCCAGACGAGGGCTACCCTTCTGCCCTCGACTCTCCTTCTTCTGACTACTTAGGAGTCAAAGAGGACTCAGAGGTCACAAAACTAGGTTTGCTTGACTTTCTCGAGTCGGTAGGAGAGTTTGGGAAAATGGAACGCTTCAGTCAGGTGATCCAAGTTGCTCGTTGGGATCTGGAAGGGGAACAACACTGGGCTGTTCTGCGGGATCGAATAGATCATCTGGATCGTTTGGAAAAGGTGAACAGAGAAGTAAAACTGGCCTACATTGCCAGACTTCACGAGAAAGGATTTGATCTGGAAGATCTGGAAGAGCGGGATCTCGCAGACGTCATGGATGAAATGGGCAATATCGACATTCCCTGGAAGTTGTATAAATCCCATAGTGGAGAAATGGGACACTCGCAGGAGTTTTCGGATGCTGGGGTAGACCTCACAGCTCCATCAGACTGTGATGATCCTCTAGTTCCAGATTCCTTGACCCCTTCCCCTGTCGAGCCCCCACCGAGACCTCCTAAACCCCCAGCACGCCACGCCAGCGTGAGCTCTGACCTCCACACCTACATAAACATCAGCAGAGAGACCACCTCCATGGCTGTCACCACTTCGCCCACCTTGTCTACTTTCTCTCCTAACTCCTCATCCCCGACATTTACCACTTTCAGATGTGAGAAAGCTCTTCCTCCATCTCCACCATCCATTCCTCCCCTACCTGCCTCCAAGCCTGTTCCTTACCTTACTCTCTATACCACGCCTTCTCCACCCCCTTCGATTCCCACCCCAACCCCTCCCATCCCTCCTCCCAGAAGACGACACCTTGCCAGGAAGGAGGCACAGCGTCTTGCCGCCCTTCAAGCTGAACAGGAGAAGACCCCCCTGTCCCTCCCTCCACCCACCTCACGCCCTCCACCTCTGCCCCCTCCACCTGTTATCTCTGTTACCTCCTCCTACTCTCCACCCGCCATTCCACCTCCACCGGCCCTGCCTCCTCCTCCCTCCTTCCATGCTTTGGATGTAGAGATCCGGAAGCTACTTATGCTCGCTGGATTGACCCAAGCTGAGCTCCTCAAACTCAGCCCAGAGCTCGGTGTCTGCGTCGGGAGGCTAGAAGATGAAGAAGATGGAGATAATCACATCACCTGTAGTTCTATTGGGTCACAGGAGTTCAGACTCCAAGACAAGGAGGAAGTGAACGAACTGACCACAGACAGAGATGTATGGAAGCTGGACCAGGGTCGAAAAGAAGATAGAGAGGAAGAAGGCCAAAAGAAAGCAGAGAACAAAGACACACAGAGAACCACTTCATTTACTGAAATGGCAAGAAGAAGGAAGAGGAACACAGGTTTTACAGCTGAACAATACTACAGCAGTGATTTTAGCAATAGACAAGAAAATGATATGAAAAGCACGAGTGTCGAGACTTTCTGTTATACCCCTGAGTTGCCAGACACACCACCTCCTCCTCCTCCTCCTCGCCCCTTACCACCAATCCCCCCTTCTTTGCCACCCCTTAAAGTCAGCACCTTGCCTGCCAACTCCGAGCAACCTGAGCGATTTGATTGGCTCATTGCATTCACACCTGAATGTGAAGCCCCACCTCAGCTGCCACCTCTGGAAAACAGAAAATCTCTCTCAGAGACCCAGAGGAAGCCCAATTCATCAGGGTCGACTCCAGGTTCCGCTCCAAAGGTTACAACCTTTAAGGAGCTCCGCTTCCGCAACAAGAGCAGCTCTCCTCTGACAAAAGTCATCAGTCAACCAGATCCTGATCCCACGGTCATCACACCCGATCCAGATATACTCTACAACTTGAAGTGGAGACGAGAGAAGTTAGGCAGTGATGGAAACCAGTGGGAGTACACCTCACAGGCTCAGGCCTTTTTCATGCAGCCGCCTCCAGCCCTCACATCTATGGCCGCCCTGAAGGAGATGCTACAAAGAGCCGACAAGGAGGGTGGCAAACTAGAGCTGTGCCCATCAGAGATTGGCTGCTCCATCAGTGACAGTAGCCTCTTGTCCATGGGCAGAGAATGGGAGGGTGCAGAAGTGAAAGTAGAGGAGAGGGAAGAGAAGAAAGAAGAAGAGAAGCAGAAGGTGGAGGTGAGAGGTCAGGCCGATGGCGGAAGGACTCTGGAATCAAGAATAACAGGTGAGTATGTTTTTTAAGATGATCCAATGAACGAGACAGTTGAAATATTCTAAGTGGATTTATGTTGAGAAAAAAAATATAGATAACAAAAAAACCCATCCGGGCCAAATGGGTCAATCAAGTACCCCTGTTCATTTCTCCACTCATGCAGAGACAGAGACAGAAACATGGAAGGGTAGACTCATTAATGGTAATGATACATGGGATGAGTGCAGATAGATGGAGGGTGAGCCTGAGTCATGGTGAGGGAGGATACATGATGGATGCTCGATGATGAGGCATAAGAAGAGAGTCATTTCAAAGGTGAAGCAAGAGAGAAAATTTGAGCTGCATTGAGAGATAATTGGATAAGAACAGTAAGATTAGTGAAGGTAAAATGAGAAGAAAAAGCAGGGCTGGTGACTTTCCAGCAAATCTTTCCTGCATTGGTTATGATGTCATCATAACCTTATTCAATTATTCATCAGCCCTTCATGGTGAGATGGGAGGTGTATGGAGGTCCTGCAGAGGAATACTTTCTCTTATTTGCTGCAATACAGTCTCGTTTCATACTGTTTCTGTGTCCCAAAAAGCTCCCGCAGTCTCTATCTGCCTGCTTTTTTCTGACTTTAGATCCCATTAGCCTTGGGATGTTTATATGCTCCCTGTCCATCCTGCCTTCTCCACCCCAGAGCAGTGCAGATAACACAGATCAAGTTACTTACCTAATGCAGTGCTGCAGTAAGCCTCACAGAAACTCAGGCTTAGACTGTCCACAAAAGCTAAGATAAGGGTTCAGGGTACTTTGAAGGGACTGTTTTATCTGTAAAACATTTATTTGATAAAGGTCATTACTTTATCATGACTTTATTTCTACTATCTAATTATTCAACTCAAGCAGTTTGCTAAGTCAAAAGTATGTAATCTTGCTTTAAAACCAAGTAAACAGGGCACAGCGAACAAACCAGGAAAAGGTGTGTACTACTTTAAGGGCCCAAGGGGAGGATTTCAGCACATGGGCCAATTGCAGACAGTCTGCATATAGAAAATAGGAAGTGCTAGGAGTGGATTGCGGTTCAAAGGAAGCTCAATCCTAAACAAGGTATGGATCCTCTTTTGCTCTCTCTCTCTCACTCATAACCAGGCTGAAAAATGTGGCGGCACTCTGTAAATCTCCAGCGAGGCATGCCCGGTGATTGAGCAAGAACAGGCAGTGCTCTGCTGACTGCCGACTGACTCAGCATTGCTCTGTTTGCTGTACTGGTGGAGTTGAGGGGAGGGGAGGGGTGGGGAGGGGTGGGGAGGAAGGTGAAGAGAGGCAGTAGAAAAAGACAGGGAATTGATATAATCAGCGTAATCCTCAGGCGATGACGGCATGCGTCACAAAACATTATTTGCACTCCTTGTATTATATATTGGATATTTTCTCAACACATTCACTAGATTTCAGAAACAGAAAGTGAAAGGAGATTCTAAAGAAGGAAAATGTACTCTTTGTTTGTCTATGCCATTAGGCCTGGTTCACATTGCCAGACAAAATGATTCTTCTTTGATTAAAACTGCAGTCATACTAATCTTAAGGACAGCCGCTGGAAATTTTCGTCCCAACACCAGTTAAATGAAAGTGTGTAGGGGGAAAAAAAGTCAGATATAACCCTGGTTTTGACAGCCACTTGTCTCTAGGGGGTTCAGTTTTGAGGCCATTTTTGTTGTTGCCATTACCTAATTTCTTGCATGTTCAGATTTCTTTTAAGGGCTCTACGATGTATGCCACGCCTGGCTCGTGAAAAGTAAAGGCCAACCTAAGTGTGTACGATTTACCATCTAGTGGTAAAACTGCAGATGGCATCCACATAAGGAATCCTTCACAATGCCCAGTTTTAAGGAACACCTGTGGATCAAGACAGAGGCTGGATTTCATTCAGTCACAAACCTGCTGGTTGATCAGAAAGTCCGCTAAAATAACACAGCAATCAAATACAATCGGACAGTTTATCATAAGACGTGAAACTGTCATTTACGATATAAAATAATTTTAAAATAAGGTCAGAAATCCAAGCTGAACCAATTTGACACTGGATTCTACAGAAAGTTGGTCGGTTAGATAATCCAGGTTTAAAATGTGGGTTTGTTCCTCCCAGTTTCTGAATCCATCTTTTACCAAAAGCTGGCAGCAGTTACTGGCATTTATCTAGACACAAGCTGGTGATTTCTGAACATACAACTGGTGGGATCGCCTTGTGTGCAGAACATTTCGACTGTGCAGCTGTGAGATCGCTCAGCAGTGATTCTTTTACAGTCAGCGTACCATTTCCTGTCTTATTAAATGAAACTCTGTCGGTAGTGCTCTTCATAAATCAGCTCCATTAACTTCCATGCACTGTCAACGTGTAACTGTATTGAAATGGGCCATTGCTGCATGCTGTTACATGATAACAGTTTCTGCTGGAATATTCTCAGTAAAGTACATTTTTCTCTCAACTGACACTAACATATTCTACATTTCTCTCTCCTTCCCATTTCTTTGCTGCATTTTCTTGCTTTGATCTTCCTCACCTATGCATCCCACTTGGTTATTTCCATCGTTTGTCCATTGCTCCGCTTTGCTCCCTTGTATGACAACCCCCCCCTCCCCCCCCACTCCCTGACCTGACAATTTTTGGCCTTTTTTCCCTTGAATTGAACAGTTTCCTCACCCCCACTCTCCCTTGCCCAGTCCTCCCAGCCCACCCAGCCCTACTTCCTGCACTCTGCCCTCCCTCCCTTTCGCCCAGGCTACTGTAACTCGCAGCCCCTTGCAGCTCGCAGACCTCGCAGCCATGTAGGACGAGAATCCACAGCCCCTGCTCCCAGCTCAGCTTGTATGCACAAAGATGAGTCTCTGGCTGACTTTGGCGCAGACTCCCTTTGTGACTATGGAGATGCGTTTGAGCAGAACGACGGTTCCAAAATCAACAAGAGGGACTTTTTTGCATCTGACTCGATCTGTAATTCCGACTCCCTTTACAGCAGTGATTCAGAGAGGCAGACGCGCGCCCACCATAAGTCTGACGCACCTGCTGCTGGCGCCACAGAGGTGCCAGGCTGCAGCACGCCATATAAGAACATAGATGTCCTGCTGACCTACTCAGCCAACGTAGATGCTGCGGATTCACTGAATTCCAAGAAGTGCTCGCGTGTAGACGAGAGCAGCACCAAAGCGAGGACAGCCAAAGAGCTGCCCCCCCTGCCCTCCTATTACCTGTACCACCCTAAGAACTGCCCTCTTCACCGGGGCGCACCTCCTCGCCTCTCACCAATCGGAGCCCTCTCCCCCCCTCAGCGCTCTGGCGCGCCCCCTCCAGGCACAGCGGGCTCTTGTCTTAGCTCCCCGCTTTTCCCTCGCTCTCACACCCTGCCTGCCCTGGCCGCTCCCCTCTACTATCCCAACCTCTACCCTCCTATACCACCCAGAGCTCCCCCCCTACCCCCAAAACTCTACCAGGCTCCTCTGCAGTCACACGTGGCGAGTAAGACTTCTCTCTCTTTCCCTACATCTGACATGCTCTTTCTTTGACTGACACCTCGCGTGCACGTCTGCCCGTCTTACTGTCTGCTTTGTCATCGCTGGAGAGAGTGGACTCTTTATTTTTTATTTTAAGCTCTGGGGATTTGCAGATTTCAAAGAACAGGGTAACTTCAGCTGTTTTTTTTTTTTTATATCTAGAGGTCCTCTTCCTGTAGGTCACCCAGTACGTTTTTATCTACTCTGTCCTTTCAAATCTGCAAATGGCCTTCAGACAGGGAACAGCTGCTCCTGTCACAGAGCGTCTAGAGTCACTCTCATCACTCTTTCTGTCTCTATCTGTGTGTTCGTGTCTGTCTTTCCTGTTTTCATGTTGTCTTTGTTTTGTTTGTGCATGTTGTTGACACGGATCATGCATTTCATGCCAAGTATAACCTTGGATTGTATATACAAAAACTATGATACGGGTAACTTTTTAGTGATAAATGGGTGTGTATGCAGCTTGGCACTGTTGAGGCCAACAGCCTCCTGTTGATTATTTACTTATTTGCATTGTCCTAACGAGTTTATATAAATGCTTTTATATAAACATTTGAATGAACATCAACTGCGCTATACACGTGTGTTATTTGATTATTTATTTGGATGATTTTAGTTGATTTAAGTGGCAGCTCCAACAGCCGTCCTTTCTCGCTCTGCAGTTCCTCCGCTGTTCACTTACGCTTATTGCAAATATGTGGATCATCTCACAGAAACTCACCTAAACTTCAGTTCATGTGATGGATTTTCTTGAGAAAATTAAAAATCGGTTATGGTAACAGATTCTACTCCTAACATTTCGGAAATTAGTCCTTGCTGCTAAGTTGTGAATGTCAGTCTTCTTTATTGAGCCTCAACAAACATCTATTTTTCATTGAATTTGATTCAAATTTGTCCAGAATATACAAAAAGTAGCTTATTCTAAACTAAATAACAAGGTGTAGGTTTTATGCCATTAATGCAAATGAATAATATTGAAAAATAATTTTGTTTTATTTTTGGCATTTTTGTAACCAAATCCAAATCATAGTATACAGTCTGGACCTTTCAGTTTTAAAGATTCCCGCCATTATTTTTCTAGAAAATCCTCAGCATGAAGTGGATTATTCAGATGAGGTAGCGTGGAATGATCCTCGTGTTAGAATTCGTATTTGTCTGAGTGTAGGTTAATGCATGGATTTAGTTTAGTTCTTGCAGAGAAAACGGAACCAGATGTGGAAAGCTCAGCAGAGCAGACCGACACTTAGAGGATGTGCTCGCACACTGTTTGTTTTTACTAGCACCATCTGCTTCCATCTGCTTAAGTGCCCCTTACTAAAAACACTTCTGTTTTAGTTGGAGTATTTCATTGGTGAAACATTTAGCTTCTGTTGAAGTTGTATTTTTCAGTCATTTTGCTGTTAGTAATTGTCATTTTGCTGTCACGGTCAGCTGTCCGCAGCCTCTCATTCCCTGGATCTGAGCAGAAGACCGATTCCCCCTGGATGGGCGAGGATGTGAAGTATCCGACGAGAGGCCTCGGACTGTCCCCGCTGTGCTTGCAGGAAAAGAAAGGTGTGCGTGCTTGTTTGTTTGCTCCGGCGGGGCAGTGGTTAAAGCTTTTCATAGCATCTCTGTAAAGAGTTGTTTTTCCCCCTCAGCTCTGGTCGGTGCGGTCAGCGTGGCAGCGGACGCCATCTTAGGCCAGTTCAGTTCCTCCCGGACAGTCGTTCAAAAGGTGAGTCTCTACAGAGCTGTGTGTGTGTGTGTGTGTGTGTGTGACAGCATGCTATGCTACGTAAGAGGTATGGCTCATCTTTGAAAATGCTCTCTTTCTTTCCTCCTCTTTTGACTCTACATACTCTCTTTGTGTCTCCTCAGTCTTTCTCAGTTAACAAGGTACAAGAATATTTGTAGATAACCCAATTTCTTAGTCATAACAATTTCTTTGGGAACTAACGCCACAACCCCCCCACCCCCAAATCATCCCTGCTCGCTTCCTGTCAACCCTCATTCCCCAATGCTTTCTTCACACACTCATTCATGTGTCCTATTTTTCTCACTGTCCCTCTCTTTTGGGTCATCCTTTTAAACCCCTGTCTCTCCCTATCACTGCACATCTTCCTTCTCCCCCTATCCCATTTTCCCTTCACCGTTCTCCTGTTCTTTCCCTCCTCTCCTCAGGCCTTATCAGGAGACAGCACTATAAATCCATCTCTGGGCCGTCTGGTGCTGCAGTGCCTCTGCCCCTCCCTGCACAGCTTGCTGACTGATGGCTTGAAACCTCACCAGAGCGACCTGATAGCCGGCAGGAGGCCAAACTCGGCCTGGGGTTTGGTCCAGGCCACAACGAGGCCAGGTAGCTTTCGAAACATGAAAGTGTTGGACGCAAAGAAGCGTGTCTTATCAATTCTTTGGATTTGGCTGGCCGGTTGATAACGATTGAGCCTTGTACTTGGTCTGTGTCCGTTTTTCCCACACATCAGTCAATACTTGTTGATTTCATTGTCAAAAACGATGACTAGAGTGAACTAACAAGACGCAGATATCGACCAGCTGATGAGTGCCAAGCTTCACAGCAATTTTCCTCTTACCTCTGTGAGCTCATTCTCTCCTATTCCCTCTCTTTTATCATCCTCCACCCTTTCTTAAGCCCCTAAAACCCAAGCCTTCTACAACCTGCAAGTCCGAGTTAGCGAACTGCCCCAACTTAGACAGAGCAAGCAGAGGTTCAACGCGTTCCTTCTTGGACTGCTGAAGTAAGCCTGGCTCCTTCTTCACGCCAAAAACACCACCGACTACTTTTTTGTTACTGCAGACTAATACATTTTACATATCCTCTTTAATGATCTTCCTTTGAATCCTCTCCCTTTTTTATCTAAAGCACCAAGCTTCTTGATTCCTGGCTGTCTCACCTTCAGTCCTGCGGTGGTAAGTTTCTAACGCGTCCAGGTCTTTCTGTCGCTCTAAAAAAGTGACGTGACGGTGATCTCTCCTGATCCCAGATGTGTTGGAGACATATTACCACCCCACGTCTTTCATCCGTCTGTCGCTGACTGCCTGCCAGCCGCTGTTCGAGGAGCTGCTCCTTGTGCTGCAGCCTCTCAGCCTGCTCACCTTTAACCTGGACCTGCTCTTCCAGCACCACCGTCTGGAGCCGGACAGCCCCGCCCCAGAGACCCCCAGTCCCCCCTGTCAGGAGTCTGGGTTCCACCCGACAACTAAAGGCCAATCCAAAGTCATAAGTGGCCGATACATGGAGAGCCTCTCGGAGGTGGACTTTGGAAGTCCAGAACTTCCAGCAAATGTAAAGAACCCAGGATCGGGGGCATCTACAAACACTGGGGCTGTACCTGTAAAGGCTTCATTAGCTCTCGAGCAAACAAGTCCTCAGCTTTTGTGGGTGCAGGAAAAGGATATTGGCGGTTTGCCGCCTCCAAACGTCGAGGAGGACAGTTTTGCTCAGCAGGCAGGACAGGTGAAGGCATCAGTTCCTGTTATTTAGCGCTTTTAATCAGTCATGACTGAATGCGTGTGCAAAGCTGATTTTTTTTTTGTGTGTTTACCATAGGTGATCCAGCAGGGGTGGGGGGCTGTGATGCGGTGGGGAGGCCGGCTAAGCCAGAACCTGGCTGACCTGAGTCTCTCCGCTGTGAAAAAGGAGGAGATGAAGTCTGATTTGCCAGAGATTCTCCAGGCCCACGCAGAAAGCGACTACACTTCAGTCAGTAGTGGCGCTCAGGTTCCCTGGGGTCTGGGCCGACTCTTCGGAGCCTCCAGGAGCCCCACCAGCCCGGTCGGGCACACACAGCCAACCAGGTCAGCCACTGGACTCTTTACATTATGACCCCTATAGAATTAATTAAGTTATTCCTTAGTTTAGGTATTGTTTTTTTTCTTAATTATCAAAATCTCCGAGAGTTCATGTTCCATTAATTGTTCCATTAATTGAATCTTCATCATTTCTAGTTCAGTTCTTGAGATGTGGTGTTTTTTAATTTTTTTCTTTTTTCAGAATTCATGTCAGTGACATTCTTGTTCTGCTTTAAAAATGAGCAAAATTATTTGAGTTGCACTGGTACAATGCCCATTTTGGGCCTGATTTCTCCCTCCATATCCAGGCGTCCCTCTCAGTGGCTGGCTCCTGGGGTCACTGCTCTGACCCGGATGGTGAGCAGCAACTCTGCTCCAATGCTGCGAAGGACCCCTGAGCCCCAGGAAGGAAGAGAGCCAGAGCCCCAGCCGCACCCGGACATGCTGGAGATCAAAGACAAACCCAGACCACTCAGGTACCAAAGTGATGTTCCTTTTAAGGGTAGCTTTTGCTTTGTAAAGCACTGAATTTAAAGATCAAAGTAGTACGACTGACAAAACCAGAAGGGGGTGCTATCATTTCAGAAGCATGCTTTTGTGATGCTGATATGGTTTTAAAAAATTGTCATGCCAATTAAAAACAACTAATTTAGCTTTAAAACACAAATATTTGCTCTAAAATTTAAGGTAAATGTTGAAAAATGCATTGTCTTTTTATTAAATTAAAGAAATGTTATACTCTAGGTAGGGGTTGTCATGGGGATATCCATTTAACAATTGGACGGTTCAGTAAAACGAAAAATAAATAGTGGGGAGCTTAGAGAGGACTTTTTGTATAACGGACACAAAAACGGCTCCTATTATCATCCTTGTCTTTGAAAGACGGTAAACGGTGACTCACTGGCATGACTTTGGCCAATCAGAATTATGACTCATCAGTCCTTCATCATATGCTGACGTTATTGTTCAGGGACACTGCATAACTCGATGTCTGATCTTGTGTCTCAGGTCCGTGCGAACGCTGTGCGACCACGCTGGAACCGGTTCAGAACTCAGCTTCTGCAGAGGGGAGGAACTGGTGGTGCTGGCAGGCGTTGATCAAGACTGGATTCGCTGTCGTCAGGGAGAAAAAGAGGGGCTGGTACCTATTGGCTACACTTCCCTCATCATGTGACATTGGCACTGTAACTGCTGCATAAATACAAGAATAAATAAATAAAAAATCTATATTTATTTTAGGCGTATTGAGAGGTTACGGTCAGGCTGCACTACTCTGAAAGGGATATTTCACACCAGCTTGATACAGTTTGAGTCAAGTGAATAACACCATCTGCTCTGCTTTGCTGTCATCAAAGATAGTATGCAGCCCTCTCCCATTAAAGAACATATGGGAGTTTTTGCCATCTCAATCCATCTAGTTTGGTAGCATTCAACTAATGGATTTCAGCCGCAGGAATCCAGCAGACGGTTCAAAATAATGACTCGACTCAAATTCAAGCCATGCCATGCTAGAAGTCCCTGGATTATTGTGTGAAACATCCCTTTAAATGTCTTTTCCTCAGTTTCCGCTGTTTCGGTGAGCCTTCTGATTGGACATTGTTTACAGGGAAAAATCTGAGATGCCGACGTGTGACAGATTCAAGCTCTTCTGAGAGAGTAAGATCATCAACTGCGTGTTTTAGGGAGGAAAAATTAAAATCCTGCCCGAAGCCAAACTATCTACTCTGTCAGTCAGCTCCAGAGTGTGAAGGCTCGTGGATTACTGGGTGAGGAAGACATGCCAGAGTACTGTGGCACAGCTGTTGTCGCATACTGCGTATTGGTGTAGTGAATTGTAGCTGTGTAGATCTGTGTTCTATTGACCTTTCACCCATACTGACCTCTCATTTTCTCGCCTGATTTGTGTATGTTTCTGCTATTACATTTTACTCTAAGAATCTATTTAAAATATATATGTATAGGCAAATAAACTGAGACTGATATTATCTAGATGGAAAGCAGATTGAGACAAGATGGCTAAGGAATGTGTGGGAGTGATTGTTTCTAGATAAACGATGAACTGACCCATCTTTATATGAGCAGCTTGCCTCAAACATCAAGTGGTTGAATTGAAATGTGTTTAAGTATGAAATCCAGTATCTTCCCTCTTGCGTGCTTTACGTGTTGCCACAGTCTTGATGTAATATTCAGAACTTTTTTTCATCATAGCTCATACTTTTAAACACTGTATGCTTTTGAATGTGCCATGAAAGCGTTGATTGGATGCCTAAAGCACATCTCTGTATTCCACCTGATTATGGAGGATAACAGCAATCTGTAGCTAATCTTGCGTTCGCAGTAACGGCAACACACAACTATCCTCAGCTCTCGTTGAACACCATTAGAACTGAAAATGATGCAGTGGAAAAAAGAAATCCCAGTCTTCACATAATTCCTCAGCTTTTGTTGTTATTTGTTTGCCACTTATAATCATTGATATTAATGACAGTGATTGTGGTCGGAAGTGGTACATTGGTTCTGATGCTGTTCATATGATACGTGTGGCTCTCTGTTTTTAATTTATTAGTGGAACTATGCACATGCTTAATTTTTCAGCCATTTTGTTTGTTATCAGATTCAGAGTCAGCGGCGCTGAACGACTCCGATTAAAAAGGTTACAGCATAAAGACACATTCAAGGAACGCTGTTTGATTCAGCAGTACTGCTACATTGCTAACGATAAATCAGGGAAAGCTCAGTTCGTCAACATTGCCTCATTTTATTTGGCCAGTGCCATGTAGCATGAGATTACTGGCACTAAGGGCAACAGTCTTGTAGCAGAAAGTTAAAACAATGCTCATGACTTCTAAGTAACGATCATGATAGAATGCCATAAGAAGTAATGTTGAGATAGAGATAGAAAAATAGTAGACACACAGAAATGTTCCTTTTCAAGATCTGGTCGAAATATGTTAATTCATTGGATGTACTATTGAATTCAAGGTGTCTGGGGGGAAAAGCTCTCTATCTATCTGGGCTCTTTAGGAGTGTGAGTGTGGACGGCAGTGTGGCAGTGGAAGCAACGCTGAATTTGAGCACTTCTTTGTGATGTGTTTGCAAATCCTGCACTTTCACTGCATGTGTGTGTGTGTGCGCGTGTGTGTGTGAGAGAGTGTATCAATAAGTTCTGAACCTCCTTCTCATCCTGCTCCTCTTCTCTCTGGTGTCATGTAGCCCGTAGACTTTCCGTCTCCCTCTGTTGCGAATAGTTGAGTGCCCCACTAGTGTCAGTCACCGTCCAAATCCTGCATGTGCTTGTTTGTAAATACACCAAATAAAACTATCTGTATAAACCAAACCTCAGAGGAATGAGTCTTATTTTGGCCACCATCTGTGGAAAGCCTTTGCAGTAGAAAGATCGAACGTCGAGTTGTTTCTTTTTCATTTCAGATGTGATGTCAGCATGTTTGAAAAGAGCTGATGCAGAGGCCTGTTCACTGCCATGTGAGAGGAACGTTTCAGATTTTTGCTTTAGACAGTATTTCCGCTGGTTAATAGCTTTGCTGCTCCTTTGTAATATTTTCTCTTTTATAATGCACCAGACGTTCCCAGTGGGTGGCAGATCTGGAGGCAGAGAGAGCAGTTTCCTCCCAAACTTTTGTATTTTAGAGCCATGCTGTTGAAATCCATGCACAATGTAGTCATTTAGAATTGGAAACAGGGAGGCTTTCACAGCGAAGGACAGCAGATTGATGGCGGCTGAAATTCGTTCCATCATCTGTGCATATCATTGTGTTAATGGTCATTTGGACTCATTTTGACCCGTGAGTTGATGACAACCAGGATTGTCTCTCATCTAACTTGTGCCACAGAATGAATGTCCACCTTTGATGCGGAGTAAGCAGCAAACCTAGATCTGTTTTTTTTTTCTCATCCTCTTTTTTTGGGGTTTAAAGTCACATATGTGAATCCAGCGATTTCCGTTCCTCACTGGCTAAAGTTTTCAGAAGTCCTAGATCCCATGAAGTGATTCCCATTCCAGAATCCCAATCTTTTAATAATACTTAAAACACCAGATGTTTGGAATCCATTGTTCTTTGCTATGTAGTTTTTTAAAAGTCTCTTTCTCATTTCTAGATCCAGCTTCTCTGAAATACTCTTTTCCCACACCGACATGTTTCCGTCGGGATGGTTTGCTTTTCCAGTCTTTTGTTACATCTGTCCCAACGTCTCAACATGAGAATAAACTCTTAAAATCTAACATTTGAAATATTGTTTTTTGTTCTGTTTTCAATTCAGTATAGTTAAAGTGAATTTTTACATCTTAAAACAAGGATGTGGATCATATGGATTTATCTGCTCCCGCAGAGCCAATGACACATGCCAGATTACGTAGACACTGAGGAAAGCAAATGATCTATTCTTCACTATAACAATTGAGTACTTAATTACAATTTCCCTTTTTCCTTACATGGTAATCCTTTGAATTTCTCTGACATCTCTTTTGATCCAACTATCCCATGCAGGCCATAGAATTGGAGAACACAGTCTAAGGCCTCTCTTACCCTCCCCCATCTTGTGGTAGTGCTTGTTTGATAGTGCCGTCCTCCATTGTGGGTCATTATAGAGGACGGCAGTGTGAGATATACAATCTAATACCACTAGATAGCACTCTTAGCCCAATCAGATTAACATCAATGCGGTACTCCACTCAAAACCCAAACAAAAAAACAGCACGCAGGAGGCCGATACATGAAGAGTTTCCATAGCTCAGTACTAGTAGACATAAAATGCTTTATTATTTTGGATACAGAGGCAAAAACTTTGAGCTGACATTCTATGGCATCAACTTCACTGTTTTCTGATGCTTTGTTTTTCAGATGCACACCATCGGAGGCAACAAGCAAAGGTTACATGTCATGCAAACTAGTTAAATAATGTGGATTTATGTACCTTTGCTATAAAGTTAATCATCCACTGGCAATAATGTAGTGCTCTTAGTTTAAAAAAAATGAAAGAGGAAGAAATGTACATACAGTATGTAAACAGTCAAAGAAATTGCACTTTCTTGGCTTGTTATTAGAAGCCACACTACTGAAAGAGAGCTGATATTAAACACTGGAAAAACTAATTCACTGATTAACCACTGATTGTCTGACCAAAAGAAAACAAGAAAACAAAATAGTCAGCTAAAAAACAGAGTGAGAAAAGAATACGAAACTCTACAAAAAGCAACAAAAAAAACATATACAATCATAGTCAAAGAGAAAATTCTGATATATTGGTCAGCTGTGTAATTAGTTGAAAACATCTCTTAAAATGATAGTTTGATTATTACCTTTCATGTATACTCCAGATAGTATTGTCATGTATAATACTAATTTTACACGCTACTACTGATGGAAGAAAAACAACTTTCTCTATGCACTGTACATTCACATGAAACAGAATGCTTACTTCCACTAAGTGGATTAGCCCGATGCTCCGAAGATGAGAACAATCTACTATGCATTTTTACAGAAAAATGACCTCCTTTCCTCAAATATTCACAACTTAAAAAATAAAATCAAAACAAAATAACAAAAAAAACAAAATAAAAGAACTTCTTACATAGTCCTTATCAGAGGAGATATTGCTTTTAAAAGACTGCATGAGTTCGCTTAGGTACGCACACAAGACAACATGGCACTTCTACAGAGCATTAGGGGTAAATTTATTCTAGTATTCATTCCCTTTCTTCTCTGTCCCCCCCTTCCGAGGACATTCTGATTGTCAATGCTCTGAAGCAAAGAGTGAAACATTCTCAAAGGCAGTCTGAAGTAAACAAAACCACTCTTTACACATCGACCTCCCCTCCCTCGGAAGCAATACTGAAAATAGTTAACGATAAACATTCCTATCACGAATATATTTTCTCCGTTTCTATAAGAGACAGCGCCCAAGCTGCACTTTTTTTTTTGTCAAAAAATAACCTCTTTCTCAAAACCTCATTAGAAATTCTCTTGCAGCAATGCCAAAATTCCTATTGCTAAGCCCACCCCCTTTCCCTGCCAGCTCACTGGTACATGGCAGACGGTGTCTTGTTAAAGGAAAGCAAAACTGCTAATGCTATCTCAACAGCTATTAACTGGCTCACTTCTCCTCGTGCCATTTCCCCAAGGTGCAATGTGACATTGAAAGCTTAACAAGTAAATGAGGGTTCAATTTTGACCTACTTAGGCCCCAGGCCACATTTGTGTTCCCCTGGGTGTTTTGCAGGCTCCTCGTCTCTTGGAAACTACAGAGCTGAAATGCTGGGTACCGTACGTGTCCACTCTCAACCTCCCGTGCAATATCTCTTTTTTTCCAATTTGCTTAAGGTGGCTTAGTAAGAGCAATCAAAGTGTATGTGTGTGTGTTTATAGTGTCCACTCAGCAAACATACAGTCTTTAGTGTGCTTGTTCATCCAGCACTAGTGCAAATTCGTTTCAGCTGGTCTATTTTGTTTGTTAGTCCGTGACAGTCAAATCTCCGTTTCCCCTCATCTCTCGCCATTTGGACAAAAGATGCGTTGCCATGGTTTCTCCTTGTTGTGATGACCCTCGGAGCGCAGGGTTCAAAATACTCATATCTGTGTGCGAGATGTGTTTCTTGCATTTCTGATTTTCGCAATGATCAAGCACGCCTCTGCCTTTCTTGTGTATTCTCTGTGGCACTGCTACTGTGAATAGCAGTATTGTGACATCAGTTGGTGTCCATCAGTCCAGTGGTGGGCCTGGTCCCTTTCTCTGAGTGGTTCCACCTGAATAAAGACAGGATACTATCAACAAAACCGTGCCCACACCAGCAGATCTCCAGTTTCAGTGGCTGGAGCTCCCCTTACCTCTCTCTGTGTTAGCTTATGAATGCTGCAGGGTCAAAAGTAAATCATTCAGCCGCTTCCTCCTCTGTTCTCTGCTGCAAGTCTCTCCTTCCCCTCGTTTTGTTTCCTCTCCCTCCTCCTCTTGTCTATTCTGGGTTTTGGTGGGCTGGAGAGAACAAGTATGCAAAACCCATCGCAAAAGAAGATTTTTTTTTTAACCATGCATTGATCAAATATTTGCCTTCTTGTTAATGTGGGTGGTGTTAGGTTTGTTAACTCACACAGGGGCTGGCAGTGAGCGAGCTGGAGGTGTCCTGACTTTGGTGGTTGGGGTCACTGCTGATTACCGTCACCTCCACTCCCACGGACTGATCTAAGGGTTAAGTATTCTGTATGTTAGCAAACACAGGAGGAGCAGCCGGAAAACATTACATTGTTTTTAGAGACACATCTAATTATGTGTGTTCTTATTTTCCCTTGATTTCTATCAGCAATCAGACAGAAAGTCACTGATGGAAAGTGTGTGGTTTTCAATGCTAATGGGGAAAGTTGATGCCTGCTGGGTTCTTGGAGACCAACAGTGGATGACAGAAACGGGGAAACATTTCTGCAGGCTGCATTTTGAGGTTGGAAAACCACTTAGTTTAAGCTGCTGAGTATGATATGGAAAGACAAGCCAAACACGAGGACAAACGAGCACATAACACGCACACACACACATGCACACACAGAGTAAAGACACAACACCAGATACCAAAAAAAATAAAGAAAAAAGATCACCCGGCTGAATAAAAATATGAAATTGTATAGAGATCAACCACAGATGCACAAACACCTACAGAAACAAAAACTAACACACACACTTGCTTCATGGACCTGACTTGATGTGGCTCTCGTCCCCACTGGCTCCATCATAGGACAGAGGCTGCAAGTCGCCTTCCACTCCCTCCTCTGCCTCCTCGTTCCTCTGTCTCTCCCTTTCTATCCTCATTCGGAGCTGTCGGTCTCTCATAAGCTCCAGGTTCCTCACGAGGAACACATGGTGTTTCACCACAAAGCTCCTGGCCCCCGGCACACAGGGAGAAACATTAGCCGTCCACGCTGACACGGGTTCAGCTACAGTGCATGGAGTGGTTTATCATGTAATGTGAGAGCATCCATACCTCTCGCTGCTGGTCAGAGGCTCCATGTCGAGGTGCGGGAACAAGCTGGTAATGTCGCTGGAGCTCTCCTCCTGTGCAGTAAGGAGCGCACGCAGAGAAGCACAAATGTTTTAGAGAGTACATGATCAAAGCTACGCTGGGAGAAGAGAACTTTAAGCTACAAACCCCACCGCTGTCTGCAGGGAGGATGCAGTCCTCTCTTTCATGCGACCTGAGTGAATTGAATGTATGGTGAGCTAGAGAATTGAAACCGCAGCCGAGCATATTGACAACAGGTCCATTAATGGCTACTCACAGTAACGCCGCTTCCTCTTCAGAGGGACAGCAGGCTGCCGCTGAAGCTGTCACAGAACAACTGGTGAATTACTTCTCTCTGAAAAGCTACATGCCACCATTCAAAGAGGCGTTTAGCTGCGTGATACTGAGTCAATCTATACCTGATTGTGCTGCCACTGCCACATCACATCGTAGGGTAACTGGAAATGAATTCTTTTTAGCCTCAGGTACTTCCCTGGAAGAAATTAAGGGAGCTTGGATCACTGATCAAAGTGATAACAAACCACCAACATGGTAAAGGTGCTCTTCTGTACTAACCAACATGTATAGGGGCAGGTAAAAGACTGTACTCATTCTCCCCAGGTCCATACTCCATACTGTCACTGCAGTTCTTCTGGGGTTGAGAGGGTGGACTAAGAAAGATAACTACATCAATAAACTATAAAGGCCATTAAAAAGTGTTACAGCAGATTGTTTGTATGTTCAGTCAACTAACTCGATAGTCTTGTAATCATCTGAGTAAAGCCCTGCCCTTAAAAACGTCTTCCTTGGAGGACCACTGGCTCTCTCTTCTCTTTCGATGATTTCTGGTTGAGATGGACTGTGGTCGACGTCTAATTGGCTTAGACATTCAGGGAAGAAGTCATACTCTGGTTTATCTGTGATGAGACTAAAAGGAAAGCACAAAAAGAGAGGTAGAATGATAGAGAGGAAAAAGAGAAAGAGAGAGATGGCACTGGTTTAGTACACAGTGCTGAAAACAGTGGGTTAATATAAAAATAATGAGTGGTTGTGTTGAATGTCCAAGTCAACCAGCTCCAGTTTTTACCTCCGATAACAGGGAGAGTCACCATGTTTTCTCTTCCGACCTCTCTTCCTCTTTGCCTGCAAGTCCAGCTCTGTGGCTTGCTGTGTGGTGTTGTCTCCCCCTCCTCCTGCTCTCTCTGGCATCATTTCATCTTTCCTCCCCCCTATTTCCCTCCCATCTCTGTTGTGGCTGTGTGCTGGCAAGAGGTCGGGCGACGGTATGGACGGAGTTACAGATGAGCCGTTGGGAGAGGATGAAATGGAGGGCAGTGGATGTTTCCTGGGCCGTCCTGGCCCCCTTTTGGTTTTCACCGCCGCGCTGGTGAGAGCTGGCACACTTTTCTGCGGCCCCCGGCTTCTGGAGTCACCTTGTAAACCTGCAGTCACTGAAATGGAAAGCAGGAGGGAGGGGGTGAGGCAGACAGAGGCATGAGTGGAGGGTGGGGTGTGTATGGTGGACAGGAAATGAGACAGATGTGGATCAGTGATTGAGCCGGCAGGAGGTGTGAGGTGAGGCCAGCGTAGGTTGAGTCATGCGGATGGACCACAGATTAGGTGAGTCACAACATTTCCTCTGACCAGATCACTTCTGGGAAACGCATTAAAAGTGATTTATGAGCTGAATACACACATGAAGTCTATGAAAAAAACCCAAAACAGAAAAGCGTGCATACCTTTCCACTGATCATGCAAATGTATGCACTCTTGCACACTATGTTTACACATAAGGTCAAAGTGGAACTCACTCTAGGAATGCAGATTGGACAAAGTTAGATAAAAAGCCTGTCCCACTGTGATTTACTTGGAAACATGTTTCTTTAGATAGAGACTTAATGTATTCCACTTCTTTCAAACACAACAGTTTCCCTCACAAGCTCTATTTGCCCCCCTTCTGACCTCCTTTCTATGCCTTCATCATTCACTCCTTAGGTCATCCATCTTTTTGTTCCATTTTCCACTGTCTCTGAGAAGACTGACCACGCTTTCCTTATTGGATTTTTCCAAGTAAAATAGGCCCCATTGGCCAGTGGTGAGGAATAGGCTGAGCTTTAAATAGCCAATACGGTGGTTAACTAATGACTGTGTTCACTGGGCAGCCTAGGGCTGCAATAACGTGCGGTTCACTAAACACCAGGAGGATTTCAAAGATCCTCTGGCAGATTCCCCTCAAGATGATGCCTCCCGGCTACAACACTTCTTAAAAATTCTTTCAGGAGTGGCTGCAGAGTGTGTCAGGCACCACTCTTGCGCAGCAGAGTGAGTTTGAAGCTTGCTATAAAAAGAATGGAGTCTGATTTCTCCCCATACACCCTCCAGGCTTTAATGTGCGGCTCGACAACACCTGAGAAAAAAGCAGTGCTGTCACTATCCTGCCACTACGTTCTATCAGTGGGGAGGTTTTCGGCAAATGTAAAAATCTGTCACACTGTGCAAGTGAAATAAGGCACAAGCCAATTATCTGAGCTGGCCGTCACAGCTTTGTGGTGCCACTGTCATATTTCAACAGGGTTTGTCTCTGTTTTATCACTCTCAGTATTCAATAAAATCCTCACATTTCTACCAATGAGGCAAAAACAGAACACAACTGTGCATCCACGCAGCTGAGGAAGCAATCACTGGATATTTGTTGCAGTGCTCAACAAATTTTCCGGCCGAAAAAAATATTGTTACGCCCACCTAGTGTCCTTCTGAGCCACAGAGTTGTCAGCTACTCACTCACCCGCCCATATCTCTTAGGCCATGCATGCATCCTCACCTGCCTCCCTCCGCTCGGTCCATGCCGGCTCATCTCTCCTCCGTGATCTCTCTCCACTTCCTTGATTCCTAGCCAGTCCGCTCCTCAGGCCCCGCCCCCCTGTTGCCATGGCAGCAGAGGTGAACAGGTTGGTGTGTGTTGGGGACGAGGACGCCGTCCCATACAGGCGTGAGTCGTCGATGTCCTCGCCGTCCTCGTCCTCTCCGTCTGACACCATCAGTCTTCCGGCTGAGCGCTCGGAAGTGAAGCCTTTCCAGCTCGGGTTCGAGTGTCCAAATCCTGAGCTTCCCAGGCTCCCAAATTTCGTCCAGGTCTGGCCCAAACCCCCCCAGCCACCTCCGAATGAAGACAGGTGAGAGGAACCCAGCCCCAGAGAGGTGAGAGACGTGTGTTTATACCTCTCTGCTGAGGACGATGATGAGGAGGAAGCGGCTGTGGAGAAGGGGTCATTTCCGTTCTGGCGTAACCAGGGCGATTCTTTTGACAGCATGCTCCCCGATCCTCTCGCACCTTTCCTTCCTCCCCCGCCTTGCCCCAAAAGGAACCCTGACCGTACCTTTGAATTAACCATCATCTCTCTTTCCATCATATCTTCCTCCTCGTCCTCATGCAGCTCGTCCACGTCGTCCATGTCTTGCTCGCAATGCCTGTGACGATGTTTATGTTTATGTTTGTGTTCACTCCTCCCACAGCCACAAGACAGGCTGGATGTAAACCCTGAGCCGCCTCCCACATTGCCTCCCCCTAAATCTCCCTCCACCTCTCCTCCTAAAGCTCCCTCCCTCAACAGCCTGCTCCTCCGCCGGTGGAATCTGGCCGGGTTGAGGAGGAAGTGGGCATGGTGGGGCTGATGGGGGGCGTACTGGTGAGGGGGTGGAAGCGGGTAAGAGCCGGGGAGGTGGTGGTAGAGGGCTGGGGGCACCGGGGGGTAGCTGCTGTAAAAGCCCATATTTTCGATGGTTTCCTGGAACTTTGACGGGCAGCCGCACTGCCTGCGGTCTGGCTTCCTGTTGCAGTGACAGGGGAAGAAAGGCTGCGAGGTGAAGGAGGGACTGGCGGAGAACGGTGACGGATGGGGCGAGTAAAAGCCGTTTAGATTGATCCTGAAGATGTTGGAGCGGAGCGAATGCGGGGAGGAGTGGTGTCGCCTCCCTCCGGACGGAGCGCCCCCATCGAAGCCTTGGCCCAGCCCTGTCCTCATCCAACTCTTTCTGCCAATGTGGACCTCACTGAACTGAGCCACCAGATCATCCAGTTCAGCCAGAAACTCTGGGTCCTGCATGTGCAGCTGCTGGTGCTTCTTCTTGTGTTTAGTTTTCTGTCTCTTCAGAGCGCTGTGCCCGAGGCATGGATAATAGTCAGAGTGAGTGCACTTGTTGTGTCCTTGGCAGGGACAGGGACACAGGCAGGAGCAGGAGGAGGGGCAGTCGTAATCCCTGCGCCTGTGCCGGTGTCTGTCCCTGTGCCGCTCCGCAATGTTCGAGCCGCCCAGCGGGTTGCCGAGCCTGGACGCGTGAGAGAGCGGGGATGAGACCGGGGAGGGCCGGTCGGCCAGAGAGGAAGCGAGTCTCTGACCGCCTAGGATGGCCCCGGACCCCTGACCCAATCTCAGCAATCCTCGCGCGCCCCTCATCTCCCCTCGCTCCGACACGCTGTTGTTATCCGTCCCAATCCCGCTGTCGCTAGGCAGAGTTTCGTCGCTGTGGGACTCGCTCCTGGGGGATTGGGTTGCCTCCTTCAGGTTGCCGGGAGAGCCAGGTGTGGGGTGACGAGGAGGGGTGGGGCAGGAGAGCTTGCATGAAGACTGGTGAAAGGGGAAGTGGTGCCTTCCCTGACACGGACAGTTCTTCTTCACAAAAGGAGAGAGGGATGAGGATGAGGGAGGACGGGGGGATGTGCAAGAGGAAGATGGGGAGGGCAGGGAGAAAGGGTGCGAAAAAAGGAGGGAAGATGTGGGTTCCATCAGGCTGCCTTCGCTGTAAGGACTCTGGGCACCGCTGGAGTGCGTGAGAGATGGGGAAGGGAAAGGGTGAGAGGGGGGAGGCTGGGGTGGGTTAGCAGAGAAGAGAGATGTTTCAGAGGGATTGGTAAACAGAGACGGCTGAGCGGCGTTCTGGGAGCTGGAATTTAGGTTAGCTATTTGGGATTTAGGCTTGCGTCCTCGCCTCTTGCCCATGTAGATGGTGCCCCTCTTGCTCACATTGATCTGAGGGCCCAGCTTGCTCCCAAAAGAGGAGGACAAGGCTGAGAGTGTGTGCACGGTTGTAGCCTCGATCGATTTACACATTCTCAGAGAGGCGTCCCCCTCTGCAGCCTTTCCCTCCTTTCCGACATAGCCGGACATCATTACTTTATGAAGTCTCTTCTTCTTCCTTCTCTTCATCTCATTAATCAGTCTCCTGATGTTTAGCTGCCGATTCCCCTTTTCTTTGCTCCTGTCTGTGTAGTCGGTGTAATTCAGTGCATCTCCACTCTGGTCCTCAAGGAGGGGGCGTTTGGGAGGACGGCCACGCTTCTTGGGGCTGGATTTAGCCTGAGCAGCAGGCTGCCGTGCAGAGCTTGGCTCCAGCACAGGGGCTTTCTGGACTCCGTCACACCCGGGAGGAGCCACCTCCGTCGGGCTATTTGGCAGAAGTCGAACGGGGGCTTCATCTAAGCAAGCACTGTGGGATTTAGGGCGGCCTCTCTTTCGTACGGTGTTCAGGGTGAATCTGGAAGCGGCGGGGCTTAGGTCCGATTTGGGATGGTTCTGCTTGGGGGTCGGAGGTTTGACCGAAGAAGACAAAGAGGAAGAGCAGCTGGATAAGGAGCTAGAGGGCGCGGGGTGTGACTCATCACTCTGCTGAACGCTGGTCTTGGCAGGAGTGGTCGTTTTGGTGATCTGGGGGAAATTTAGGGAGGGATTATGTAAGGAATCTGAAGGGGATTCCTGATTTTCCGCCCTCTGAGCACGGTGCACCAGCTTGGTCCAGCTGGGCCTTCTGGCTTTACGTTTCTTGAGCGGTCGGCTATCCTGCTCTTGGGGAGAGGACGGGGGTGAAATGGGTACATGGGCAGAAGGCACGGGCAAAGGGGGAGGAGCAGAGGAGGTGGGCTGGGTTGGAGGCACTGTTGAATGTCTTGAGACATCTTGTTCTTTTGATTTACTGCTGTCACCTGTTGTTGCTGGCTCTGCTTGTTTGGCTGGCTGGCAGCTGTCATCTGTCTTTTCTTTTTCTTCTAATCTGCTGGGGTTCACTACTTTGCAGGTTTTATCTAGTTTAACATTACCAGCTGTTTCGCAGAATTTAGCGTCTTTATCCTCTGTTTTCTGCCTTTCCGGACTCAGCTTTTCTCTCTTTTTCTCATCTTTGAGGTCATCCCGCCCTGAATCACTGGCTCTGTGCCTATCATCCTTTTCTTTGCCATGCTTTGATTTTCCATCTTTTCCCTTGTCCTTTTTCTTCTTCTTAACCTCCTCACTTCTGCTCCCTTTCTTAGCGAAGTATGCTTCCAGTTTGTCTCGCTTTGATATTTTATCTCTCCGTTTCTCTTTCTTGGCTTTCTTCTCTTTCTCTCTCTTTTTCTCCGAAGGCCTCTGTAGAGAATGATCCTCACCTTTGGACCGGCTGGAGGAGAGATCCACATTGGAGCAGGACTGAGGCTTAGGCATGACTGGGTGATAGGGAGGAGAGTCTGCGGAGCCAGTGGAGACCGGAGGCCTCGTTGAAGAGTCCATGGAAGAAACAGAAGAGAAATTGCTGTGTTTTCCAGCTTTGTTTTTCAGTGAAGTTGAAGAGTCAGTGACGTTTGCAGAGCTTCTCCCATTCGACAGCCCCTTCTGTTTTGCTGCCTGAACCAAACCATTATGCTTCTTGGAGCTCTTCCCATCATTCTTGGTTTCTGGTGGGGAGACTGTCTGGATGCATGAGGTGGACGGAGTGGTTGAAGCTGCCTGCTCTGTTGTGGGTGAGCACGGTTTGGGTCCTACAGGGGCAGGCTGGCCATTGACACTTGAATGTTTGTCTTTCTTCACTTTCTCCGACGAGACGTGTGCATTCTCCTCCGTCTTATCGGCCAGCTTGCTGGAAACCTGGGGAATGCAAACACACAATGGCTGTCACAGACCATTTTGAGATCCATTACTTTGTTGATGACAGCAGTGACGGACAATGGGAAAGAGACAGTAATAGAAATGCCTGTGTTATTGTCTTTCCATTAAAAGAGCGGGGGGATAAAATGACTCAATCAGAGAGAGAAAGGAGGGCACGCTGAGGAGAAGAAGAGAGTGAGGTGATGGAAACAAAAATGGGGTTGATACTGAGTGGAGAAATACAAAAGGTGGAGAAACACAGAGGTAGAATGGGACAGGGACAGAGGAGGGAGTGAAAGATAAATTAGAGCAGGTAGAGAAAAGAGGGGTTGTAAAAATAGAAGAGAGGGACCGATATAGAGAGCCAAGTAGAGTGAAAGAGATTGGGAAAGCGTTGCTATTGGTAGCTATAAATTGCCACTAATACCGATGAGAAGGCTTGACATTTCATACTTGTTCTGTAATTTTGGTATGCCGCTGCTTGAGTGGCGTTTGAGCGGCTAAAGCTATAAGCTTCCCCTTGGGTGATTATCATAAGGACTGATGGCCCAGTGTTTGCAATAACTCCAAGCGGTTGCCGTGCTGTTGTCCTATTTATAGGTCTGTTAATTCTAATGTGCTGCTTAGGTTTCAGTTTTGAGACAATAGCTCATTTTACAAGCGAGGACAAAACTGGGTGACTTTGAACCATTTAGGTGTGTCTATTGAGCCCAGTGCTTAAGTGCCCAAGCCAAATTGGAGCAGCAGCACATATGTCATTGATAATGGATGAACACTCCCTGCCACGGCCACTTTTCTTTAGCTTTTTCTCCCAATATTTTAAGGTAAGCGAGATGAGGGAGGCTGCGTGTGGGGGGATGAGTCGCCCTCGTCCTCAGCTTACCTGTTTGATGGTCTTGGTTCCTTGGCTGTTGATGGCCGGAACTGAAGCTGGGGCAGACTCTGGAGTGAATGCTGCTGATAAAGACAGCGGCTGCCCTGACGAGGATGATAATGACGATGTAAGTGGTGGTGAGGCAGCAGTTTTTTTGGTTATGGTCTGGACGGCGTCCAGGCCTGAGCGTTGCTCTCTGCTTGCCTCCTCTGTGGTGGAACTGCTTTTGCTCTGCTGGCACGCTCCTCCATCTCCAAACGCCCTCAGCAGACCCCCCCTGCCTTGCCTCTGATAGGTCCTGATGGTAGGCTTGCACACGTAGCTCTCTAAGATCTTGGGCGGCTTTTTGGGGCGCTTGGTTTGCAGTCCGATCTGGACTCGCACGTTTCCCTCGGGGCAGCTCGTCTCCCTGCCCGAGAGCTGGAGCTCCTGCTGCCCGACACCCCCACAGCGCCCCTCGATGAGCAGCTCCAGCACCGTCCCCTTGTCTCCTTCCCTCTTTTTCACTGCTCCTCTTTTCTCCTCCTCTATTTTCCCCCCATTTCCGTCCTCCCCCTCCCCTCTCCTCTTCTTCTCTGCCGCCTGCTCCTGCTCAGAGTCTTCAGGTGCAAACGGCTCCAGGGTGGAGGCGGCAGTCGGAGGGGTTCCCCCCTTCACTCTCTGGTCCATCAGAGGAGTCAGGGGGGAGAAGTAGGGCGCTCTGGGGTTCCCAGTATAACACTTTTAAACGAGCCCGGTGAGGCCGGTGAAATAAAAGGTAGAAAGCACAGAGTGCAGGTGTGGATCAGAAAGGTTACAAAAATAGATCCTTTAGTGGTCCAAGTACAGTTGAATGCTTTCATCCAGCGAGGGCACGGTCTCTGTCTTGTCCTTTAGGGTTTCGCTGAGTAAATCTGAAGCAGAGAGAAAGGCAAAGAAAAGAGAGACATAAAGAGGACGGTGATTAGTCATTTCAGTGAGCTCAGACGCTGAATCGCAACAGTACAGGAATTGAGGGGAAAGTCCCCTTCCTGCAGGCAGCTGTAGAGAGGTGCTAAAGTCTGTGTCCACAGAGATGATCTCATCATACAGAAAAACCCAGGAGGCCAATCAACGTCGCCGTTTCCCAGAACGTCAGCACAAACTGGAAGACTTACTCACATTCCCCCAAAACAGCATCGGCTGTTTTTTTTTTCTTGTTTTTTTTCTCTAGCAATCTGCAAATAGTGACAGATGTGAGAGGCAGCCGGCGCTCCCTAAACTGGTACACTTTTACTGATGTCCTTATCCCCCCGAGTACCTCACCCTAAATCAATATATCAGTCAATCAGCTCCTGACTAATTCAACACTTGATCCAGTCTCCCACCCCTCCTCTCCCCAGAGTCTCTGCTCCTTCTGTTCTCAGCTACTCCCACAAGCACTTCTCCTCCCACCCTTCCCGCTGCTGTACTTTCTTTTCTCTCTGAAACTCCCCTTTTCATGTTTGGCTGTGAGCATTTTCATGCATTCTCTATTAGTCCCATCCACTCTCTTCCCCTCTCTGCAGACCACACAGTAAAATAGTCAGCTCACAGACTGTATCCATGTTAATCAGAACCACATTTCCTCCTCCAAGTTGTTCTTTTCCTCCTCTCCAGCCTAAATCCCTCCATTCACAGTGCAACCATTCCCCTCCTCCCCCTTCAGTAGTGGTAACACAAATCCGTAGGAAAGGGTAAAACTTATTTTTGGAAAGGAGCGCAAATTCCTCCTCCTCCCATTGCTTCCTCTAAGTCAAGTAAGCTTTTCATTGACCCCATTGTAAATGGACTTTTAATGTGACATTAAAACAGAGAAACACACCCTGAAAAAACATTCTCCACACCATTAAAACTTTCGCTCTCACTCACACCGAGTCCAAAGGAGTTGCAGATCGCATCGAAAGGAAGTAACATCCTCAGTCACGCTTCCTTCATTATTCTCTGTCTCTCATTAAGGGACCCGTTTACCCATTTTCTAATAAAACTCAACCTGCCAAGCTTTCTCGAAACTCTCTCCTGAGATCCTATTATGAAAAAGCTCGTCTGTCTCACACAGCACCAGACTGCCTGTTTAACTTAAAAGAGCATCTCAAATAATGTTTTCATTTGAGAGCTCAGTGGGCTATCTCTCCTGCGTTTGGTCCCTCCACACCCAAACTCTTTCCTTGAATCACACAGAGCACGAATCAACATCTGTTCCAGTAACTGCTCTTATGTAACCCAATTGGAGAGCTGTTTTCAAGGCCGGTCCTACTTACAATAAAATAAAATGAGCAAGGAGGCGGACAGTGGCTGTCTTTAAAAAAAATCAAATAAGAAATACAGTCCGTTTTCCTCATGGAAAACACAACTGAATGGTGTGGGTTACGTGGTGGGCCTGTGCCACAGAGAAGTGTAGCAGGTCGTCAAACTAGAAAGGGCAAGCCCATCCAGCATCAGGCACACGGCATACTAATAGCTTTTAATACTCGGTGGAACTATGCGTCTCATACATTACTCAAAATTATTCTAACATTAGACTAGAAGCTATTTCCAGTGACAGGATGATGGGTGGATTTGACACTGAAGTCAGCGTGGTTCCTCTGGAGCGCCCAGGCGACGATTAAATCATGATAATGGCCCATCATATTTCCAGTCGTCATCACATCCCGTGACAGTGTTATCATCGATAACTACAACACCATTATCATCTGCCTGACAACAGCGGGAGCACAGCTGGAAGCTGGCCTCCTGTGATGGCATCTTTAATGACCGAGCCCTGACGCTTTGCAGCTGGAGCCGCCTCCCACTCCACCTTTACGGGGAAGTTTCTCACGTGAGTCTGTCCCCTCTCTCTCTCACACACACACACACACACACGTACACACACACACACACACGCTCACTTTCCTCCAGTTGGTGTGCAAGAAGTGCGTTGCTCGAACATTGCGTACCCAGGTCGCAGCTGCGTTGGCTACATGATGTTGCTACTGTAGATACAGTACGGACGCTGGGGGGTGGGTGTGTGTGTGTGTGTGGGGGGGGGGGTCTTACCGCACTGGAGACGCTATCAGTGCCTAACTGGGGGGCGCAAAAACAGGAGCTCCCTCGTCCATAATGACTTTGCGCACCTCCCGAGAGCACCGTCCTCCTGATGCTGTCGCACTTCCAAATGGAGCTCACACGCACGTGTAGTTGTTGTCGTCACTCTTGCCTCCGTTAGACAATATCCAGCCGCGCGACACACACACACACACACGCACGCACGCGGCTGCGAAGCGAAACTCGGCGTGGAAGTGAGAGGCTACGTAGCATCGAGATGTGCCTTCTGGTGGGGGGGATTTGTGATGTGGACAAGTCCCTCTCCACCCCCCACCCCCCTCTCTCTCCCCCCTCCACCCCCCCTCTTTCTATCTGTCCTCTGCCAGTGCCCCTGCTGGTGTCAGCAACATTGAAATAAGAAATATCACCGCGTACAGGGGGGGGGGGAACAGAGGGGAAACGCACTCAGCAACAAGGGGTAAAATTAGCGCAAAGCGGGTGCGCACGGTCTCCGTAACCTGCCGATGACAGGCCTGCGCACGCGGATCCAGACTGCCATGACAAATCCGTAATAAGGCTACGTAGGCTACTTACCCGAGAGCGCGTCCCGGAGCCAACTGCGTTCGGGCAGGAGGTGTTGCTGTCCAGGCTCTTCCTTCCTTCGCACCCGACGGCGATCCGCCGCTTCTGGCGCATTTAGGTGTCGCTTTGGTTACATAACTCAGGCCGGCGGAGGTTCGAACACCCTCCGAAAGCGAGTTTCGGTCCCGTCGGAGCGCTTGCGAGCGACAACATTGGCGCGGGGTGTTTTTTTCGGAATCAGCCGGTCGGCAGCTCTCCGTCGCGCGCCTCCGCAGCTAGGTGGCGGACTGGTCCCGCGCGCGGGCTCTGCTCTGGCTCGCTCCTTCTCGGGGAAAGTTACATCGCTCCCGCCACTTCTAATGGCTCTCTCGTCTCGCTCTCGTGTGCGTGCGGGCGGTGAGGGGAGGACGGGTCGAGAGCCTGCAGCTCTGTGCGCGCGCGCGCGTGAGAGAGAGTGTGTGGGTGCGTGTGTGTGTGTGCGCGCGCACGCGCTGGGGTACGGGCTGACAGTGCAGAGGGGCTGGTTGGTGGATGTGCGGGAATGCAACTGCGTGGCCATTTTCATGTGACCAGAGGAGGAGATAAAACGGCGAACACGGCTCCGGATCTCACTGCGGCTCATAATAGGCGATTGGGGATATGGGGGGGGGGGGGGTGCTATTTAGACGTTTAATAAAATGGCGACGACTTGGCTGAAGTCGGCTGCTGCGAGGATTTGGGGAGCAGCTCAGAAGTTGCAGGGCGTCGTGTGAGACCAGATCCACGGCTCGCATCGGTGGGAGAGGAGAATGCACTTACTGAAAAGTTATATTGAAAGCTGTTTTGTTCTTGATCAGTAAAAAAAACAAACGACATCTGCAGTTTCTTTCACACGCCGGTGTTAGAACGAGGCGAAACAATCTTTCCATTTGTTTAAGTTGAGACAGAAGCCGTGAAGGTTATTAAAAACAACAGCACTGGGGAAAGTGGGTGGCGCCAGCGCACTACCAGACGGTGGAGTTTGTTGTTCGTGGCATTTGAAGCGGTGTCCATATCAGAAGCCCCCCCCACCCCCAAAAGCCCATGCTCATAGAAACTGGCCCCTGGCTGGTTAGAAACGAAGGAGCCTTTCTGGAAAACTCCAATCGTCTTTATCTTAGCTCTTCAAGTATAAGCCAGTCATCCAAGCCTTGGACACTGATGCCCTCTGAATCTGGGGTTTGATGACAACAGCACCAGTGCTCTTTCTCATCTCATTCAGACATCTCTTTCCCCAAAGCATACCTCAAACATGGACTCCTCTGACCACAGAGCAGGTGTCCACTGTCTTTCTGTCAACATGAGAGGAGCTCGTTTTTAGATAACTCAGCAGCGTTTCTGTGCACTGTTGATTCACGGCTTCCTCGTTGCGCAATGTAGTTCAGGTTACATTTCTGGATGCAGCAGCGGACTGTGTGGGGAGGAAACTGTTTTCCAAAGTACTCCCAAGACCAAGAGGTACGAATGTAGATCCTGGGTCCTGGTCGTTTCTCATGCTGTGCCCCTCGCAAAGTGGAAAGGTCACACAAATCCAGCGGTGCTTTTCATCATTTCCCTTTATGCACCGGGATTTTCCTGGAGTGCCTAAATCTTTCCCTTTTCTTTTCTGGTGGTCTGTTGGCCCTTATTTGGCAGTGACTAGACAGGAAAGGGGGCAGAGAGCGTGGTGGATGACAGGCAGTGAAGGGCCTCAGGCGGGGATTCAGACCTGGGCCAGCGCTGACCAGAAACTACAGCCTCTACGGGGGAGTCCTGCTCACCCAGAATACAGAACATTGTGGATTCAATAAACGTTAGTTAATCCCCCCTGTTTCCTATCCTCTTCTTCCCCATTTGAGGGGGTACTCTCAGTATGAGTTTTTTGTCAAAAATGACTGTACTCTGGCTGGATCCAGTTTAGACATGCGTAAATCATAGTGAAATATCCGGAGAGGGACCTTTGGGGATAAGTGCATTTATGGCACTGTGTGAGAGACATTAAATCTATTTGATTAAAGTTAAATGACTGAACACTCAACACAGTTGAGGCTTTCTGTAATAACTGTAGATTTTATTTTTCATATTTTTGTCTGTTCAACAGAGAAAGGAAAGATTCATCTTTTTTTAAGGCCAAGAAATCCCTCGTTGCTGGGCCGAATTGGTCCTTTTCTAAAGTCACATAAGAATGGACTGACTTTAAGCATCCTAAAACATTCTGACACACAAATGTCTGCATGTACACACTTTAAAGTCTTGGGCAAAAGTCTTTGAGCTTTGCCTTTCTTTATAATTTCAGCCCAAGCAGGCATACATACTTTAATCTTTGAAAGTGGTCTTGAGCAATATATCACTAGGGTTTCTTAAGATTTATGTGCTGTCCTTTGAACATTGGAAACTGTTTAATAACTTTCAGTCCAGTCCTTATAATTCACCATTTTACAGACCCATGTGTCTTTCCTTGTTAAGCCATTTAACTCTAATCTATGAACAATTCAAGCATAAAAGGGGCATCTAGCTCAACAAATAATTGGCATGAAGTTTTAATTGTTTTTATTACCGTTTAGTGTGTCTGTCTCAAAGACACATACGTGGCACCACAATTTTAGACTAATCAATTAAATAGAGCAAATTTGTCAGTTGATTGCAATGAAATATTATTTCTAGGTAAGTATGGTAATTTCCTATGAGTTTTTAAATCAAACACTTGGTATCCATCTGCATGATGAACAGTGCAGTATTGATTATCTGTGTAAAGGTAGACAAAGAAGATTTTCTATGTCTAATATATAATTTATATTGCAGATGAATGGTGTCTGACAATGACATCCATAACAAACTGGTAGAATAGTAAATACCTGACACAGGCCATGAGAAATGCACTTGTACTTTCAGCAATCCATCTGATGTTCACAGAAGTGTCATCAGAAATGGTCACCATGGAAAGGTGGCATGGATGAGGATCCACCTTTAAGAGGACAGAGTAGGAAAGGCTGAGTTATGCCAAATGACACATGAACTGGATGGAAAATCAGAGGCTGCAGGTACGCTTCACACCTGAGATGACTTACAACCACAACAAAAACAAATAAGTCTTTCTTAAAAGGTACTCGTTTTAGAAAGCGATATTTCATGCCTGTTTTTATAACATATGGTGAAATGTTACTGACATTTTGTCACATTTTAAAGCATATACAGAACAGAACTGCATGAGGATAGACATGACTGACTTTTTATGTTTGTGTTTTTAGTCCAGTTAAAAATGTCTGACGCCTGAGATCACAAAGTTTACAGTATTTTCTTTAGCTGTTGATTCTTCCCAAGAAGAAAAGAGTAACACTCACGCATCATTTATACAAAATAAGACATTTTGAGGCTCACAGAATGTCTTTGGCTTTTCTTCGGACTTGTGGGCAAATTAAATGTTTCTAGAGATAGTTGTAAATCAGACTTTGGCCATAACTATAAGATGCTAAACGTTGTAAAGTCAGACAAACTCCATTTTCCTCTTTTTGGCATCTCCAGGCTCGTGCGATCTAATTGGCTAATGGAGGTCAAACGTCACTTCCTGTAGCTCATGATGGCGTTGTCCATGACAGACCTGGCACATTGACTTCGACTGGGAATATGCCTTGTATTTTCTCCGCCAACTAAACGTTTGTTGTTTCTGTCGGTGAAAGGATCCGACATTTTCACCACGCAGCGGTTGACGAACTGACCCGCAGGTGAGTCATCTTCACGGCTCCGCTTCATCAAAGCCTGCAAAGCTAGCTGTTAGCTAAGAGTTTACGCAAGGTTACAGGACACCGCTGTGCTGATGCACGTTTCATTCCCCTTTGGCTCACCTGAAATGGATCTTTATGTGACGTTGCCTTTGTGTTTCAGAGGATGGCCCTTCACAGACTCACCCTCAGACTACGACCAACGGTGACGTCGATTTTGCTTTAACAGTTTATTCAAAATACATGGTGTATAGTGTGCCAGTGATAGAAGCGTCTTATTAGCAAGGAAATAAATGTATAAATGTCCATTATATATGTGTTTAAATGTATATGTACAGAATATATACGTACTGATATTAATAGCAAAATTGGGCTGTCATGTTGCAGGTGTCGCACGTCAGGGCCCTTCACACCGGTGGAGGTGGGCAGCTGCAGGAGGCTGTGGCTGTGCAGCCGGAACCAGAGTCCCTGTCCGTCTGCAGGACACAGGAGACGGATCCGGTAACAGAAGCTCGCTTTCCTATCATTTAATTTGTGTCATGCAGTGGGTTTTGTTGAGCACACTAAAGACTATGTACATATGCGATGAGTCACCTTCTACTGAGATTGGGAAAACTCATAGATGAAAATCATTGACTGTTAATTAATGATTGAATGACAGCTGTGGCACCGGCATGTAATGATGCATTGGACAGTTTTAGTAAATGCAAGAATTAAATTGCATAGACAGTCAAAGATAGTACGCCTACTTTGATGATTTCTCTGTTACACATGTTGCCAGATCTATTTATGAAACGCCAGGTTGCAAATCATTATTTTTGGAAGATTTTATGAATCTGGAGCTACAAAACTAAACCAAAGAGTCAAAACCTATTTCAAATATAAAACGATTATTGAGGCTTACAGTCTTTACCAGAATCCCTAGATTCAGTCACTTTTGTCTTACTTTGATATAAACTTTATAAATAAAATTCCCAGTATGAGCCAATCACAGGGGGAAAATTACATGGTGGCAAAAAAGGTTAAACACTTGATTAAAGAAAATGTCACAGCTATCAAAATAAGCAAGGTTATAATTGTTTCAATGGAAGCCTTTTTTTGGAGATTATTTATTTCCCTTTTTTATTGGATATTTTTTAAAGGGCTAATGCCTCTGTGTACTTACTGTAATTTCTGGCTACTTGAAGCATCAGAAGTGAACATTCAAATACTATTTTAATCCATGATGTTCCTGATGTTGACCTTTATTTTCACATTATGTTTCTACAGGCGTGCCACTCAGACAAACACTTCGGGCAGTTTTACAGCCTGTCCCCGGCACATGTCCGCCCTCTGTTCCCTCATGGCCTACCCTGGCGCTATCAGCAGCAGGCAGGTCCTTCTTCAGATGTTAAAGTGCAAAACTATGGTGTTGGTAGATGGCACCAGGGTAATTGTGCGTATGTTAAATCTGAATGAAAATGCCCCTAAGGGTTAGATAAATAGAGATTATTCTGTGTGGTTACAGGTGAAGACATTTAATGAATCCTGCATCATGGTGAGACAGCCGGCTGTAGAGGTCATCTCCTACCTAAAGAAAGCAGACTACAGCAAACCTGCTCTGAGATATTTATTCTGTATCCTTTGAAACGCACACTGGTAGTGACAGAGAAGAACAACAAACAAACTATTGTTGATTGAGAAAAGAAAAGTGTTGTTGTCTTTATTGAATCGCTCAGATGGGTTGAAGGGCAGCGGGAAGACGATGTCTCTTTGTCACACGATTCACTTCTGCTACACGCAGGGATGGCTGGTGCTGCATATTCCTGATGGTGAGGCAAACAACCGCCCGTGCCACATGTTTGACAGCTGAAAACAGAGAACTCCACACAGCAGCAACAGTAACGTCTCTACATTCGCTTTGTCTTCGACAGCCCACCTCTGGGTAAAGAATTGCAAGGAGCTGCTGCCATCATCCTATAATGCGTCTCGCTTTGACCAGCCATTACAGGCCACAGCATGGCTACGCAACTTCAAAATCACCAATGAAGCCTTTCTTTCAAAGGTATCTATGTTTACTTTGTGTGTTTGTACTTTATTATTATTATTACTTTATTACTATTGTTTTTTTTGTGTTCAGGCTTTATAACCTTTTTTTAACAGCGGTGCTCATCTTCATTTAAGTGTGTAGTTGTTTCTACAACTTTGTGCTACTCTTATTTCTCACTGGGTTGTGGACACTACCTCTTTGTATTTACAGAAGTTAAAAACACGTGGCAATACTCTCAGTATCACTTTGCTACTTTAACCTGCTTTTGAGGGCTCACCACAAATTTGGCCCACAGTCCAAAAGTAGTTTTCTTCCATTATTTTTTGTTGTTGTTTTCAGTCATTCAAACATGGGAAACCAGAACAGTAACATCAGCAAAACTGAACCACATTTGCATCTCAAACTAGTTGGACTCAAATGACTCAGTCATTATGGGTCAAAGACCCAGAATCCATCATAGTGTTCTGAAGGGCTGGATACTCTATATGTCAAAACTTTTCAAGACTTTTGAAATGTGAACCTATATAACCATTGCCAACCTAATATTAGTCATGAAAGGTGTAGGAGATTTGTCTCAGTGCTGGAAACATCTGAAGACTGTCAGCGGGTTTGCAGCAGTTTCAGATGGAGGGCAACGACAGCATGCCAGCATCAGAACCTTACCAAAGAAGTAAAAGGAAATGTTTGAAGTACAGCTGTAAACGTTCCTCTGTGGAACATAAATCACACTTTTATAGAGGTCATTTCTACTCTACGTCTACTCTACAAAAAATTTGGCTTAAAAAATAGCTTCCTCTATGACTGCATTTAATCAGGTAAATTGCCGAGAAGTAATCAAAAACTTGCTGACGATACAGGAAGAAAACGCCTACTCAGGACTCCTATAGAAAATCTCTGGCGTGTTTATTGTTGCTCTTTGTTTTTAAGCAAATGAAAGTAACACAATTTAAAACAGATTCACTTATTGACCACATTGATGATTTAGAGTAAAGGGAAAACCAGATATTGTTAATCTCTTCTGGTCACGGCAGAACAGATGCAGAGATTCTTGAGTTGGATGTCCGGAGTGAAGTGACAGACTTTAGCTGTATTTTACATCAAAGACTTTGATCTGTTATTTGATGTGATGAAATGATATGAATCTTTTGGATGTGTCTTTGTTGTTGAAAATCTGGTGAAAAATCAACTCACCGCATCCATTTTTAGCCTCGTGAATGAATTTATTTCAGTTTGCTTGCATATAAATGGTGGCCACTTGAACTCATTTAGCCTTCCCTCCCAGATAAAAACGAAGCATCGCTATGTCTGGACAAAAAGGGAGTCCACTGAGGAGGGATGTCCACTGGGAGAGCTCGTGGATCAGGTAAGCCTCGCCCCCCGACGGTATGATGACAGCTGCATCTCTTTCATCACTCGTGGTTTATTTCACCTTCCCACAACATCTTTACACACACAGTTGCCCCCCAGTTTTTTATATTTTATGGACACATTATTGTTTGACTTGCCAGTGAAACAGTTTTAGGTGATGTTCATTTGATGAAAGCATGTATTATTTAGAAGCCCTTAAACTGCAAGGTTTGACAAAATGTGTTAGATTTATAAGTATAATTACATCTGACCTAGTCTTTGTCAAAGCCAACTTCAACAGGATTAAAGTTTTAAAACAATCGAGCCTGAAATAACCCTCCTACCCTGACTGCCTCCTGTGACTTCACCATTGTGATGTTGCAGTATTGCTGACTTTTTTTTTTTTTTTTTACATAATCCACAGTTATTAGAGCTTAATGGTGTCCTTTGCTGCAGGGGATTTCTCGTGTGAAGAGCAGCAGTGATGTCGTGGGGGCAGTGATGAAGGAGCTCAGGCTACAGAGCGGGCAGCCAGGGGCAGACTTCCGCCTGGCCGTGGCGGTGGATGGCGTCAACGCCCTGTGGGGGAAATCCACCATCAAGAAGGAGGATAAGACGGCCGTAAGAAGAAAACATGCCCTTAGTGCTGTTATACCTTGAGTGAAATCTTTTCATCTTCACTTGTTGCAGAATTGAAGGCTTTTGTGTGTAATTATGTCTCTACCATCAGGTGGATCCAGAAGAGCTCACTTTGGTTTACAACCTGAGGAAGCTGACAAAGAATGACTGGGTGAGAGGAGCACAGGTGCTGACAGCAGTCACTGTGGAGACTTCTCAACAGTTTTTGATTAATATTCACTCTCTTGTCTCAGACTGGAGGTGCCATCATCACAACTCTGTCTCAGACAGGGTCTCTCTACACTCCAACTTCTGCCTATTTACCTCAAGAGCTGCTTGGAGAGGTCAGAGGACATTATATTTTAATGAAGTATTTGTGTTAACTACTCAGTCTGCCTCAACAGATTAATTTTTGCCATTCATTTCTAAATTTGGTCCTCCGGGATCAGCAAATATGATAGTTTGTCTAAGAATGAAACAAAAAAAAGGAATTCACTGCTCATTTTGCAAAAGTAAAACAGCTTTACTGTCATTTGTCATTTTGATGTAGTTGGAGCTAATTATGTGTGTAACTACTTTGTAAGTTTCTGTTCATATTTGTGTTGTCTGCATGTCATAAGACCTTTTGACTAATGAACCATTAAATCCATCTTTGTCTCCGCCCTCTTAAACTTGATGGCTATTAAATTACGAGACTCAGAATGGAATCATGTAAAACTCTCATCCCACTTAATGAAAAATATTCAGGTACAAACTGTAATATTTATTATCCCACAGATGTTGGTGTTTTACATGCCTATTTTTCAGGACCTTGATTCATATTTTAGAACCATGAATTATTTATTTTCCCCTCAGTGCATCTGAATGCTATAAATATTGTGATTCGATATTTGTTTTTTAAGAACTAACACGGCCTTGAGTACACTCAACATGATGCCTGCATATTTCTGTTCAGTTAATTGTAAATTTGTCTGAATTTGTGTTTGTGTTTTGCATAATGTTTAAAGCCATCCAGTTATGTGTTGCACAAACACCAGCATAGCACGTTTTATGCCCTTTTATGTAACAAATCATTCTGTTTGGCAGAGGGGGTTTGACAGCATGGACCCATTTATCCCGGTGTCGGTGCCCAACTACAGCGAGAAAGAGTTTGAGAGCTGTTACCTGTACTATATGGACCGTCACTGGCTGCAGCACCCACAAAGTAAGTATGATAATGTCAATCATCTGCTTTGACATGCTAAAACAAAGTTTTCTCCAATACTTTTTAAAATTGTATTTATTTTTTACTTCAAATAGGCCGGACAGAAGATGGGAAGAAAGAGCTCATCTTTTTGAGCAATAGGAATCCGTCCATGTTTGAAAGGGTTTGTGCCTCTGTATGAAGTCTCAAATATTTCCATCTGAGGAAAAATGAAAATGTACCATAAAGGTCACAAAAATATCCCTGTCTGATTTATTCTGTTGTAAATTATAATGCTCTGTTTGTTTGATAATAAAAATGTTATAGTAAAAAAAACAATTGTGGTTGACGTTCTTACAACAATAAACAAGTTAAATGTGATTTTTTTTTCAGAACATAGACATAACATGTCAGCATGGATTGACAAATTACAGTGTTAATAATAAATGAAGAAAGTTCAAATGTTGACTTTATTAATGATTTAATGACTATTAATAATAGTAATACCTAATACTTACAAATCTCTGGGAACTTAAACAGCAGTGTAGTTGTTAAATGAACACAAACCTCAGCTGGTTTGTTCCCCATTTGGCCTGTGGTTTTTTTTAATTCATTAGACCACATGGCAGTTGTTTTTTTACGCACCAAACTTTCTGAGATCCACATGAGAGACAATGTTTCTGAACTTTTAACTATGCCACTTTTCTACTGTTGTTGATGCAGTATAAAAATAAAATCTGAAATATTCACATGCGGTGACTCAGAAGTTTCCCTGAGTCATCAGAGGAGTTTGAACCACGTAAATGTTCTTTTTAGTGCATTGCTTGAACTTTTGGTCTTGCCCTTAGACTTTTTGCATATTTTACATATGTTTATTCTGATTTTGTCAAATAATTCTGCATCAAAAGCAGATGATTAACTCTTACTCTTCTGAAAGACTAAAACTCCTCGAAATGACTATATATATGTATATAACTTTTTATTACGTTTGCATGGCATGAAAAAACAAAACAAAACCAAAAACAATTCAAATTTCAGTCAAATAAATGTTAATGAATTTGTTTTATAATCTAAAAATGTAACAAGCACAAAAACAAGCGACTTTAAAAAAGTGTAAATTGTCCCTTGTGGGCTACCGTAAATCGAGCTACGTATTAGCTTTCCTCCCTCCAAAGACTTCTCATTTTTCATATAACGGATCGATTTATTTATTTATTTGAATTCCCTCTGGTCTAGCATGAAGAAAAGCGACCAGCTGTCAATGAGTATTTATCCACTGACCTTTTACTCCGCTCTAACCTGTCCGAAAAAGTACATATTTATGCTGTTTTCCTTTATCTGTTTGGTGTAATTTCTTCATGAGACCGAAGCTGAATGTTACTATTGTTCAACAACACGTGAATATATCTGCTGAACTTACACTGAACCACGTTATGAATTAGTAACATAATAATAGTTATATTTGCATAATAATAGTTATATTTGTTGAGTCCCTGTTTATGACTACATACTTTTAGCCCTGTTGACTTGTGTAAGTTGTTAATACCCCCCACCCAAAAAAAAAAAAAAAAATTTACGGTTTTACCCTTCCAAAACCCCGTAATATAACTCCGTTGACATTTTATGAAGTCCTCAGATTTGAACTGGGCATGGCAGCTTGTTTGGCAGCCCTCCCTGCTCATGGCTGCCCCCTGGTGGCCAACAGGGCTATGCATGTTATTTGCACTAAATGACACGGTTTGGTCGCGCACACGCCTGCGTCAGAGGGCTGTTTAGTAAGTTCAGCGATCATAGGCGCACACATTTCCTGACTAATCGATTCAATAGTTTGTGGTGTTTCATCATACGGTTCCAGTCATGTACTGTAGGATTAAAGCATGAGGGCAACCCGATCTGGGTTGATGGCAGAGCACCACCTGTCTTTTAGGACAGACGCACGTTTGTTTTCGTAGCTCGCCTGACCGGTTTTACGGTCACATGACATCTCTGAAGCGACGGGGTTCCGGGTTTGGCAGATTGGACAACTTTGACATAACGGTGGGGTATGAAAACAGACCCAGTCAGAGTAATGCCAGGTGAAATTGTCGTTTTTCAGAACAGGGCCATGAATTGTGAGCGTTTGTTTTCTGAGACAGACGAGAGGCTGTTGCTGTTCAACTTATTGAACTCTTGTTAAATTAAATGTACACCATGACTTGAACTTGTTCATTTTGATCTTTCTTTTTCTGCAGATATAATGGCTCTGTGTGTTGTTGTGATGCTTGTTTTCATCACAGCTGAAGTAACTCTCTGTAAAGGTGACCCACAGAGCACACTGATTCATCTTTGGCTGTTTTTTTATGTGTAAAGTAATGTTTCTGACGAGTTTTTCTCTTCCAGTGGCAAATGACTGTGTACCCCAAAACTTTGGCCATGGCTCAGTGGTGTGCGTTTGTAATTCCACCTACTGTGACAGCGTGGGGCCGGTGACCCTGCGTCCACTGGGTCAGTACTCCTCCTACCTGAGCAGCATGGCGGGCAGCAGGCTGCAGGCCGGCCACGGGCAGGTCCAGGAGAAGAGCCCTGGGGCAGGTGAGCGGAGGGGAAGCCGTCGTTTGACTGCCTGTGCTGTTGGAGCGCCCGCTCTTTTTCACGATGTGCCTCTTTCAGGCCTGAGGTTGACTATCGTTCCCACCCAGAAGTACCAGAGGATCAGGGGGTTCGGTGGGGCCATGACGGACGCGGCAGCCATGAACATACTCTCCCTTTCTCAGGGTGCACAGGAGCAGCTGCTCCGCCAGTACTTCTCAGAGGAAGGTACACCCCACCAGCAGCCATATGCAGCTCAGTTAGGCAAAGCGTCCCGCCCAGTGACATCTGACAATAGATAACAGTTCAGTTTAGCGAACTCAGAGCCATGTTTAAGAAAACAGTCCTGAGAAGACAAGATATTGTGGACTGTGTGTTTTCCTGCTGGGCTTATGTAAGGAATGGACAGCCGCTGCCTTTAGAGGTAGCCTTTGAGGCTGCTCGCATCACCAATAAACTCAAAGCTTTCCAAAACTCCCCATTTCCAGGAGTTCTCAGACCAAATGCAGAGATGCTGTCAACATGAAAAAGGCCAGCATCTGTACTCTGGCAGGCTGCACACGCAGAGCTTAAATAATGCCAAACTGGTCCTAAGTGGTTCAGTGTGTGCCAAGAAAAACATGCCACCAACACGGAGTGTGCAGTATAGTCCAAAAGAAGGTACACCCTGAATAGCTGAAAGGATTATATCAATATTTTATACAGGCTGAGCTAAATGGGAAGTTTTGACCAAATGCCACACAAATGTTGTCAGATTTCAATATCATTTTGAGACAACGATCAAACTGGATTAATTGCAGGTTTTACTGTAGCTCAACAAAGCAGTTGACATCTGTGACAAAATGTGCATTTGTGTAGTGTTCTGCTAAGTTTCATGCATGAAACAGTGATGAACACATATCAGGAACATCTGCTCTCACAGAACTGTGCAAATAACAAAAAAAGGTTTGAAAATATGCTGCATTGGGAAACTTTGCTGAGTAATTTTGGGGAAATGTTAGTGGGATTGATTCTCAGCTGTGGGACGTGAGCTAGAGTTTATGTTTAGAAGTATCTATGAAGCACTGGCTGGTCTTCCTGTGTGTGTCCTTGTGGTGTTTGTATAAAAACTTTTTCTACATCTCTGCACTGATAGGTATCGGCTACAGGGTTGTGCGCATCCCCATGGCCAGTTGTGACTTCTCGACCCGCCTTTACACCTATGCCGATACACCTGGAGACTACAACCTGGACAACTTTACTTTGGCCCCTGAGGACACCACTATGAAGGTATCTGTCCTTGCATCCTCCTTCCTCTGTGCATTTTATCCTCAGCAGCTGTGAGAGTGCACACATGGCTCCTCTGCAAACCATTTTTTGGCATCTGCACGGTGTCTGGTGTCAGTTTTAGTTGACGGTTGGTTAAAAATTATGCCTCTTACCTTTTTTCCTGTCTCCTTGTGTGTGTCCTTGCTCCCTCTGCTGGTGGTACAGATCAGGAAACCAGTGGAGGAATTGAATGTGCTCATTTTGGGAAATGTGAGAAGGGGCATGTCTCTCCATGTCTTTGCTGTTTTTCTTTTGAATCTCAGATCCCACTTCTGCAGCGTGCCCAGGCCATGTCTCCCCAGCCCCTCTATCTGTTTGCTAGTGCCTGGAGCGCCCCCGCCTGGATGAAAACCAACAATGAACTTACAGGGAAGGGCTCACTGAAGGGAAAGCCAGGGGGCAAAGAGCACAAAACATGGGCTCAGTACTACGTCAGGTGGTTTCAGTCATAGTGCACATTGAAGGATCTTGATAAAAAGGGAATGTAATTCTGACTTTTTTTTTTTTTTTTCTCAGGTTCCTTGAAGAGTATGCTAAATATAACTTGACTTTCTGGGCAGTGACCACAGGAAATGAGCCCAGTGCAGGACTGCTGAGAAACTACAGGTCTCTCCTTATATGACTTTACAAGTTTAAGAAAAAAAAAAGAACATGTCATTATGAAGCATCCTTTTTGCTTTGAAATACCGCTAGACATTAAAGGAAATCTTTCTCACTTCAGTTTTCAGGCCCTGGGCTTCACTGCTGAGGAGCAGAGGGACTGGGTGGCTTTGGACTTAGGCCCTGCTCTGAAAGCCTCATCACATCCCCACACACACATCCTCATACTGGATGACAACCGCCTGCTGCTGCTCCACTGGGCCAAAGTGGTGAGTTCAAGGGTAAAGAGATACAACAGATGAGAGAGTAGGACTTTCAACATTAATTCATTTAACTAAATCATAGAAAAGTAGAATGTGAGACATTTAATCTGCTGTTGGGAATGATTTTGACTCAGGGTAGGTTTCTTAACCCTTTTAGGTCCTAACGAAGAATAAAATGATTTCGTCTTTTGTTTACCCAATTACATCTTTTTTATATGTACAATTTTTTGTATGTTTTTTGGCTGTAGTGTTCTTTATTGAAAGTGGCATGACAGGACAGGGGGCAGATAGTGAAGGTTTGGTACAGGAAAGGGCCATGAGCCATGGGACTCAGCCTGCCTGCAGAGTAGCACAGAGCCTCCACACATGGGCTGCCCGCCTAACCCACTTTCTTGTATATATTTGAGACGTTACATCTTAAAGAAAGTCTTTCCTGAATAAACGTTCTCAGTTAACGTCACTCCAGTCTTTCTGCCTGAGCCATCTCAGAACCAAACACACACATCTCTCTTAATCTTTCACCAACTCAGAACAAAGGAAAGATGAGCTCGATCTAACAGTCGAGCCAGACGTAATGGGGTTAAAAGGCCACGTTAGTTTACCTCACCTTGTGTGTGGGTTTGATCTGATAAACTAAACCTGGACAAATTCGGACAACATGCATGTGAAACTGGAATGGGTCGTGTTTTGGCCAAACTACATGTTTTTTTCTTTGTTCCCACAGGTCCTCAGTGATATTCATGCAGCCAAGTACATACATGGAGTGGCTGTCCACTGGTACTTTGACAGTCTTGTCCCGGCTGAGATAAGCTTGGGGGCCACCCATGAAGTGTACCCGGAGTATTATCTGTTTGGCACAGAGGCGTGTTCCGGGGCAAACCCGTTTGACAGAGGGGTGAAGCTGGGAAGCTGGGAACGGGCTGAGCACTACGCGCATGACATTTTAGAGGTGAGGTCGCCTGATTTCTGCCGCATGTATGATGCCTGTGCGTGTTTAGACAGAGCCTCGGTTCCAGATGGAAGATTCGGCATGCTGCGGGCCCTCCCAAAGAGGGGTGGAACCATTCTTCAGGTTACAGGCCACGCTGTGCACAGAAGCTGGCGCAGGCCTGCAGAGCAAGATGGAACTGGTGTCTTTGTGTCTTCTTCTTTCACTCTCACTCAAGAGAAATTGGACTCCTTCCATTCAATTAATTTTGCATGGGCCCACCCAGGCTCCGAACAGAGTCAGGTGGACTGGGATCATGTCAACGTGCTGTCTTTGGGACATTTAAACAAGCCCCCAGTTAAAATGCTTCATTTAGCAAATCTGTCTTCTTGCTGAGCCTAATAAATGGCATCAGGAGATGCTAATGCTAATGATGTTTTCTTCTCCTCTTTCAGGACTTAAATCACTATGTTGTGGGCTGGACTGACTGGAACCTGGCCCTGAACCAGAAAGGTGGCCCAAACTGGGTAAAAAACTTTGTGGACAGCCCTGTCGTGGTGGATGCAGAGCTGGACGTCTTCTACAAGCAGCCCACTTTTTACGCAATGGCCCACTTCAGGTAGTCTTCTACCAAACGTTACATGATCCATTTTTGCTAAATGACAACCTGTATGATGTCACCCATGAACCTTTATGCAGCAAGTTCCTGTTGGAGGGGTCTCAGAGGGTGGGGGTGTCCACCAATGGAAAAACAAAGCTGGAGTTTTCCGCCTTCGTCAGACCAGATGGCTCAGTGGTGCTCATCATCCTTAACAGGTACCGTCCACTCAGTCTGTGTGAATATGTGGGCCTGTCTGATAAATACTGAGCTCTGTCTGCGTTTGTTAGTTCGCCTTCAGCGATCCAGTTCGAAGTCTCGGACCCAGGCCTCGGCTACATTCCCTGCACTGCTCCGGCTCACTCACTGCTCACGCTTGCTTGGAACACAAACTGAGCTTCAACGGGAAATCACACCAAACGTTTCTGCACTTTTCACACAAACAGCATTTCACAATGGAGCCTCCTCTCTACCAAAGCACGTTTGACTACCTCCTCGGTGTCAGACCACCTACACAGTGGTGGTACTAAATGCAGATGTTTGTTTGCTGTGTCTAATGATTTCAAAAGTTTGATTAAACTCGCTAAGTGAAGGAAAGGTTTTCCTTTATTATAAAACAATAAGATGTCATCATTCCTTTTTTTTAAATGCATTTAAATGAATGAGATTACCAGATTAAATTAAGTGTCCTTACTTTGTCATGAGTGAATAAATTGTTTCAATGATGTCCAGAATCTGTAAATGCCCTCTTCTTTTTAAAATAAAATTAAACCATTTTTTAAATAAAGCACTTACTGCTAAATGCTGCATCTCAAAACAATAAGAGCAATTTAAACCCCACAAGAATATGGACTTCAAATGAAATTTCAAACAGAACTGGGACCTTTCTGTGTGGTGTTGGGATCGTCTCCCTTTGTCTGGGTGGGTTCTCCAGCTTCCGCCCACCATCCAGAAGTAAGTGTGTATGGTTGTTTGTCTCTGCGTGGCGACCTGTCCAGGGTGTGCCCTGCCTCTCACTCGTCATCAGGAGGGATGGCTCCAGCCCCCCACATGACCCCGTAGCGAATAAGTGGTATAGAAAGTAGATGGATGTATGGATGAAAGTTTAGACGGTCCATTTTTTTGGCAATTTATTAATACATCATAGACTTTTTTCATATAATATACAGTTTGATAACCAGGTATTTCACATGTGCATCTCCATTCTCAATGTTTTCATTGCAAACCTAATGTTTTTGGACTAAAGTTATTTACATAAAAAAAGAAAATGTAAAACAAAAGATGGTCAAAAACAGAAGAATAAAATGACAAAGGGTTGCCATCTGTTTGTAATATATACACCAGGAGGGGTATGTGACATTAAGCATCAGATAACGGGCCCGACTCGGGGATTTCATTTCATCCCCTCAAAGGTAAAACGTTTAGTTTCATAATGAGACGGGTGTACTATGAAGCTTTCAGTGTCACAGAGATGGCTCTCTGTTAGCTGGAGAGTGTCACCATGGTAACTTACTTACATACTTCAGAGCTTTCTAGGCTCAGTTTCGGATTAAACGTTTGATGTCTGACATTGTCAAATAAATTAAAGCCAGAAACTAAATGGATCAAATCCTGTCACTTTAATCACCAACTTTAACCAACATCTTTTCAGTATTTATTTTCTAAAATATCTGAGCCACCTTTAATGTAATCTTAACAAAAAATAAGTCCATTTGGCCAGTGCTAATACGCATGAAAACAAATGAAGCTAAACATCAGAAAATATTCAGCCGGTTTCACTCTGACTTTGACCAGTGATGTGTGATTAGTGTGGCTATTATGGGATGGTGTCAGAGCTACATGACCTTTATGAGCAGGTGCCATGACAAACAGCACTAGAACTTAAACCAGCTAACTTATTTGCACAATTTTCTGAGGCTCTTTCACCTTAAAAGGCAGCAGCTTTATTTTTTTCTGCAGTGACCTTTGAATTTCTCACATTTTAACGTTTAAACTAACTGCTGTAATTATGAATAAAGTGTCAGGTGAGTGACATATAAAACCCCAAATCCTTCAGAGGAAAGTTAAAGGTCGCAATTACTATGGTGGTACCTGTTATTTCAGAGCCAAGATTCAGGTTTAGTTTCTTTTTAGACCAGCAAACACAAAGCCTGACTATGTGGAACATGCTTCATAGTACACCCACTCCTTTTATTGGAAGTCACGGCTTCTGTTAGTGGCTGCTCGACATGATCCTATCGAATGCTTTGTTTTGTTCTTTTATTGAAACACGCTAAGTGTTAAGACGGGGGCTTGAACCCGTTTACAGTGCAATCCAATAAAACGCCGCCATTGTACATTAAATGAGTTCAATCAGAATCTTTCTGATACAAACCTCAACAAAAAAATGGAACAATATTTAAATCCTTGAGAGCAGTAGGTGTGCATGTTGCTTTGTCTCGTCTCTGTAAATGCAAAGGGTGAAAACATCCCCCAAAGTCTTTCTGGGTGCCTTTCAGGGCTCAGTTGCAGGATTGCGCTCATCCAGAAGTCACGGTAAATGATTCAAATTCTGGTATTTCCCCTTCATGGTATATTGCAGCAGTACATTTAAAGAAAGAAGTTGAGGAAGTTTGGTTGAGAGGCAAAAATTAAGAGGGGCGGACGAACATGAATCTAAATCGATGTTCCTCTCTGCAAACAAAAGGGGTTAAGCAATACACAGTGGATTGTTAAGACTTGTGCATGGTATGTGATTGAGGAGAAAGGCATTAAAATAGAAATTAGAAATACAAAAAAAAAAAGTTATCTTGAGATGATTATGACTGCAACGGAGATTAACAGAGGAAAGTGAGAAGCGTTTTGCTGGAGGGGAACCAAGGGATGTGATAAGTGGCTGTCTCAAAAGGACCATCTCTCCTGTGTACGGGGGTCCATGGAGAGTGAGGGGGACTCTGACGGGGTCTGGCTGCTGCTGTCTTCTCCGTTCAAACTCATCCTACACACTGGACATGTGTCATGCTGTATGGTCACACAACAAAACACAGACGTAAGCTCACCACTGTTTTATGATAGGGCTTTAGGAGGAATTCTACATTTTAGTCAAATTTGCACAACCAAATGCAACTTCATGAATTCCACCATGATTGCCTGGATAAAAATGTGTCCATATTAACATTAAAATAAACACTTTGTCCCAAATATAGACCAACTTCAAGTATAAAATCAAGCTAGGAAAAGGGACAAATCAGCTATAGTTTGTGATAAAAATGGCTCAAACTACTTTTTTATTGAGTAAAAGAATAAATTAAAAAAATTTAAAATCCCCATTTATCTCAGCTTATAGTGGCAGCACTAACCCAGTCCCTGTGAAGGACACAGTACTTTCTGTAAACAGTTCAAACCCATCATCAGTAAACTAACTGAAGCAGTTAAACTCCACTGGGTGTTTTCCTGATGTTAATAAAAGCACGTTTAAATGTTAAAATGTGTCTTTAAATACAACGATTTGGTGACTCACCATTTCCAGCCATGGTACTATACAGTCTGAATGAAAGAAGTGGTTACAGGGTAGCTGTCTGACTGGCTCTCCCACTGAGAAGTCCTCTTTGCATACTGGACATTCCATACAGCAGTCTATGGGAATAAAGACACACATTTATTTTAATCTTTTACCAGATATCAATGCCCCTCCCTTATCAGTCCCCTGTTTAAAGAAATAACAACAGAATGCCTTTAAGCTTCCTTTAGATAAGATTTACTGGTTGTGTGCATTTCTCAGGTGTTGTGTAACAGGGGAATATCGGCCTGTCCAATGGAAAACGAATCTTGCCGAGCTGAAGCAATCACCCACCTCAGACATGCAGACAACCGTTCTATGGAGTGACAGCTGCCTGAAGCAAGCTCTTACTTGTGTGCAGATGACCCAATAGGGGTGACTCATTTCTTTATAATAAGCCTGAAGCGGACCCAGAAGAATCCACTGCACAGCTCCTAAAAGAACCTAAAGTCTCTGAACTCCTGTTTTGCCATTTGGATATTAGCAACGTGCACCCTCCCCATCATTAAGTCCAGGCTTTGTCACTGACTGGACTGCTTGAAAAAGACATTCCGCTTCCATGTCTACAGCTATTATATGCACGCATTTCATTATTTAAGGTGTCAGAATTTTCCTATGCACGACTGACGCGATTTAAAGGTGTAAATGAGTCTCATTTGACAATTAAAAACACAAAAGAGGAGGCGCCGTCATTCGTCTCAGAAAGGTTGGTTCTTTTTTAACCTAGCTGACACAACTGACCAAACAGTTATGGCGGAGCAGTAAAATTGACAGAATATTAAAAAAGGAGTTAAGTACCCAGTCAAAACTGACAAACGGGTGAGACAAGAGATCAGCTGATAATGCATAAAACTCACTTAGGTTATTATCATCAAGGTTAATGGATCACTCAAAATATATGAAACACAAGACATATTAAGAATTGATCTACAAAATGCTTCTGTATGCTCACATAAAACTAATACCAAGTCACACTAGTGAGAGCAGCAAATTTATTGCTTTGACCCTCATGTCACAGCCTATCATCGTCTCAACATTACCGATTACTTTGTCAATATGCAAAAACGTCGACGTTAACACCCCTGAAAGGTGTATCCCATTCAAAGGAACATTTCAGAACTCATAATTTCTCATTAAAAAATGTAGAATTTGTGACTTGAAATACAATCTTTGTAGCCATGTTGCAACACAGCAGCTATGGCTGAAGGGTTGTACTTAGCCAACAACTAAAATAAAGTAATACAGTCATTACACACATGGGGTTACCCAGCAGCTTTAGAGATATTACTGCTGCAGTTTGCTCTCAGACGACAGAGAAACCAAAGCATTTTAAATCAGCGAGGAAAGAGATGGGAAATGGAAGTGACTTATGACTGACCTGCTTGTTCCTGAGAGATATTGACAGTTGGGAGAGAAGATATTTTCTCTTTCTCTGCTGGAGGAGGTCCTGTATTCTCCAACTGACCTAATAACTACATACACACACACACACACACGTTTGTGAACTCAATACTATAGACGAGGTGAGGGCAGACGTGGTTTGCAATAGGTCTGATTTACCTGTGTTATCACAGCATCTAACCCTCCCTGTCCCCATGCGTAATCTCCGGGGTTAGAGTGCAGCATCCCCGTCCTGAAGGAGACAAAAGCAGAAAAAAATTGGTGTAAAACAGCTTATAACGAGCATTAACGCTGGTTTGCTACAGCAATGTTCCTTTACCATGACAGAGGAGGTGACCCAGGGACTCCAGAGTTGGCAAAGAGACCAGCAAGAAACTGTTGTACAATCCTAACAAACACAAATGATCATCAATCACCCAAAAATTAAAATCAACATTTGTTAAGATTATTAAACCTCATTTTCAGATGTTGTGGCTAAAAAACAGAGGGAAAATGTGGTTTGTTTCCATCTTGGGCTCCTTTGTTTCACAGCAGGAATCTTCCTGAAGCTAAGCTAAATGTCTGACTGACTGTAGAAGTCACTATTAGATGAGCAAAGAATCGCTTGCATGATTTTCTCATTTTAATACTTACTAACCTGTTCCTGAAACTATGCTGAAGCTTCTATCTGTGCAGTGATGGGACACATGACCATGGGTCTACAATAGTGTTCCACTTTGGGAATTATTTATTCTGTGCTGGCTGACATGGCCTCTGTCCAAAATGGGTCAGTAGCATATTTTAAGCAAAGCAGAGTGGCATAGTGGTTTCCTCCTGGATGCTTCTGGGACATGCCGCAACATGTGTCATGGAAGCATCATTGACTCGAAGAACGAGGGCAAAATGTTAACATCTCTTATATGGTAAGCAGGAGAATGAAAGAAAGACAGGATGATGCAGCTAAGCCAGTCAATAACTCACCCCTCCACAGCAGGCGAGCGATCGGGCCTACTGCTGCCTCTGGACCGGTATCTCCTCTGGCTTTGCAAACGAGGGGGGCGCCCTGGTCCCCAGTGTTCCCCGGCTGCTAGTAGGCTCCCCATGGGTCCTCCTAAACCGGCGGGGACAGATCCCCCGATTGATCCGCCCCCTAAACTTCCCAGATCGCCGAATCCCCCCAGGCGTCCTCCAGGGAGCCGAGGTTCTGAGTCAGGAGTGTCGCTGTCTGTTGTAAATGGCCGCTCCAGTAGCAAGAGGTGCCATAGCTAACGGCCCGTGAGGGTCAGACAGTGGCAGAGAGGGGACACAATAAAGACAAAGTAAACAAGCAATGATGGAATTTGAAAAAGTAAATAAAGATTCAAAAGAGGGGGCAAAGGAGAAGTGAATAGGGAAGACAAGAGAAGAAAGGCACCAGGTTATTCATAATATATTTATCCTGTATGTCCACCTCCACTCCCCCAAACTGCCTAGATCCAGTCGTACCTCTGCAAACTGTGTGGCTGTGTCATCTATCCCGTTTGCGCCACCCTCTAGGAGACTGAGGGAATCAGCGCAGAAGGGGACAAAAGACACGTTATTAGCAGAATGGACTGAACCCTGGACACATGTTCCTCCTTAGTGTTGGCGCGTAACAACGCTTAGCGCAGAGCTTCAAACTCTGCGGCGGCGGCGCTGTGGCTGCTATCATTACAGACCAACACTACAGGCGTCAGCGTCACGTGTCTCCTGGACACGTAACAAGATGTGACAAATGTGATAACGTCTCCTACCTGGAGTCTTCTGTTACTTCCTCTATGAAACCTGAATCACATCTTGGGCAGATGTATTCCTGAAAGGAGTCAAAACAGAGACTGGGTTACAGAGGATTCACACATTAGAATTTACAACCATCCAAATAATCTAATGTTGTGTTGTTGCAGACCAACTATCACCCCCAAGTAGTTGCTTGATAAAGATTCGAAGTGGCATAAAAGAAGCTCGCGCTCACAGAGCTGAATTTGGAATGAGTATTTGTCTGGCATTTCAACAACGCTCATTGTTTGTTTCAGCAGGAGTTGCAGCATTTATACATTTGTTTTCTGGTGATTTTTACTTGAGGAAAATTATCCATTAGATGGTAACATAAATCTCGAGGATATCACATTTTGAGGGGCTTGTTTTTACGTCTGTTGAACTATTTCCTTGAAGCATAAGATGTGTTTACAATTATATAAATTCCTATTTCAACAATATCACAAAGCCCAAAAAGTATAAGTGTCAGACCACTTTAGAAATTCCGTTTTATTTGCTTTTTTGAGAAGCTCATAAAACTAGGGGATTTTTAGCTATTCAAAAGTGATTGCCAGTGTGTTATGAATAAACCTAGGAGGTAGAGCTGGTTTGACCAACCACACCTAAAATCGCAACATGACAGAATGAGGAAAACACAGCTGCCAGCTCATGAGGATGCCTCACACTGCGTTGTATTACTTCAGAGGTCATTCAACATACGGACGAGGCTGTGAGAGAGTTAGAGTTATACCTGTTAGCGACAAACTGTGCCACAGAAATATCAGCTTTTCAGATTGTACGTCTTTTGGAGAAACAAAAAAGTTCTTCTTTTTAATGACATTTTCTCAGTTTATTCTTAATTATATAAATGTATACATGACATGACATGAAATTAAATGTAGCCTGAAGTAGTGCAGTGTAATAATTTTGGGGGCTGCTGTCATTTGGCTCAGTGAAGACATGCCAAAGGACTGAGTATTCATGAGCCAGCCAGTCAGTGACAGAGCAGCCACGCCATAAAAATAAAGATTCAAATGGCATCTGGGGACACCATGATCAGAAAAGCTGCAGCTTAGAACTGAAAATAAAACAACAACAAAAAATCATACCTAATCATCTAAGAGTGATTTTATGGCAGTATAGGTTTAAGATTAGCATTGTTAAGACCAATTATTCCCATTTTAACAGCAAACCAAACACCTCATCAGCTTGGTGTGATTGGGCTCCATTCACATTTCCCCTAAAAGTTAAAAATACACACACTGCTCCAAAGTAACAAATCACAGATGTTAAAGGACCCTCATCAAAACTCTGAATATTAGCGGTGAAGACAGCCTTAGGCGAGAGATAGTGCCATATCAACACAAGATATTTGTTGCTAGTCTCATCCAGCTGTTTCATACAGCTGGCTGGAGATTATTATGTACTGTTCTGCAAATGTTGATGGTGTGAACAGGTACTATGAAAGGCCTGATAACAAGATGACAGTAAATTTGACTGACTAACATGGACAAAGATAGCATCACGTATCCTCAGTGGCCAGGTATTCTATCAATATTACAGCCCACCACTACCAGTCATTTCCATACCCATTACCTTTAGTTATTTGGCAGATAATTGTATACAAAGATGCTCACAAATCTGAAAATAACATTTAAGCTAAGAACCCTGAGTAGAACAAGAACAGAAGTACAAGTACGAGCAGGTTAGGTGTTACAAGTGTCAGAAAATGAGGTGTTCTCTGTGGAAAAAAGTATTCAAATGTTCTTTCAGGCAGAGGGACTCTTCAACTCTAACAGCATATCAAAGCCCCAAGTGTATAAGAAAGACAATAGCAGAGGATATTCCAGAAGGGAAGTGTTATTAAACCACCAATGACAACATATACTTCCCCTATTCAGGAAAAAATTGTGCTAATCCCTATATTAATCATGGTATTAATATGATAACACAACAATAACAAACTAGTTTGGTATGTTTTCCTTTAAACTAAGAAAATTAAAGCATGAGATCACACAAAGTAGACAAAGACACAAGGTATTTTTGACAATTTAGCTTCTACACAGTATACAAATAGAGAAAAACAAGGAAGTCTAATTTGTTATGACTAAGTAATTACCAAATCTACTGAATATCAAACATCAGAAGGACACAGTACAACAGATATATCTTTCTCTTTGATCGTAAGAATGGATAAAGGGCTTAAATATGATTAGAATTAAGATAAGAAAACATTTAAAGCTTGGAGATATGATTACGTATATGTATGTATTTAGATAGTAAGCTTAGAGAGTGGTATTGTAAGTCAAGGTCAACATGTCAGGCTGGACTCTAATAATACTTACTGCTGATTTTTAAAACTGAAACAAAAAATGAGCTGTGTCTATTTGTACGTTCCCGAAAATCCCCAACTAGTACTGTCAACTATGTGGTTAACAGAAAGAAAAACTGAATATGGCAAATCCCAACTCGCAGGAAAGTAAAGATAAATGTGTGGCTTTAGAGGAACGGGTAAGGCTCGTGTTTTCAGTTCTTACTGTAGTTTGTTGTTTGGGTACAAAAACACAACATCTCCAAAGTGTGTAACCAAAGCCTGTGGCGCAAACGTACGGCCTGGTCGTACCAAGCACACAGCCTCACCAAACTGCGTTTAAAGCCTGTTGTCTTTACGAATAAAAAAGGATCAGAGTCTATTTAGTGAATTAACAACAACCAACGTTGCTAACTGCTAGCAGGCTAGCCGCGGTGAAGCTGGAGCGAGCAAGCGAAACAAACGGCTGTTTGGCGGAAGGCGGCGATGTCAGCCGCGCGTTTCGTACGAGATATTAGCACAGCTCAACGAAAGTCACCGGACTTACCGGGAGTTTGGGGTTCACTTCTCCCTTACAACAGTGACAGAAAAACCGATGCGGGGGAACAGCCGCAGCCTCCGCCATCTTCCCCAGAGCAGCACAAACACTGACGTAGGTCCTCCACAAACTGAAGACAGCTGTCCGCCTCCAGCCCATCATGCACCGCGCGCGGCGCTGCTGCGGAATCCCGGCGAGGGAGAGCCGGGGAGCGGAAGTGTGCGTGTGTTGACATGGAGGAGCAGCATGCGTGAGAGCCTCTATCTTCCGGGCGCTTAGAGAAAAGACCTGCGTCAGTTCAGAAACACAGAGGTTGGTGTGAAAGAAAAATAAGGACCTTGTTTGTAGATGTTAAGTTGACTACCGTGTTTATATACATTAGAGAGGGGCTGGTATCTAAAAAGTCTCGTTACAGTGTTGATTACATTGAGAGAATAGCAAACTTCGTTGATTTGTTAAGTATTGTTTTTGTTCACTGTAACTGCACATTTGAATCTAAATATTTACGATAAAAGTTACTTGAAATTACTTGAAGTTACTTGATATTTTCTATGTATTATTTGTATGCTATTTTCACAGGCGTCTTTAAACTAGATCGAGACAGCTTCAAATATCAGGCATAAAATGTGCTAAATTTGAACTACCATCCCTGCATGAAAAAGTCAATGAATTCTGAATTATACTGGAGGATTTTAAAAGAAAATGGTCTGTTCATGGACTGAATGTCAAGAGAAACAGGGAGAAGCACAACAACCATTGGCACACAAGCTGTTTTGCCTAACAATGGTTGTTAATAATTTCGACCGGCCAGGTAGAAGTCCTGATCCTTATCCAACAGAAATGTTTGGAAGGGCCTGAAACAAGTGGCTGTTCAGAGGAAATCTGCCTCACTCTACATTCCAAAGGGGTGCTTTGCACAGTTTGAGTCTTGGTGTGTGGCAGCTGGGACAGGCTCCAGCTCTGCATCAGCGGATAGACGGTGTACAGACCCTGCTTAAGAGTGATTAACCTGTACAAGAAATGCCACAGAAATGGTCCAATATATCAGTTTAGTCTAATAGAAAATAGAAAATTCCAAAGGATTCTCAAACCCTTGAGTTGCATGAATTCTATTTAGTTCTGCTATTGTGCACCCTGACTCACTGGCACACTGTCATGGTTTGTTTAGCTCCTTGATAAAAAAAAAAACAAATCTATGAAAAAGAATGGCTATTGTGCTGCTTTCATGATTTATATGTGGGATCAAAATGTTTAATTTCTTTTCCTCATAAAATACATTAAAAGCATTGATTTGCTCAGTTCAACAGAAGTGCAAAACTGACACAATTTACAGATTTTCATATGTTTTTCTTTGTCAAATGGTGTATTGGTGTGGATACCTCTGTTTTTCAGCTCTCCTTTGAGTGTTGCTGTTTGTGTTTGTGCAGATGACCACCCAGGAGGTACGTCTGTGTGGTCTTCTACTCCGGGAGCACTTTGGAGAGGTGGTGGAGAAAGTGGCAATACAACTGCTCAGAAATGGGGCACAAAATTTGAGAACCATTGTTCATGAAACTGGCATCTCAGCGGATCTGGTAAGCCCGTGATTCATCAGCTCAGGATTTGTTTTCAAGGAGCCCATTTTTTCTTCTATCTGGATTTTTATGCGGTTTTTCATAATTGCAGCAGGAACAGTAATCGGAGAGCTAGAAAGTCAAAGTGAATATGACCTGTATTGATTCATGTTACATTTGTCTTATTTAAGCTGCCTTTCTGCAGTGAAAGCTTGAGAAATTACTCTTTCAGTGTATTTTAGACGACAACTTTCTTTATCACTTTATGGGTTTGTGGCCGCATACACTGATACTTTTATTTGACAAGCAAATTGATGTAAAAAAAATAACAAAATAACACAGAAAGTAAGTCACTTTTGGTAATAAAGGGCCTTTCTCAAAAGATGACAAAGAATAATAAGATGGAAACAACCTACAACCTACAACAGTCATTCATAGTGAGGGAGTGATCTACATGGAATAAGTCATATATTTATTAGAAAATGAATGCTGAAGGTTGTAGATTTAGTTTTCATTTAATTTCTTACTTTTGTTTTCTTTTTGGACAAAGACAATGGTAAATACCTGCGCCCTCCTGCTTTCTCTTTCTCCATCCAGGTGAAGAAGTCTCTGTGCGTGCTTGTCCAGCACGGGGCTTGTCTGTTCACCCCAGGCCGGAAGGGACCCGGGAGCCCCACAGAGTATCGGACCTTCGGCGATCAGATCCTGAGGATTCTGCGCTACCCGCGCTACATCTACACCGCCAAGACGCTGTACGGTGACACAGGCGAGCTAATCATAGAGGAGTTGCTGCAGCGAGGCCAAATGACCATGAGCGGCGTGGTTAAGACAGTCGCTGACCGACTCACTCAGAACATGGAGGGTCAGTGTCCACATCAACCGACCGTTTTTATTGAAGCCAAATGGCACAAGTAAAAAAAAGTCCAATCATAAGTGTTGTATAGGAAAGGATTTACATGTGGGAGATTCAGCAGAATGTGAAAAGAGTGATGCGACTGCAAGCTTCTGTTTTTTTTTTCCATTACAGAGGGGCAGAGTGTCGATTACAGCGAAGTCGTCTCCGCCTTTTCCAAACTGGTGGAAACTCATTTTCTTCAGCGCTGCCCTCCACTGGGGGGAGGAAGAACAACAGAAAGACAAACTGCCAGTGGGAATCCTGCCACCCCCGATGCTCCTGCAGCCAGCAAGGCCCCACCCGCCCCGGAGAGCTTCCCCGACTGCTACAAGGTCCCTCACGTGAAACTCATAGGACGAGGCAAGCGTCAGTTCGCTGGTGAGGATGGAGAGGACCAGCGGAACGCGAAAAGGGCCAGAATGGACTCAGAGGTCAATGAACAAACTGCTAGTTACAAATCTGACCCTGTGCCTCTGTTTGTTAAGTTTCTCACGCGCTCTGCATCTCTTTCTGTCAGGCACACGGGGATGAGGGAATTTATTGGCAGGTGAATTTTGAGCGGTTCCATCTGCACTTCAGAGACCAGGCAATAATCACCGCCGTCGCTAACAAGCTGGATCAGGTTGGTTCCACACAGAAGCTGAAAGTACAGCTAATCGTTAATGGACGAGTAACCTTTTTGATTATTTTCTCAAATGTAATGATTTTAAGGTTTTATTGTATGTATCCGAAATTTATAAGAACTAATAACGAAGAAGAAAATTAAATCAAAACAAATGTGGCAGCTGTTTAATCCTAACAACATTTATTTTACATTTTTTGAATTTAGACTAGCAGTGAAATTGTGAGGACCATGTTGAGAATGAGTGAAGTCACAACCTCGCCAACCGCCACCTGTACAAAGCCCCTCTCTGCCAATGAGATTTTCAGGTCTCTTCCAGCCAGTTACAACATCGCCAGACCCATCCTGGACCAGTACCTCACTCTTCTGGTGGATGACCCGGTATGGCCTCCTCAAAGCAGACAATAACGTTGTTTGATTTAAATTTTTTTCCTCAATTGACTTCAAATTGTTATATCTTCTTATCTCATTTTCCAGATGGAGTTTGTAGGACGGGCTGGCGAAAGTGGTGGAGGGATGTTTGTTGTCAGTATCCTTTATTTGCATGTAGAGGTGCAAACAACATGCTGTTTATCCCATTTAACTTATGGGCTACAAAGAACAGTTACTTCCCTGAACTCATCTGTCAGATCTTCATAGAGCACTGGCCAACCTGGCAAGAGCCACGCTTGAGTCTGCCGTGCAGGAGAGGTAAGTCGGTGTTTACTGTGAAAACATGCTGCCTTTTAATCAGGCACTCATTATTAATTAAACCCCTGTTTACCTGTCGTCAGATTTGGCTCCAGATCAGCCCGTATATTCCGTCTGTTGTTACGGAAACGTCATTTGGAGCAAAAGCAAGTTGAAGATTTTGCCATGATTCCAGCAAAAGAGGCTAAAGACATGCTGTACACTCTGCTGTCGCAGAATCTGGTCCAGCTACAGGTATGCAGAGGATGGATACACTCTGTAGTGAATTAGGATTTATGCAGCACATCTCTATAAGTAGGCTTTCTTGTCTACTGTGTTGTGGGTGAGTTATTTTTAAAAACTCACCTGAAGGCTGATTTTTATGATGGCTTGTGTTGTGAACAGTGATGTGAGAAGAATTTGATATTCTCACAAACGAAATGATTTGAGCTGCATTAATTCTCACTATTCATCCTCTCTGAGTGACTATTATTTATCCTTCAGGAAATCCCCAAAACACCTGACTACGCTCCCTCTCGTACCTTTTATTTTTACACGGTCAATCAACTCCCTACTGCAAGGATGCTGCTACAGAACTGTTACAAGGTGAACAAAAACACTCTGCAACCTTCAGGGATCTGGATGGATTTCTAATAGCAGCTTATTTGTGTCCTTTATGCTGTCTTTGTCTTGGTTTTTATGTTGATTATGGGTTTTTTCTCTCTATAGACTGTAGCCAACCTCATAGATCGACGCCTGTTTGAGACCAAAGAGAGCAAGTGGGTCTTTGATTGATAATTCTATTGTGTACTTTTTCATTTAAAGCTGTGTCCCTCACACACTGTTCCAAAGACGAATTAGCTGATTTGTTTTATGTTGATTTAAAGACGCCTTTTGGAGAAATCCCAGCGAATCGAAGCCATTCTGGCATCTCTGCAGGCCAGTGGGGCTGAGCCCGAACAATTAACAGAGGTCAAGGAGATGATCACCGCTCCCGAGAAGCAACAGCTAGATAGCTTAAGGCTTCACGTTAACAAGTAGGAAGACAACCTTAAACATCACTTTTTCTACTTCAAAGGAGTTATCGCATCTGTTCCCTCATGTTTGCATGTTTCCTCTTTCTTTTTTTTCTTTCCCCCAGGTTAGATTCCGCTGAGAACCAAGTAGATGAAACCATCTTTCTTCTGGAGTCCTACATCAATTCAACTTCTGCATCCACAAGTTGAAAGAGACCCGAGTACACTGCAGATTCCTCAAAAACTGTTCCTGTGACATCTTGTGCGTGACTGCTGGCTATCGAATAAGATTGTTTTTTTTATTTAAAGCCAAGATGGTTTCTTAAAGTCTGAATCTTTTTTTTCTTTTCTTGTTGTTAATCACACCCAACAGCAACTAATAAACAAAACAAAGATACTTTTCAACTGGTTTAATTTCATTAACGTGAAAGCAAAACCTGTTGGACCATGTGATTGTTTGAAATATAAAACCATAAGAAAAAAAAATCTGCAAGTTAAATAGTAGAACTGTGGTTTGATACACTTAACAAAAGAATATTTACATAAGTGCCCCCGACCCTGGAAATAGTGGGTAGTGCATTTCTGTTGGACCCTGATTATTGCTCTCTTTCGTCTGGGAGATCCCTGATGCATCTAGAGCCCCATCCCCGGACCATCTCTGTGCTCGGTGGAGACAAACACCACTCATCTTGTGCTCTTCAAATGGCAAGTGACTGCTCTGGTGGCAGCCGAAGTCGGGCTCAGTCCTTGTGGTTTTCGTCCTCGCCTCTGTGTTTGCGTGTGAAGAATCCGAGCTAGCAACAAAACGACTGAGATTAACAACATCCTGTTTTTAAACACACTTTCCATGGAGTAAGATGGGGGATTTAAGACAATACCTTCCAGAGTATGAAAATAATGAGGGCCAGGAGGAGCAGACCTCCTATGATGCTACCAATCAGGATCCAGAGGGAGATGGGAATAGCTCGACCCTTCAGCATTTCCAGTACGGTCTAAAAATGACACAAGCATGCAGAGTTAGTAGAGAATCGCTATTAACCCTACTGCTCAGAATCCCTCTACAGTCTTACCTCCCCCCAAATAGTTCCTGTGCCAAGAGTGATGAGGTTATTTTCTTGGGCCGAGACAGTGTAGGTTCCAACTATCCTCACTGACTTATATTTGGCCTGGAGACAGAGTCAGAGGGCTGATGACCGATGTGTTGACTCATTGAAATATCTAAACATGTGCATGCTGCTCTGTGACTCACTTTTCTGAAAAAATCATCGTGAACTCTGCGGCTGACTCGGATGAAGGCACCTTGCACAAGATTCTGGACCCTGCACACGACCTCTGTGCACCACGCCCTGCTGCAGTTCTACACAGAAACAGCCACACGTGACACGTTATGGTCCGCGTGAGAGCTTTGGAGTGTCCGCCTGCTGCGGTAAGGAGGCCTCACCAATATTTCATCATTCATCATGTCCTCAGGATGAAGGGGCCGTACATCCCTCTGCCTGGCCTTCAGCTGAGCTACTTCACTCAGCACGCTGCAGTTCACGCCTGTGGCCTGTGGGGAAGTCTAAACGTCACACATCATCTAAAGGCAATTCAGACACCAGTGCACAAGGCCTACTCACATTGTTGGAGGACACATCTGTCACAGTCATGAAGACTCTGTCTCCTGCAGCCACGGAGGGCAGATACAGCCGCAGCACCAAATGACTCACAGAGTAACAGCCCAGATTCTGCAGCTGCAAACACAGACAAAGCTGTGAGATCTGCCCATTTTGTACTCGAAGCAGACTAGATCAACAATATCTTTGCTGAGAATTTTACAAATGTTTAAGCACCTAATTGATGGTTTACATGAGACACATAGTACAGAGCAAAGGGGTTGATCCACCCCTCATTTCTTTCATTATTAACAAAAGAGGAAAGACCCACAATGATTTACTAAAATATATCATTAAATGAAATAAAGTGCAGCAAATTTTAAGAATCCATTTATACAGTCCTAAAAAGATCTGGTCTGAGTACTTTTACTATTCAACACCCCTGAAGACAAGCTCATTCATCCTTTCTAAAAGTAGTCCTCAGAAGTAGGTCAAGGCTTCTTTAAGGACATCCTTTTGGATGTTAGCCAACTTCTGTTCTGTTCTTTGTCAAGATGAGCCCACACTGCTCCAGTTCCTAATACAACTGATACCTTTTTTATTCAGAAATCAATCTAATGATGTAAAGCATTTTTTTATGCCTGTCGAATGTTGGCATTTTTCATGGAACTTAAATCAATTAAAATATGTGTTGTCACAACTCATCTCCTTATAAGTGCCTTGTTGGTATGTTAGATACCAATAGATTATTTTATGGGACAAATGATCTATAAGTTGCTGTTCTTTAAAAGAGTGTGAGAAAATTTGCCTGCCTGGAAGCATAATATGCAAAAAAAATGAAGAAGTGGCTCGAGGCAATTGCAGATTTCTGCATCTTTACCCTGATGTGTGTGTAGAATTCTGGTCCAGTTGCTTCTGACACTGTCCGTGTTGGATGAACCTCGTAACGGTTCAGATTTGAGAAACTGCAGACAAGCAGGAAAAAAGCACTGTCTGAATAACCATGGAGGGAAAAGCTGCCTATCTGATGGTCAAGCTCATGCTGTGAGCGCACACCTGCTAATATAGAGGTCTGGCTCGTACTGAACAAAACTCTGCAGTTGCACACTGTTGTCCCCCAGAGTATCTTCTCTCTCCACGCTGTCACTGTAAAACAAAAAGGAGGGTTAGGTTAACTGGAATTCTCAGAAAAGCGATGTGTGTGGTGTCTGCTCACTCGTCAGTATTTTAAAATGAGAGCAGGAGATGGCTGTGACTCAGCTACCTGGCAGCACTGAGCTTCATTTGCACTCGATTGTGTAAAGATGTGCAGCTGAACTCAAACTCCAATAGAAAGTGAACCTGCGAACAATAGAGGGAGCCAGTTAAAGTGGTGCATTTCACCTGAGGGGAGAGGACGATGAGTGGGCTGAGAATGACTGAGCCCTTTCCTTGGCACAAGCCTACCTTCGACTGAGATCGAAACACTGGATAGCTCACATTACATGAGTGGCTGTTAGAGCCAAGTGTTGTACACTCTATCTTAAGGTGGGCATCGTCCTATGGTGACAAAAGACAAATGTATTCTGATAAGTGAGGAATACCTAGTGACGAAAGATGTTACATTTGTTTGCGTGCTTTACCCTGATGCTAAGGCTGGAAAAGTGGAGGTTGCGTGAGTAGTGCAGCGTCAGGCTGGTGTTGTAGGCGTTTTCCAGTCTGTTCTGAAGCACCACTTCCACTGCCAAACGCCTACGAGGGCTGCGAATCACATAAGGCTTCTGTCTGCGAAGCAAACACAGGCTCACTCAAGTCCAACAACTGAGAAAACTTTTCTTTTTTTATTGTAACTGCTTTGTAACTTTGCTTACGGATATGTCTGAAACCTTTACCTCGTTCCAGAGACGTTCATGTGCGCCTGCAGCACCAGGTCTGTCGTGCAGACGTCATCTTCCCCGCAGTCCTTAAAGAAGGGGATCTGAACAGGTGTAAAAATAGAAGAGAAGTATGTTTTGATGCAGAATTGGAAATGGAAAGCAAAGAGTAAAATAGCAGTGTGCAGCTTATGTGCAGCTCACCGATTTGTTGACAGTGACTGGCCAGCCTTCATCCAGAACTGGCCCAGTCTCTGTGTTGTTGATCTTAAACGCCAGTGAGAAGCGGATTGGACGAATGTAATCTGCCGTGTCCTGAATGGAAAGATAAAAATGACGTGTCAGAGTGTCTTTTCAGGGTGTCTGTGAACAAAAGCTGCGCCTCCCAACACTCACGTAGACGTGGAAGGGCAGCTTGTAACAAAAACTTTGTCCTGTGCTGACATGAACGGACATCTGGGTCTGCCGGTGGGAGCTGTCGTCAAACAGAGCCCTCGCTGACAACTTCCTGTCATCCAATGTGGCCGAAACCCAGAGATCTTAGGAGAAAGAAGGCGATGCAGACAGGAGGTGAATTCTGAAGCTGATAATCATTTGAACTGTTATCAAGGTTAGGGTTGGGTAAACTATTCAATCCCAGTGAGTACACTTTGACTGTAAGCTCCTCTTCAGCAGGGTGCCTATGCAGGTTCATTCTACAAACTTTTTCATTTAAATGTGTGCTCTACCGAAAGCATTGTTCTGTCGTCCAGAGGAGCGGGAGACGGCTTTGAAGCAGGCCGTGGCGTTCAGACAGGCCGATTCTCTGCCTCCCCTCTGACAGGTCTTCTGAATCACATTGATGGAGTGCGGCTGGAAGGAGAGATTCACGTTGATCTTGACGATGCTTCTGGAGCTGGAAGGGACAATTTGAAATAAGTAGCTGCCAGCTGATTGTCTTTAAATATTTTGCTCTTGGTTTTAAATGCAGACACCAGAAGTTATAAAACACATGATTAAAGAATGTGCTGCTGTCGTTAAAAACCCCACTGGTACAGATGTGCGTCTGCTAACCTGAGCAGCACAGCACTGCCCTGTGCTCCCACTGCCAAGTCTATTAAATCATCTCCATCCAAGTCCAACCGCGCGCTTATGCTTCGGCCAAAATACTTCAAGGAGGGGGAAAGTGACGACCCCAGTATGTGCTGAGGACACGAGAGGCAGACATAAGTTTGACTGAATTCTTTAGGGCTCCAGTAAGTTTTTTTGGTGTTGATAACAGGGGAATACCTGTTTATAATCGTGGATGATGTGAATACCATCTCCATGGTAGATATAGATGGCCCCTCTGTGTTCATCCTCCAGTGGAGCTCCCACCACTAGATCGTTGAAGCCATCGTGGTTCAGATCTGGAGCAGCCGCCAGCGTATACCCGAACCTGGCATCCTGGGACTTTTCGTCTGACCTAAGAGTGCCATTATGTACAAAAACCTGCTCCTGGTAAAAAAAAAAAAAGAATAGAAAAGATCAATGAGATGAAGGTAGAACAATGCTGAAGGCACGTTGTTGCAGTTTGAATAGTGATCTAATCCACTCCTGTCTCACCCCACTTAAGGTGTAGATGTAGACTTTACCAGCCTCCTTGTTCCCTGAACCAAGGTACATTGGAGCAGCAACCAGAAGGACATCTGTGATGCCATCCTGATCGATATCCAGTCCACACACTTCACTGCCAAAGTAAGATCCAATCTAAGGACAGAAACATGTTATTCTACTTTATTACCAGTAGGTGGAGCTCCTGCTGTAAGGTCAAAAACTTAGACATCAATAAATAAACTTGATAATAGAAAGGCATGAAAAAAGCTTTACCTGTTCACCATTTAATGCCTGTACGATCTCTACGTCGCCATAGTTACTGAGTTCAAACAGAATGACTTTGCCTTTGTGTTTGAATCGAGGAGCCCCAGCTACATACAGCCTCCTCCAGTCACCAATGAGCACAGAGGACACCGTGTAACCTGCAATCGCACATAAATACACATCAGCTGGTCCTGCCATCTAATTCATGGTCTTAAGGGAAGTTCTGGTTCAGTGATTTCATCTGTTACTTCACATACGTTTTCCTGTGTATTCTGTGAATGATGTCAAATGTTGCCTATTGTGGACTTTCTCATTTTGCTTTGCGTTAAGGAATCTGCACGTTTTATTGAGCTGCTAGTAGAATAGTGGTGTATTCACATGTTTCTTTTTTACAAGATGCACACAAAGTGAGCATGAATGAGCATGAATAAACAAATATGCCAATGCCAAACTGAGGCAGAATCTAGATTCAGAATATTGTTATATTCTTGTTCTAATTATAAGCCGTGGATCAAAAATCGTAATCATTCGCAATACAGCCAACACATCTGGCATCATGCTAGTGTGAGTGGCATGTGGGTACCTAAATAAGCAGCATGATTCTTAAACTCTAATGGAAATTCGCTTTCAAAGGCCTCTCGGGGGGGAATGATTCGTCCATTGGTCCCTTCCTTCAACACTCCACCATCCCAGTCGTATGCGCCCACCATCCCAAACAGAATACCATCCTGAGGAAGGGAGTAGGGCACAGATGAGGTGCCAACTGACAGCACACAGATTATAACAATGACAGGTAGCACCTACATCCAGTGTGTGCGTGGAGAAGCCGATCTGGGACATCTCCATATGGAATGTGCTCTGGTTGTAGCCCAGCATGCCTAAAAGTGGACAGCAAGTCAGTTCTGTTCTCACAGATATTTCTTTACCTATATCCTCCCTTTCCTTTCCTTCCTCATCCTCTCAGCATCTCATCACTTACAATGAAGACCGCAGGTGGGAGACATTTCCTTTTCTCCTGTCCCTTCCTCTTCAATTTCCCTAAGTATTAAAGGTTACTTTCTCTTGTCATCAGCCTTTCTCTGAAGTTCCCTCTACTACTGACAGCTGTGCATGCCCCATGTCTTTGTCTTCCCTCTCATGATGTCTCTCACTGACCAGATTTTTATAATATTTTCAATTCCACAAATGATCAGTCTCAGAAATTAAGACAACTTTTATCTTTATCAAAAACTGTTCTATTTTGGAGTAAGAAGTTTATAGAGGCTACACCTGTTTATCAAACATTTATGTTTGTCTACGATAGCATAGGATATAGGAATTGAGTCAGTATCCTGATTTGTTAATGATACTTACACATAACACCTTTCTTCTTAATTTTTTTTTTTTACAAATATTGAATAATTTTAAAATGGTTCCAGGAGAAAAATTTAATTATGCAAATTACAAAGCATCCACACGTGTACAAAAACACTTTCACCTTCCAAAGTGAAGATTCGATCTCCCAGAGCATCCACAATGTCATTCAGTGCAGCTTCATCGGTGACGTTGAAAAAGTATTTATCATCTGGGTCACTAGCAATGTACTTGATTTCATTAATGAACGTCTCGGGATCCTGCTGTTTCCGGATATAATGGCCAAGAACCTAGAGACAGCAGTGGGAGAAAAAAAGGACAAAACACTGAAAAATGATAGCTGAAGGCAGAAAAACGGGGGTAAACAAAGAAAATAATAAACTATGAGCAGATGACACGTCGGCAAGGATAAGAAAACTACTTGTCTATGTTCATGATGGATGGCGACTACCAGACTTTGGAGATGTCTGCTTGTGTACAGCAGTAATTAAAACATACATCAAGGCAACAAACTGACCTGAAAACATAAGATGGGAGGAAAAGGCAGCCATCTGAGATTTGTAAATGGGAAGCACAGACATAGCTTGGAGGGGTGAGGAGATGACTGATGCAGAAGATCTACTGCAACAACCACAGCTAATGGCTTAACGCCTGAAGTACAAATGAGAAAATTCCATAGGAGAAACCAAACCCCAGAATCTCCTCCTATGACTCTCTCTGCCGAGCAAACTCAGGAAATCCTCTGTTTTCAAAGGGCAGGGGATGAAGCAGAGCGTAGTGGGCAAAGTGAAGTGTACAACACCATCAAGACCTTATAGAAATTGAAAAATTCCACCCAGGCACCCACACAGAGCAGAAAAGAGGTTTAGGAAAATGCATAGCATAAAATAAGTTTACTGACAAGTACAGCATATTTACTGATTCTTTGATTTATAGATGCGTTTAAACACAAAGACATGCATAGCGTAAACTGCTCACACGCATATACGCATTCCTTGCCCCTGTGATGCACTGATGTATAAAACACAATCTGCTGTGAGTGTGTTGTATTTTGACGAGCGCTGACCTCCCTCATGTACCATTTTCACCGTGCATACACACAACCTGAATGCACAGGCAGAAGCAGAGAAAGCCGTATCAAAACATACCCGCTTTGACGAGATGTCATCACTTTTTTTCCATTGGCCAAACATCCAACTACTAATCCTGCTGCTTTTTATCTTGTTTTCTTCTCCAATTTGCATTTTGTTTCTTCTATCTATTTGATTCTGTAATTTTTTTACAAATAAGCCAGATAGAAAAATCTATGCTGATGGTAAGAAAATACACTGGAACAAAGTTTACAGTCTTCTTTTCTCCGCTTTGAGCAGGATGGGTAAGATTTAGACCTTGGAGTGTCATTTTAAAAACTTGATCAAAACATTTCAATTCATTTCAAGAAACATCATTTCATTTGGGAAAGTGACAGGTTTTAATATTAGCGTCAGCCTGCCCCTGTGACGCCAACCACTCAGGATGTTCCCACTCTGAGCAATTCTGTGGGTTGAAGGGTAAGGCTGGACGGGAAGACTTTTTGTTTCTACTAGGCTATTTTAGAACACCCAAGGGGTTCATTTGATAATTTAGTGAGGGTATTTTGTTGGACCAGTTGCGATGTTCTGTGGTTACTTGTGGTGACTCTGCCACGTTTGCTCATTGTGTTAGGAATGTAGGTCAGTTGTTTGTGTGTCTTACTATAGTTTAATTAGTCAGAGTCGTTAGAGAGCCTGAATCAACGATGTCAGTGGCAACAAACACGAACAGTATGAATTGTATGAGCTTGGACTCGTCCACACTAGAAAAATGTACTCACAGCGATGGCATATCTGGTGATGTTTCTACTCTCACAGCTCTCCAGAGCATCGGGCAGGTCCTCCCCATCATGGGACTCTCCGTCTGTCACCACTATCATCACCTTGGTGGCGCCCTCTCTTGCTCCTCGCTCGGCACTGAATGCCTCCGTGCTGCAAAAACAGAAAGCAACATCGCTGCATGATATGGAATTTAGACACATTGACCCTGCTGAACTGAGCTCAATCCCAAATAGGAAGAAGGAATGAAAGAGAGAATTTAAATGTACTCATGAAACAAGTGAAAGGGTGGAGAACAAAGAGTACCCGGTCTCTTTGATTCTGGCAATGTTAAATAAACTTCCTCTGTGAGATATTATACGATATCTCTGGGAAAATAAATGGCTTATGAAACTTTGTGAGAGCGGATTTGAGTTTTTTCTTATCACGCGTGTTATAAAAGACCAATTCATTCCCTTTTTTCGAAACATTATCAGGGACACTTTGCACACATACCTCGGGTGCCGATTGACTCACATTGATCACTGCTAACAACATGTGTCACTACACACGGTGACCACATCTGTGCATTCCTTTACAATCATGCTATGACCCAGAGAAGACAAATGCATGAGCAGACTAAAGCCACACCCTGTTTGTCTGCATAAAAACCTGTTCTCACTGGGACCTGCTTCAAGGGTTGAGTATGGTTGGTAAGCCTCAGACCAGCACACACACACACTGGAAGAAACAGAATAGTCACTGAAAGTGATCTCAGTCATTTTCAAGCCTAACTGCAGCCCTTGCCTAAATATAACATTGTGGTCAGCCACAAAAAGCTCAGAGTTAAAAACAACCATTTCCCTTATTCAGACTGCAAATTACACAGGGCACAGAGAAGAGAAACAGAACAGAGGAGTGAAAGCAAAAATAAAGAAAAGGAACAAATAAAGGCCCATGCAAATAAGAGAAAAGACATCAGACAGTTGAAATCTGGAAATCTTATTCAGAATTTGACGGAGAGAAATGCTAAATTAAGTCAAAGATTACTTTCTGATGTGTCCTTAGTGATTATTTAAAAAAAATAAAAACAGAGAGTGAAACAGGTGACAAAGACAGAGAAACAGATGACTCCAGCTGGACGAGAACACAAGAGAGAAAGAAACAGACAAGACAAATGCCAGCAGGTCAAAGAAGGAAAAATAAAACACCAAGGAAGTGGAGATGAAAGAAGAGGGAAAGTGAGCTGAGCTAATTGGGAGGCCTGGCAGTATTTACAGCCCATTTTATAGAGTCACAGCAGTGTGGTAATGACATGGCACAGCGGCCTGTGTGTGTCTGTGTGTGTGTGTGTATGTGTGTGTGTTTGGGGTGAGTAAGAGTGTCTCAGACGGGTGGAGCACAAAATATTTCAGTGGCTAATCCAATTGTAGAGGGTTGTTTGATGGTTATGAAGCAGTCACCTCATCTCAGTGTCATTTAAATGGTGAAACAGAACTCATCTCCACAGCCACGGAATAAACACGCTATTCATGAGCATGTTTGCTTTGACATTAATTAGCTGAGTCTGGTTGTCTCAAATTGACATCATGGATATCAGCAACAATTTTTGTAGCTCAAGTTCAAGTTTGGTCCATGTAAGGATGTTCAGTGCTGCATGCGTCTAAAGCAGCATTGGTTTCCCTGCACACACATTCTTGGTTAGTTTTGAAAATTTTGGTTTCCTCAGTGTTTCATATTTGAACTTTGTGAATCAACAATAAAATGCCAAGGTGTTTTTTTTTTGTGCTTTTCACAACTTCGGTTTGTAGAATTTGATTTGATCAACATTGGTGAGAAAGATGAAACGCTGTATATCATGGATCAGTTTTGTTGTATTAAAGCATCAAACATGCTGCCATCAAGTCCCAAACTGTCAAGAATCCAGTTAATCAAGCCTTAGAGAGTTAGGGAAAGTTGACGGGAAGGTCAATCTGATTTCCTCTTTGTTTTAGCCATTCCTCTGGCTGGAGCTCAAAGCCACAGCCCTGTGAAAATCTGCACTGATCAACTAAAACCTGAATATGAAAGACCTAGATAGCAACAGATTGAAATAGTTATGTCAGGAGTTGGGGTTTTGTTGGGTGTTTGATTTTGTTTGTGGGTTTTGTTTCAGGATTGAGATCTCCTTGTGTTTTCATTTATTCAATAATTCTGTGCTTTTCTTTGTCTCCTCATTGAATTTCTATTTTTCTTCTCAGTTTTATGTTCCCTGTGTCAGATGTTGATGTCTGTCTTAGTTTCCCTGTATCTCCACCACTTTCATACATGCCCCTCAGTTTCCTCTGTCTTTCCTCTTCAGTGAAACTCCCCGCACCTGTGCTTCCTTTCTCACCTGATCTTCGTTCTACTTATCCCTCTCCCCTCCCGAGCTTCTCTGTTTCAGTCATTCATGGTCAGGTCCTTGCTTCTGTTTCCTGTGGTCCAATCTCTTCCTTGGTTCACCTTTCCATAGTGGGTCTCCCTCCTTTTGTCCACGCTCCCTGTTCTGGTTCTTGTGTTCTTTCTTAGCTTTATGATTTTGGTTTTGTTTCTCTGGTGCAGTTTATAGTTTCCGGCCTGCTTTTAGATCGAACTTGGCCATCGTGAATGTTCCCTGCTTCCTTTTTAAAATCTATTTCAGCTAAGTAAGTGGGTCATGGTTAAGTTTATAATAAGGACAAGGGTTAAAGGTTAAATGTCAAACATGTAGTAAAAAGGGTTAAAGTTGAGGTCAAGAGGTCACGCAATAAATGTTTTGAATGCTATCCTGCAAAGGCAGCATATATGAATTTAATAAGGAAAGAGTCATCTGCGCATGTGCGCACTGTATGGGTTTTGGTGAGTATTTTTACAGCTGCAGGACCACTGCTTGGCTGACCAGTCCGTGCCACACCTGCAGGCGTGCTGAGCCAGCAGTCAGCCAGCCCAGCTCAGCTAATCTCACTGTTTTTCTACCCCGTCACTCCCCTCCTTAATGCCAACGATGCTATCTGTACGCGCCTGTGAGTTTGGAATGTATTTATTTCAGAAATAAATTTGAATAAAAGCTTCTCAGGGAGAAAAGCTCATTTATTTCATCTTTATTTTTATCTTAATTCTTCTGATTATCCTTTTTTCCATCATGGAAGGGTGACAGTGGAAGTTAAAGACTTCTCATCACAGCGTTTTCGGTTAGTTTCTGATCTTTACATGGCTTCCATTTCTGTTCCTTCTTCTCAACGACCTTTTAAATGTCCCTCTGAAATTGTCCAACTTTGACCTTTTAATGCAACAGAAAACAGGAACTCTAGAATGACCTGTTCAGTTGTATAATTTTGTCTGTGTGCATGAGAGCAGAACGCCGCTCTCAGACATGTCTCCCAGAATGGCAGCTGTGGCCACACATCAGGTCTGGGCGTGGTGCGCTATGTGGGCATGACTTTAATAAGGCAGGAATTTTATTTTCAAGAGATGCTTTAAGTCTTTTCACTAAGTCTGCTCAACCTGTAGGGCTGTTTCTTTGGACTTGGGTTACCGGCTTATTTTCCAAAGATAAGCTCTGAAGGGGGGTACCCAAATGAACAGATTTGAGCAGCTTAGGGAGCGGCACCCCAACTTATGACTACAATGAGCTCTATTAATTTAAAAAATGTGAAGAGGAAAACCTGATACTACTTCATAACACATCCAGCAGACATAAAAAAAACGCCAGTAAAAAAAAAATTGAAATGTATTAGTTTCCACATGGAAAAGTGCCTTATTTTCTTTCATCTTTTGGGTAGTGTTGTTTTCCAACGCCTGAAAAAAAACCAACTGGCTAATGCTAAATGCTTCATATATAATATTCATCCCATTTGCTACGGTCAGTGCAGGTGATGCCTTAAAAGGCAAATGATTTACACTTTTTAATCTTATCTTCTCTGTCCTGTATTTTGCAGCAACAGTAGACGAACAAGGTAAAAGAAAATGAACCTGATTGTCCTTATAACAACAAATTCTAAAGGAATGCACCCCTAGATCTCAATGGCGAGTCAATTTCCAGTCAGCCGGCCAAATCCACAGCATGTTTGTAAACTACAAAGATCAGCCTGTAACAGTGAGTGACGGGCATACCAGGCCTTTTGGATAGCAAATGCAGTGCGCGTCTCTCGTCCCTCTTGTCGGCTGATGTTCTTTGCAGCCTCCACCACCTCCTGTGTGGTCTGGTAGTCCTTCAGAGACCACTCATGGAGAGCGACCTCACCATACTGCAGGATGCCAACCTTCATACACACAGGCACAAGCACGTCAACGCGATGCCACATGCTAATGGCTTATGGACCGCAACATTTGAGATTTGTTTCTGGGCCGAACTATCTCTTTAAGTACCAGTGCTGTTCTAAAAGAAAACAGAACAGTTGTGGAATTTTTCAGTTCATTCAAAAACCAGAGGTATTTCCTCTTCACCTCACATTGCCCGCTACCCCTTTCACAGCTCAACCCCCCTCTCACTCCTCTTGTTCTGCAGCCCAGAGTCATGCCCAAATATCCCTCCCCCTCCATCTTCCACTCCCCCTCAACCTCTAGACTCATGTCCCTTTACATTACTGCAGCAATTCGTTCTGGTCATATTTGCCAAACTTGCTCTCAACATCACTTTGTTCATGTTTTAACTCAAGGGGCTACAATGACAAGCTTCAGCCCATTCTGGGCGACGGCAAAGGATTTCTTTGCGAAACGCTCAACGACAATTAAGCCCACAAGTTTCCATTACTAATGTAAATAATGTTTACAGTCAAAGCTAATACACTTTCAATATTTACCTGCATCTGATCCGAGCTGATGTGGAACTTGCTGAGGATGTTGCTGAGGAAGTTCTGGACTTCGTACCAGGGGTAGATGCTGTTGGAGCCATCCAGGACGATCACGATATCCATGTATGTGGGACACCCTGGCACGCGTGGGGAGCACACAGATATTTGGTTGATTAAAGCAAGGCTCGGCTGCATGCCTCTTCCCCTCAGTGTGTGCGTACGTGTGTGAATGCAAATGTGCGGTTACTTTGCACAGTTGGAGCGATGGGCTTTCTTGGTTTTAGATCATCGCTGACAGAAGCGCAGATGCCGTTGCTGAACATAGATGTGCCACACTCCTTCGACCAAAGAGGGGCACACGCCTGCAAAACAGAAGCACGCACACACAAACACACACACACACACACAAACACACAGAACACTATCTGTTATGCAGGTGAAGCTGTTTCAGGAGTATTTGCAGTTAATTACTTTTAAAGTGTTTATGTTCTGCTTGCAAGACGTTGTGTTTTATGGTTGTTGTCACAGAGTTTGAAAACACAGATAAAAGTTGCTAAGTGACCCACGCATGCACACATACGCACACACTCACAGAATAACGGCAGAGAGGCACAAAAAGAAAAGAAGTCATAACATGGAGTAAGTCATGGAAAAACTACAACAGTGTGGTTTTGAGGACAGAAAAATGAGGGGGGGATAGAGAGAGGGAGACTATTGTTGACATGCTGGCAGTCACTGTTGTCATGAGCGGTTTAACAGAGCTGGAACACAAACCCAGTAAAGCAATTTCAATCTGATTGTACTAAATGTAGGGTGGGGTACCGACAGGGGGGAGTTACGGGTTCGGGGAGGCTGAGGGGGCAACCTATTAAAAATATTTCTGTCTTCAAAGCATGCCGTTTATTTGGTTTTCATACTATGAGGAAAGTATAAAGAGGGAGTGCTGAAGGGGGGGTGGGGGGGGGGAGAGAAATTCAGCCACCTAAAGACAAAAGATTGAGGCTGAGAGTGGGGTGAAATGGGGGTAGAATGACAGAAAGAGAAACATCCTGGTTTTTCTCGCCCTGTCATTATGGACGGGTTTCTCCTTCTGCACTGAACACAAGATGGAGAGAGAGATGAAAAGAAACCACGGAGGGAGAAGATGGAGAGAAGCGAAAGAGGTGCTATGGCTTTTGGTAGGCCTGTCATTAACAAAAGGCCGGAGACGCATTCCGATCCTGTTATAGACAGAACATAAACACACACACTCAGAAACTTAAAGTGGACAAAACTGGCAAGACTTTGTGAACTGTACACGACTCCACACTCGAAGTAGCGAAAAGAAATCAGAAAATCTGGCAGTCACCAAAACGCACGCATTCTTGCTCAAACTCACGCACTAACGCGCAGTCATTCAATACCCACCCGCAGCGCACACTCATGCAACAGTGTTTTTGCTTGTGGGCCAGAGCCTTCAGGACCAGAGAAATCCAGACTGGAGAGCAACAATAAGGCCAAAAAGCTGTGAAAGTGCTGAAAACTTGAAATTTAAACATACTGCCCAGTGGCCTTTAGGATTTGACGTACAGCCCCACACTAATCCACGAGTCATGTTATTACTCTTTAATTATAATAGTATAATCAATTGTTGAATACTTAAAGCACTAATTAGACCAGCTCACTATCAGTGTCCTGAAAAGACACTAAGTAGTCGAAAGATGTTTTGAATTACAAGAATGGAATCTCAAACATTTCATCCTCAGGAATATTTTGGCTATGATTTTGAGAAATGACTGTCATATCAAGGTGAATAAGAAACACTTGTTTAAGTTATTGTTTAAGCATCTAACAGCATGCTGCACACATTTGAGCATGAAGCTTGTCAAATAGATACAAACTGATGGTGCTACTGCTCCCTGATCAATTGGATTATTTAAATTACTTGGCAAAAATTGGCAAGATTATTTTGATTCAGGTCTGTCTATTTGTTTTTCTTGTGAATCTTTGACATGTTAAAATCAGACATTGATTTACTCATTGGAATTAGAGGTTCTCTGTCACATTTATCTTTAAAGCAGAGCTTGTGCCATAGCGCAAGACTTTTTGCACCTCTGATACTTTGATATTCAAAGGAATCAGCTTTATTTAGTCAAAACAAGCTAATTTTTCACTGTTTAAATGAGCATATCAACCTGAAAAAGTAGGGAGGAAAAGTGGTGGAGAAGTTAACCATACATGGTCAAACAGAAACGCACCAAAAGAGCTGACACATAATGATTCTGTCAAACAAACACAACCGTGTCTCACCACATCCTTTCAGCTCCCCACATACCAGCTTGCTGCACATGTAGCTCAATAAAAAAGCCCTCTTAAGAAATACTGAGAACACTTACTAAGAAGCCATCGGGGGAATCTGGTGTTAGGGTCATTCCCAAGTGAGAATTCTTCAGATTTTTAGAGACATTCCGGAGAGCAGTCTCACCTGATGTGCACAGACAGACAGGTCAATTTCACATAGGGATTTAACATCCATCCATCCATCCATCAATCCATTCTCTATACTTATACAGTATAGTTACACCTCATCACAAGGCCACACAGAGACAAACAACCAAACACTCATGGAGTACTCATAGAGAAACCATGACATGAAGAGAGCATGCAAACTCCACAGAGGAGTTCAGGTTATTTGCTTTCATCACCTAAATTTACTTTGTTGCACTCTGAGCTCCTTTCTTCTCCCACAACACATTTGTACACATCTCCTTTCCTGTTGTCGGGTGGCCCGTCCCAAGGAGCACCAACCAGCATCCTGCAGCAATAAAAACTCAGTTATCATCAAGATAGCATCCTGCATCTTTTTTAGGTGTTCAGAATATCTAACGAGCACGACCTGTTTCTCATGGTTTCACTTTTACACCGTCACATACTTACGATTTTTCTCCATCTGCTTCATGCTGTAGAACAGAGAAGCCAAACAGGGCCTCCTCTGGACCGGTGAAGATGCGTGGATGCTTTACGTCTATGTTGAAACACTGACAAAACTCTGGAAGACATACGAAAGCAGGTCACGGTATCACACAGATTTGACATTAACACAAGGTTGTTGTTTTTTTTCCTGTGCGAGAGCAAAATATTGACTTTTCTCACAATCATTTTATTATTTCACCTTGTATTTTGTGGAAATAAATTGTACTTAAAATATCATCTTTTGCACATTCATTTCAGTGTGTATACAGCCACAAAACAAGAAACTCTGGATATTTCATGGTTCCGCATATAAAGCATTAAAAGCATTCCCTTAAACCCTTTGGCATTCTGCTCAACCATTTGGTATTAAGTCCATGTCCATAACTGATCATATTCTATTACTCTAATATATTTTTTCAGTCCTCAGCTTTGTTGAGTTCCTCATACTTGTCCTCATGACTCTTTAACACCCATCCTAACCCCGTCAATGCACTTTATTGACCAAGAGGAAGCTGTCAAGCTCTGCAGTAAGCACCAATAAGTCACAAATACCGTTCCCAAATCAGTTTTATGATGGTTGCCTTGGGTGGGCGAAGGATTCATTAGTTGCTGTTAATGTATCACTCTCTCCATAAATAAAGAGTGACCTGGCAGATGGTGCCCCCTGACCCATGGACAGACTACTGTTCGACTCTGTTCATTGGAGCATTGGCTGTGAAGGGGTTGTGATAAACTTCAGTCTGACTCTCGTTTGTCTCACATCTCATTATTTGCGCAAAGCATGTCATTCTCAAAGTACACCTGAGGTCCTCAGGTTCCAAACTTACTTGACATGTCTGTATCCCAATTTATTTTAATAAGAGTCTAAACAGAAGAGTAGAAAACAGGAAACATACTGGGTTGTAAATGGTGTGGAAGCAACAGCATCTTAATCTGACGCTGAGTCAGGTTATCATTTTAGCAAAAGGAGGAAAAAGGGGAGGTGTCAGAAAGATGGATAAACAAAGTGACAAAAACAGCCTCTGAGAAGAGAGGGAGGTCAGTCTGAAGGGAAGGAGGGTGAGGAGAGAGAAGGAAGGGCGTGGGTTAAAAAAACTCAAAAGTATAGTAAGCCCCCTGTTAAGACTAACAAGTCTGCCCTTCATACATACTGGGAGAGGTGAAGCAGAAGAGAAGACACAGGGCAGCAAGATGGAAGTTAGATCTCAGTTATCGGCATTAAACTTAGGCAAACACAAGTTGAACTGCAAAGAAAGCTTCAATAACTCGAGGACAGAAAACACATTAGCTCTATTGTTTGTTTAGAACTAAATAACAGACCAATAACAGCACAGAAAAATGGTTCAGCAGAATTATGCTCCCATGCCTCTGACTGTATGTCGTGGATATTTTGAAATTTGAATTTTTTATATCAAAAGAAACTGAAGTACTTGCTACTTAGTTCATATACAGCAGTAGCGCTCAACAATGTATGAGGCCAGAGTCCCCGAAATGCGACTGAACCACAGTCCGTTTTAGGGCCCGGTCTGAGCTGGCTGTGATTCATGGTTGCGGTTTGGGCCAGTCGGGTCTGTCGCCGCAGCTGATACGGTCCAGCACCAAGTCTGCACATTTCAATGTGTTATGTTTTGTCAGTAACAGCTAATGTAGCCACGAGCCGCTAGCCACAAGCAGAGGAGAGCAGCAGGCTGAAGTGGTCTGGTAGCCCACTTGTAACCCCATATTTCCAGATTTATTTTTCACATTCAGACTTTTAGTTTTCATTGCAAACTGACACAATCTGAAATCACAGAACTCTAATCCAGTCTGTGCTGGCACATTAAATGCCTCTGCAAAATCTGTGTGCAGACCTAAATATGTAGAATGGAATTCCTTTAAGGGCAGTGCAGCCTGTATCAAGTTGCCAGAGTTTTGCAACCCTCTTCGCTGATTTATCTATATGTTTTACAATGACAAAGAATTACAAGGGGAAAAAAGGATGATTTATAAACGGAGACATTTTGTTGATGCTCAGATCCCTGCTTTTTTCATTAAATGGCCACTTTCACTGTGTATAGTTTTTTTTTAGCTCTTTAAAGTGTATGAGGCGTGATATTTCTCGACCTGTCCTAAAACTCCATGGTGTCTGACTTAAGCATTAACATGCCTTGTGGTTTAGTGATGGAGAAACAAATAGTTAGTTCAGTGACCAAATACAGGGTCATAATGTGACGCTGGGGTCGCTGACCTTTTAGGGGTAACCAAATGTCACCATCCCCAGCTATTTTTCTGGGTCTTCACTTCTGCCAAGACTTCTTAGAATTTCTCCTGTTCAACACCACAAGTGTCGTACTGTAGCCAGGAGGTCTTTGAGGGTAGCCCCTACGAGGCCGGCTCCCTGCAGTCTGGCCCTCCCTGCCAGCCAGACAACCCTGTGTCCCAAAATCACTTCCAACTCAAAACACGTTTTCCCTGCCTGCTCCGAGGACCGTACAGTTCCCACCTCAGGCTGCGCCTTGAGGGCAGAGGTGAGGTTTTGATCCAGTGACAGCTGGTCCAAATCAGCCAACTGGAAGCCAAAGCCAGCTACATGGTTTCTGAATTTGCTTGAGCACTAACAGTATGTCTAAACACACACACACACTCTCAATCACACGGTGACCAAAGGTTTTCTGGAGCATTTTTTTCAGATGTTCAAGAGAATTTATTGGGACCTGAGTGGAAAACCTCTGAAGGAAGAACACAGAGAACCTTGTAGATATATTTGAGTTCATCGCTCCAGAATGTCTCGAGAACGTCTCAGGCCCCCAAGCTAGAAGGGCGGAAAGTCAAAACTGAAGAAAAAGATTTTCTTCAAAGAACAATATGCACATCAAGAGCCACACTTGATTTGACCACAGTTGGATGGCCTCCTCCTGGCTGGGTATCATGTGTACAGCACTGTATAATAGTGATGAAGATATCATCACAATGTTATGAGCATGTTATGTTTTAATGTGAATATATGAATAAATATGTACGGTAGTTAGCTATTTTGTTGATATTTCTGGTTGCTGAGTGACAATAAATTGTGCAGTTGTCCTCAAATTAAAAAAGGTGTATGAATTCCTGCTCCACCCCTGCAACACCACCCAAATCCTCACAGATGATATCTCTGATTGGTCCCACTTCTGTGTCTAATGTCTGTTGTTTGTTGGCCTGAAAGACAGGGTGTGCTGAAGGTTTGTGTTAAAGATGGGTTTCTGACATCAAAATTTAGCAGCATTTCAGTGCATCTGTAGTGACTGTCTTACTGCAAACTCAGCGATTCTGGAGGAACGCAGGCATGGACAGGGAACATGACCAGATCACCAGCATGTACTTTCCCACAATTACATGCTGACGCAAGCACAAACACCTTGTCCAGTACCATCAGAGGGGGATTCCACTTGGTTTAGAAGGGAAATTGGATATGTTCACTGTTTCTGTCTTTGCTCCTGCTTTTCCCACACATTCCTTCAACCTGTGCTTTCATTCTTCCTTACAGATGTTTTCCCTGGTAGTCTCATCAAACTTAGATTTCTTCTTTGTCTCATGTCCATATTTTTTCATCATTTCATCCAACACTAGTGATATGGGTCTAGAAATTACAATGTTGGCCTGTTTTTTCAGTTTACCCCCTATGATATGTGATTCTGAAAAGTATAACTTTTCTCAACGATGATCTAAATTGATGACTCTCTAATGGACGCCTGTGAAGTTTTGTGCTCTCATTCGTGCTTCCTCTGCAACAACTGCAACGATGCTCTAACTTTCCATCTCCTGCTATCTGATATTACTCTTTAGGACAAAACGTCTGCCAGCATAATGACAATTCAAACTGCGTTAGCTCTACTTTCGCATTACGTCTTAAATGTGGACAGCAAGATGCAGCACAGTTTCTCAATTCTTTCTGTATATGTTCAACTACTGCATTTTCAGTTAATCTACTGCAGGTTCAATACCACCATTTTCAATTGGACTTTAAAGTAGATACAAAAAATATCTCATACAAATAAATAAATATATATATATTATTGAAGCTACTTCTCTAAATGATCAGTGGTTATTAAGGTATTCAACAATAACACATATTATGTTCTGGATATTGTCTGTGAGTTTGTTTCCGCTTTGCTTTTCTTCTCTTTGTGGCATGGTGGTACAGTGGTGGTGCACATTCCAGGTTCAAACATCAACATGTCAGTTTGGACTTTGCATATGTGTCCTTACCTCTCTGTGGGTTTTCACTGAATACTCATGTTTCCTTCCACAGTCCAAAGACATGCTGGGTTAACTGGGGATTCTCATTAGTTTAAGTTTACATGGTTTTCTGTCTCTCTGTGATGAATGGCCCATCTGTCTAGAGTGCACACTGCCTCTTACCCAACATTATGTGGGATAGATTTCTAATATAATGAATGACAGCTGGAATTTATTCTTAGTCCTGTTGTGTTGGGCTAACATCCAAGATCCAGTCAGAAATAGTAAACTAGCCTGGTTATATCAAAGTTTCAATCATCAGAATAGAAAACCTATAGGATCCAGCCAACCATTTTGTATTAGTGTGTAACATGCCTGTACTTGGGGAGGTTGAGATGTATAGGAGAACTGATGTGAAAGACATTGCCACAAACAAAGAAATATGGCTTTGATAATCTTATTTTGGCATTTTTATTCGTAATTATCAGTAATTTATTCACATACTCTATTAGCATGCTAAAACTAGCCGATGTTGCACATCTGTGCAAAAATTCAGTTTTTCTACAACCAAACTTACAAAGACAATGACAAGAATGGTGCATTTGTCTGATAATACACAATCGTTTGTTGTTTAACTTGACCTGTTAGACTCTGCAACAAGTAGAGAATAATTCTTTACACAATACAGTATACTTTATTTCATGGACAGAGTAAAAATCCATCTCTCCAGCCCTTCTTCAAATAACTCTTCTCCACTGTTTGCCGCCTTTATTAGCATTATGATCATTGGTGTAAAAAACATGCAATTAAAAATATATGTGTTTTCTTGTGGGAACTTCACCCACACTCAAGCTTCAAATTTATTACCACATCAAACCAGCCTGCTGATAACAACCCCTCCTATTCATCTCATAAACTAAATTATTTATTTTTGCTCCGACTCTCATAAAACACATATAGATATACTTTAACTTCGCCACGAGGCCACATTCAACCTCTCAAGCTTTTTAGCTCATAAAAACTGTACCATTGTTCTCCATTTTCCTTGATGTGTCCTTACCTCCTGGCTCCATTTTCTCTGTGGTTTGTATATGACACTGTGTCAGAGGATTTTTGACCACTTATTTCCATGACAACTGGTGGCAAACATCTATCAAGCCAAACTAAGTCCAGATTCTCCCAACCACACTGTTGCCTCTGGATGCTACTGCTGCTGGATGTGAATGGTTGTGATTGCGTTGCATGTGCATGTTTGAGTGCACATGTTAAGTTGTTTCCTGCACTACAAAGAAAAGTCAGCCCTTCCTACACCATGCATAGATATCTGCGTGCATGTTGTTTTAACTTGACTTATCTACAATAATCCCTGACAGTCTGGCTTCCATTCCTGACTGAGCAACATCCTGCATTGAGTTGTCTTCTGGGCTGTCTGTTTCTATCATCCCTGAATGACTCATAATATTCCACATTCATGTCCCTGTGCTTCACCTCCTTCACAGGTTTTCCCTCCATTATCTCGATCGTGTTCTGTTCTCATCTCTGTCACCCTCTCGTGGGGAATGGGGGTGGACAATGAGGGGGAGTGGGAATGAAAGTCAGCATATTACGAGAGGAAAAAGGAAAAAACAAGACGAAATCAGGGAGAATGATAGCAGGGATTTATGAATTACCAGTGAAACAGAGTTAAACACAAACACACGCTCACACACCTGTGTTTGACATCTCAGTAAAGCATAACAGACACGGGAGGCCTGCTGCCTGCATCAGGGGAGCTCTGGTGAAACCATTAACATTACACACATACTCACTCACGTACATGCTCCTGTATGACACAAACCCACACACAGTCAAGACTACAAACAATAAAATCGTAAAAGCTGCTGCACAAATTAAAGCAGTTTTGAAAAGGGAGAATGTGTTGGGCAGTTCATGTATCATTTAACTAGGTAATGTAATGTGTAAAATCTAACCACAGCCTACATTAAGCTGATGGTATTTCTATATAAAGGCTTTGACTTCTTAAAATGTATCTTCATTCCTTTCTTTTCTAAAGAAGCAGAAAAGGGAGCAGCATGGATAATCACTCTACAATTTGCCATAAATACCAACAGAGTCATTTACAGATTTACTTCAGAGACTGTTTCTCATCTGGTGCTTGTAGAAAACATACGGTTAACATGCAGCCTGATCTTTCAGGCTGTTGAGCTTATTCTGCTTCATGGCTGTATGCTATAATACAGCAGCTCACCCACTGTTTATCAGACTCACTATCACACAGAATCGGGAGACAACAATGGACTTTTTCTTCACTCTTATTCCAGTTAGCATGAATGGCTCAATGAGGTGTTGGAGACCGCCCTGCCAAAATGACCATGAGCCCTGGAGGGCAGCTGATCGTTATGCACCATGGCAAAAACACACATGGCATAAGACCCTTATTACAGGAACTTTAGACTTCAAGCCTAAGAGATGGATTTGGCTGATATGATAAGTGGGGTCCTTTTTCACAGCTGTCAGGGTCAGTCAGCTGTAAGAGGAGATGAACTAGTAACCTTTTGGAAATTGATACGTTCAACCCAGTTTCCAAAAAAGTCAGTATGGTGTGTGAATTTTAAATGTTAATAGAATACAAAGCTATAAATAGTGACATATAGTAAATTAGACAGTAGGACAAATATGGAAAAAATAAGGACAATATTTAGTATTTTTTTTACATTCAAATATATTCCCATTAGAATTTATTGCTTCAACAAGATCAAGAAAAATTGCACCAGATCATCTGTTGAACTGCATCCCCACTTCAAACTATGAACATTTGGCAGTGTGATTAAATTAGATTCGCAAAATGTCTTCCAATTAATGCTTAAAAAAGGGTTGTCCTGGTATGGTTTGGGACCTCCTATCCTTTAATCTTGTTCTTTTGGTATAGCAGATGTGTTTAACTGAGTCACTCTTCTTTCTTTCCTCAGTGCCAGATACTTTTTCTTCCCTGGTTTGCATATTCTGGAGTCTCCTTTGCCACTGATCCAGTGCATCAGCTCCTGTTAAAGGGCTTCCACCAGCTCTGTCCAGGTTCTTTCCGGAGACACTTCCAGTACCAGCGATACTGGACTTCCTCACCTTCTAAGCTCATGTCAACACCTCTGGAGTGTTCAGGTGCAGTCCTTCACACCCAGTCTGAGAGGTGAACCAGGGAGACACTCCAAAGACTTCCATCCTGCTCCTCTCCAAAAAGTCAAACAAGATGAGGGCAGTCACTCCTACCTCCGGTTCAGCTGCTCTTACCAAACAGCCCATTTCTCAGAGTTGTGCAGAAACTTTGTCTAAGCCAATCCTAGAGTCTGTTGTCTGCACCATTCTTACTGAATCTGAAGACAATGTCCCGCCAAACAAAAGGTCTACATGTCTGTGCCCATGAGGATGTCAGTCCTAAAGGCAGTGGATGACTCTTCAGCCTTGCTCGACATTGACCATTTAGATGGCTTGATTGTTTCTTTTTTTGAGGAATACTATCTGATCATTTTTCTGTATACGTCATGTTGGTCCCTATCATGACGTCCTGGCTCACTAGTCCTGGATTAGAAGTCCATAGGCGTCTTGACACTTTGAACACCCTAAAAGAATTCTAGGCTCCACCTGTCTCACTCGCCCCAGCTTCGCTCTGGAGAAAAAACAGCTTCACCATGAGTAAAGTGGACCTGCATAGCTTAACTTATTACTTAGGCTATTTTTACTAGTTTGAATAATTCCCCATTACTACTGCTAAAACTCACATTGCAAAACTTTTACTTTGTTTTTTCAAATTTCCAGTTCAAATGGATACATACTTAGTCTAAAATGATAAGATTCTTGAATTTTAATATTCAAATGATGCCCAATAAAAATGTGTTGACAGGTTCACAGAACATTGCATTTTTCTTTGATCTAACATTTCTAATAGAAACTTAACAGAAACTCCAATACAAACGTTTGGGAGCTAGCGTTTTCTTTCTTAGGATTCCAAACATCCCCTTGATCTCCTAAAAAGTGAGACATGTCCTCAGTGCAGACTTCACTGATGGATTTACTTAAGGATCGAACTTTGACCTGGAGATGATTAGTTTTCTGGGTTCTACTTCATACACATTTGGTCTCAATGGAAGTAAAGTGGAGATGATTTTGTCTCTGCACAAACATCTGAGGAATGTCAGTGGTTTAGTGTCAGAGAATACGGATCACAACCAAAATTGACTCATGTTGTCTGTTAAAGTTGAGCAGGTTAATGGCCCTCTGAGTGCTGAGGGACAGGGGGAGGAACTGAACGGTGAACAGGCATCAGTCAGCTTGAGAGTTACCTTTCAAAGGAAGTAATGGCTTTTATGGGGGTTCCTAATTCACGCTGGTTTGTCACCCTAAAGCCATCATTCAGTAGTTCATCATTGGATATATTCGGTGCCATAAAAGGTTTGCAACGTTTTAGAAAAGTGAACCAGTCTTACCTTTAAGGAGTACAAACTCCAGGCACAGCAGGTATCTCTGCAGCTCCATAGATAAAACCAGCAAGATGCAGTCTCTCTGTTCTGTGTGTGTCCTCTTTCTTTCCTCTGTTTAGAAAGTGTCTCCCGATCTAGTAGAAATGAAGTCTCTATGTGTCCACCACTCTTTCAGCTCTCTCTTTCCTCAAGAGATTTGAAAAATCCAGTCAAATGGTGCAGCACTGGCATATCGGCTGTCCCAGATAGTTTGTTTCCAGAAAAGGTTTTCCAAATGTTAGACTCTATATAAAACAAACTGAAATAAAAAAATAAAAAAACAATATTGCAGATGAAAGCTATAATTTGGGATTCTGGATTTAAGTGGTATTCACTGGCCACATTTGCACAATAGCTGTCTTTATGGTTGGGACGAATAAAGCTATTTTGACATTTCAGTGATGCATTATTTTGCTGTGAAATTCCCGGCACCTGTCCCATCCAACACGTCCCGTAGCTCAGAATCAATGAGCCATTACAAATGTGCAACACCTTCTTGAACGCCTGACCAGCGGTGGGCTTTATCCCCAGGGACTCTGGAGCGCGTCTTTGAAGAACAGGCTCTCTTGTTTCTGAAACTCCGCTCCTCAAGCCCAAACTTTAAGCTCAACTGCGTGGTTTCGCTGGAAAGTCATCCATTACGCTGCTTACTTTCTGAAAATTTCCGTCCGAAATCTTGCCTCTCCGGCGTCTCCGTTTGTGCAAACATGTGCCACTGGAAACGGATTTCACTCTTTGAAATGAAAGAGCGCATTTATCCTCTCAGCAGCCCTCCCTCCATCCGTCCACCTCCATCCACCAGAATAACTGGTTCAAACTGACAAACATCAGACCCACAACTCCCCCTCGCGCTCCTTCTCACTTTCCTCTTTAAAAGTCTCTTCGTCTTTCAGATGGCTCAATTAATCTCTTGTTTGTTTGTTAAAGACATTCTCTTTTTCGGATGAGGCGTTTGTTGTCAGTCAGTATTAATCTTTTCTATAATTAACAGCTATCTTACTGTCAGAAATGTTAATACCGAGTCTGAACTGCTTTTACCATAAGCCAGCATTTTTCATTTCTGGATGCATGTTTTAAAAAAAGAAGAAGAAAAAACGTGTACTAATCGAAACGCTTTTGACCGAAAAGGGCAAAGCAAAGGCTGTTATTATTCTTGACTTCTTTGTTCTGTGTGACACCAGTTATAACGCTTTTACAAATACTGAGAGAGAAACGTTGAAACCCTCTCCAGCCCAAATAGAACATATAGAGAAGTCCTGCTTTCTGTATCATCATCACCAGTTCCACCTGTGCTTTCTGTCTGTGACACTGTTGGCAAAAGGCCCAAATGTAAAACTCCTATTACAATTAGAATAAAACCTGCATGGAAATGCTATTAAGATTACTTTGAAAAAGCTTATATAATTGAGATTTATTGTGTTACTCACAAAAAAGTATTAAATTAAAAAAGCAATGAAAGTCAAAAGTTCATTCCTAACTGTGTAGAGGTTTCCTCTGATTACAGCTTCTGGTCTTATGGGTGCCTTTTGTCTGTATTACTTTGGCTCCATCTACAGGGTGTGAGGAGTCACTGACTGGTTTAACGGTTTAGAGGAAAACAGTGAGCCACACCTTGTCTTTAAACTTCAGTCGTTCCCCAAAAGACCAACCTCAGACCCACTGGTGTGGCATCGTGGGCAGTAATGGAAAACATTTGAACAATTTTGTCTCAGTTCACTGAAACACTGGACATTCAGTGCAGATGTAGACATGGAAAATTAGGAGCTTCACCACAAATTTCCATCATCTGTTTGGTTAAAAAAAAAAACTTATTTTAGGTCCTTAAGTCACAAATTACTTAAGGAGCAAAAATATTTTTGAGATCCTTCCACGAGTTAAATTCTGGTGTATGATATGAGCCGTATATGAAGTCCCATGTCAGAAAAAAGCAGCTACGTATCATTAATGAACTTTTGGACAACAAACCAGTCAGACATGTTGGATCTAACGTGTTGCCAAAAAGAACATCTAGCTATTTTGTTTGAGTCTGTATTGCCAGAAGAAAATAATATTAGAGCTGATTCAACTTTTGTGAAAAAAATACGTCTCAATTGAACCAATTAAAAAATTGATTTGAAGTGTTGCATTAGTATTTTGAAGGTTTTGTACCAACCCACCAAAGAGATCTGTCAGTAGGGGAAAAGGGATGTGATGGAGCTGTGAAAACAAAAGAAAACAGTTTGGTACATCCTGATGAGCTGTCTAACTAATTAAAAGGCTTGGATTACTGCACAACACAACAGAGCTGGATGTTTGGCAACTCTTATGGAAAAGAGAAATATCTCCTTCTCCAGAAATTTCAGTATCATCATACATTATTAATTAAAAATGATCATTTTTCTAAAGCAAATGCAGATGGTTCACTGGTAAAAGTCAATAATCTATTGCAGGAATTATAGTGGCGATTGTTTGTCGAATCAAACATCAAATGAAAAGTTCCTCAAGCCACTAAGAGGCAATGGGGTCCAGTTTCTATACGCAGGAAAGAAAAGATTTCATATCCAAACTTCTTGATTACTGTTGAAGGTTTATTGGTTCCCTTTTTTGCAACAATTACAGAGTTCAAACTTTCTGTTCTCTGGCTCTTGCTTTCTCTGTCTCTTGTTCTAATCTCTTGTCCTGTTCTCTTGTCCTGATTTCTTGTCCTGTTCTCTTGTCCTGTGGACTTGTCCTGATCTCTTGTCCTGTGGACTTGTCCTGATCTCTTGTCCTGGTAAAACCATAGGCCCCAACCCATATGCCTGCTGGTCCTTTACCAGGCCCCTGTATTTATAGGCAAGTGGACTGACCCACATGACCCATTTCCTGCTTTACTCAAATAATGAATAAGAAAAATAATAAGACAAGAAATTAAAATAGAATCAACAATTATTAACCTGCAAAATAAATACTGTAAATTAATACAAAATATATACATTTAAGAATTAACTAACAAAATTCAAATGAATAAAGAAATAAAGAATAAATAGCTCCAACAGGAATAAAAGTGCCAGATTAGACTTGCTGTGACTTGAATGAATTACAAAAAAAAATAGCAGAATTGGAGATTTTTAATGTTGAAAAAATACTGATTGAAAAAGTTATATTGGCACAATATCTTGCAAAAACATGAGACAGATATAGATAATAGGATGTTACAGATGTTTCAACAAGTGCAAGAAAAATATTTGCACATGTTTTGGTAAATTATGTCTGTTTCACTTTTTGGATTATTGGGGCTGACCAACTACACTTTTTTTGTGTTTAAAAATATCAAATGCAAAAATATTAAAACAGCAGTCTACTGGCTGCTTCTAAACCCATTTAACTTATCACCACTTGGTGTCGCTTTGTTTCAACTGTTGCGCGATGGGTCTCAGGCCAGGCTGAAATGTACTGTGTGTGTGTGACGAGTAGAATGTCTTTTCTAGACAAATGGGACTTTGGAGCAATTTGCTGAGATCATCCAAAGCTAGTTTGCCTTTTGAGTGAATTTTCTAACTAACACAAGATGGTCAGCTGATGTTAAATTCATAAAATGCTGAATTCCTCCATTCATGTTTGAAAGAAAGTCCCCGAGTGTCTTATTTTTTTCTTTTTCTTGTCAGCCTTCTTAAGACTCGTCATGCGGTGATGGATGTCTGCCATCACTAGCAGAGTGCACTGGGCTGAAATGGTAGACTGATGGGTTGCCAACACATCCCATAATGACAGACACTTCATTTTCTTTGATCAATTAGTCTTGTGGGAGAAAACATAATGGTTATTAGAGAATTGCCCTCAGTCTCACCATCATCTCCCCTAGATTTACAGCACAATTGACATTGATCCTCACTGATGTCCTTGCCTTTAATTAATTTCTACACCCTCTGTTTTCCTTTGAAGTATTTAAGAATATAATCCCACGATATCAGAGATAGTCTCACTAAGAAAACATACTTTGTTTGTTATTTTTGCAGTGACGCACGTGAGCATTTGGGCAGGCCGTGTTTACTCCACCTCAACTGGCAGCATAGTTGTGCTGACTGGCAGCTGCATGTAAAGTCTGATGCACTTGTTCACATGCGACCAAAGCTCCCTCTGCACAACTGCAGATTCCTGCACTGAGGTGAAACCAGAGTGAGGGAGAATACGCACACACGCCGACTGTTTCACACCACTGGGAACTATGCAGGGGCCCATTATCGTCAGGCTTAAAATCGAACTTTGCAGAATGACACTGCTGTAACAACACAACTTACATCAATGCAGAACGGATAACATTTACAGCTTTTACGAGCCACCACTGAACACAAGCGTGAATACTGAAATTAACTCAACCTTTTTGTCCATGCTGATGTGCCATGTAGGAACTATGATTTTCCTTTTAATATCTTATCTCTCGATTGTGTGTTGAGGTATGTTTTAAGCAGGCCGGTTGTTTCTGGTGTTTGGCTGCTCCAATGGTCGAGATAAATGTAACGTTCACAATGGAATGTCTGCACAGAGTACGACTATTAGTTGGCGTGTGCATGGGATATTTTTCCCGCTGCATGATCAGTAAATCAGTGTCAGACTACGTGGATGCATAGATGGAGGGCATTAGGAGATCATAGCACAAGTGTGTCACATTTCATCTGTGCTGTGCAGTAACTGTGATTTGTGGGTACAGTCGACGGTAGTGACGGCGTAGTGTGAGCAGACAAGCCTGTTTTCCTCTCTGTCATCGGGAACTCCTGAAACGTCCCTCATGTTTGACTTGGCAGGAGCTGTGCCAGTATTTTACACCTGTGGGTGTGATGATGATTTTGTGTCAGGGTGCTCGTTTGTTCCTACGAAGAATGCGCTTCTCTTTCTGAAAATGCTTGAGCTTGTTTTTTCTTTGCTTTTCTCACACACGTACGCCAAATTTTGGGTTGAAGCTTTGGGACATTTTCGTGTACTCACATGTTTGTTGTGTGTCCATGCAACCAGTTCGGTTTGCACGCTATTTGTCACAATACGACTCAGTCGCCATTAAAAGCTAATGACATG